GGCCTTATAATTACGTTTAGGGCCCTATAGTCGTAATAGAACTATATCCCGCCCCTTAGTTTACGTATAAATAAGACCGGCGCTCTTACTTCGGAGCTACTTACTTAAATAAAACCCTTATCTAGGAGGTCCCTTAGCGTCTTCTTTAGCACTAATAGCTTTACGTATAATATACTATATAGCGGTCTAAATAGTATAGGTAGTTCCTACCCCTTTTTATTAGTATAGAGTATAATCCTATAGTCTACCCTTAGCTTATATAGGTTAAGCTTATTTACTTCCTAGGACTTAAATAGTAATAGGAGGTCGTAAAAGCGCTCTAGTATCTATTACCGTAGCTTAAAGGGCGACTTTAGCTTTTTTATCTAAAGGGCCTTATCGATATCCGCTAGGCTAACTACGTAGACCGCTACGTTAGCCGCTACCCGGCCTTACCCCCGCTCTACTTATTATACGGTTCTTATAAAGATAAAGGTAAGGACTTCTTATACTAAGTATAAAGCTCGTATACCTAGTCCTACGCTTATAGAACTATCGTTATAGCGGACCTACCGTTATATAGGCCTAAACTATAGCTTCCTCTAGTATAAAACTAAGTATAACTCTATATATAATAACTAGGGTTTCCTAAGGATTAAGGGAAACTCTAGTTAAGGGATTATATAGGCTACGATAAGCTTATAGTAACCGTTAACCTCTATAGCTAGCTATATAATGCCCTTAATTACTATACCTTCTATCGCGCCTAAGGCGCCTTTTACTCGCCTTAGGGCGATCTTTTCTACCGGTACTTATATCTCTTACGTAAGCGCCTCGTTAACTATAGCGTAGTACTAGTAGCCCTCGTCTATAAAAGCGGTAATAGGTAAGGAGTTATTAATTATAACCTATATTAAAGTAGGCTCCTCTTTTATATAGGCGGATAATTCTTCCTTCTCTTTTACTAGTACTAGTAATTAGGGCTCTAAAGCCCGTCTTTATTCTAGAGCTACTCTTTTTCCTTTAAGCCTAGGGGGGCAGAGTCCTCCTTATTATCTAAGGCGAGGAGCGGTTCTATCTTCGCTACTTAAACCGCTATAGGCCGCTTAGCTAAAAGGAAGGGGCATTTTAATATAAAGTACGTAGATACTCTATAATATAGGCAGCGGCTATTAGCCTTCCTCTTTTTAATTTCCTCGCTCGTTACCTACTTCGCCCGCTACTTAGAGTATAGGGCGGTATAGGGGGTAGTCGACGGCGTCCTCTTACCGCGTCTAGCCTAGTCTATACGGGTAGCCGATATTAGGGTATCCCTATCTATATCGATAGCTAGTTATTTATCTTACGGAGGGGCGGTAATCCTATCGCCGCTATATAGCATGCGCTTATAGAGCTTTTAAAAACGCGGCGTTTACTCGTAGCCCTAAGCTACCTTTATTAACTAGCTTATATACTTACTATAGTTAATAGGTATAATTATAGGGATAAGTAGCTCTTACAGGGCTAGCGTAATCGAATTCTATAGCTATATAAGCTTCGCGCTATCTTCCTATACTATAGTCCCCGCTACCTATAAGAGCGTCTCTTTAAAATTAAGAAGGAATTCGCTAAAGGTTTATCCGTCTCTTTACTTAAGGGTCCGTAGCCTATCTTATGCCTTCTCCCGCTCCTATATATTGCCGAACGTATATATAAGGTATTAAAAGAAGTCTTATAGGTCGCGTTTACCCTTAGGGCCGCCCTTATCTTAGAATCTAGAGATCCGCCGTATCTAGGGCTCCGGTAGCGTATAAAGGAGCGAATACTACGCTATATCGCGATAGCTATTTAGGCCTTATTTCTCGTCGGTTATAAACTTCGTCTATAGCCGGCTAAGGAAGAAGTAAAAGGACTCTAGCTTACCGTCTTAAGTTAGCTAAGGGAGCGGCTTCCTCGTTAGTAGTATCGCCGCCGTAACCGGCGTTACGGAGGCTATAAGGGTTAAAGCCGGTCTCGTAGACGGCTCCCTTAGTATAGCGAGAACCTCGTCCTTCTCGCTAGCCGTCGCGCTTTTAATCGCTTCTAGGATAGCTACGATACTTCCTATCCGTCTAGGGAGGGGCGGAGTACTTCCTTAAGGGGGAGGCGCCCTCTCTAGAGAGATATTTATTAGATCTATTAATTAATAGCTTATACTATTACGGAGTAGGTAAAGGCGTGCGCGTAGGTGCCGTCCGTAGGATAATATTAATAAGCTATATAGAGCTCTCTTATACGCGGCTGGCCCGTATATATATATATAGGATCCGGCCCTCCGTACGTAACTATATAGCTTAGGCTATAGCCTAAGCCTATAACCTATAATAGTTAAAGACTCTTATATAGGGTAGGATTTCGTCCGGAATTTATAACGAGTATATAAGGAGCTAAATAATATATTAAAAGAATAGCGTTATAAAGGATATATATAAACTTACTTATTTTATCTACTACTACTAGGGAAATCCTTTGTCTTTTATAGACTATTACTCGCCTACTAGTAGACTAATTAGTTAGCTTTCTAGTATATTCTATATTGCTTAAAAAGCTCTATCTATAGTATATCTTCCGAACTTAGTAGGTGGTCTAATTATAGCGTAATAGTTAACGTAAGACTATAGGTTATAGTATAAGTAGTGGATTTAACTAGAATGTTCTATGCTCTACCTATTCTCGTATCGCGGATATCTTTAGAACCGCTAGGCTAAAATAGGTAATAGGGTATCCGTTCTACTCGTAATTAACTTATGCATTTTATATATATTTTTATTTATAAGGATAGGCTTATCCTAACCCGCTTTTCCTAGAGGAAGGTATAGATATCTAGTAGAGGTCTTTGTCTTTTAAGGGTTATTCCCTTAAACTATATTATAGAGCCTCTTTTTACTAGCTTATTCTATAAAGCCTCCCTATGCCTATTATTTCTTTATAATAGTAAAATAGGAATATAAGGGTATATTCTTATAACCTAAGACGCTTATATTAATAAGGTCGCTTATAAGTTTCTCCTTAATTCTATTAAAAAGAAGCTTCCCTTTACGCTTATATTAAATAAAGAGCTTTTACTTAACCTATCCTTCTAAGCTAAGGAGTAAGAGAAATACTAATATTAATAAATAGTAAGCTCCTTACTTTTTTTAGCTATTTCTACTAGACCGGATATCTCTTTTATAGTCTCCTAGCTAGCTAGGTATAACTAGAATCTTAGCCTTAGGCACTAAGAAGTAGTAAATAAAGCTATCCTTTATCTTTATTTAATAAGATTATATAGTCTATGCTTAAGAAGGTAGGGAAGAAAGAAATTAACTACCGAAATCTTCTTTTATTTAAGCGATTCGTCCTTTATAGATAATTCCTTAGATAGAAAGAGCTTATAAGGGTATATTATATCCCTTTTTAAAGGAACTATTACTTAGAGAGCTTCGAAGTAAGCTACTATTATAACTTTAAGTATAGAGGTAAAACTACTAGCTCTTTTAAAAGTGTTAAAAAAAGCGATTTTCCTTAGCTAGCTACTTATATCTTTACGACTATAAATTCCGTCCTTATTAGCTATAAAATATAATAATATATAAACTATATAGATTCTTATAAAGGAAAATAGTAAGCTATTAACCTAGCTATAGTATATTAATATCTATTAGTATTAGTTACGCTAAGAGGTTTAAAGGGAACTTATTTCTATCTATTAGGTTCTAATAGTATTAATAAAAGCTAATAGTCTTATAAAGCCCTTACTAAAGTAAAAGCTAGCTATCTTTTTATAGTAAATTAAGCTAGAAGACGTTTAAGAGAAGCTATCCTTAGAAGCCCGCCTTAAAAGTCTATAAGAGGAGCTAACGGTATATATAAGGAAGGAGATATCTATAGCTAAAGAAAAGAACTAAGACTTATCTTAAAAGAGGGCCCCTAGCTTAATTAGGACTTATTCTTCTTAAAAAAGAAAGACCCCCTTTCTTATAGGACTTAATTCCTCCTTAGGCCCCTTTTCTTAAAGTAGGTCTAAAAGAGCCTAGGGCTAAAACCTAGATTTCTCGAGTAAGGGATAAGTATAGACTAAGACCTCCTCTATACGCTTACCGGCCTAATTATTTAGCTTTACCCTTTCTATAAGGGCAGGCTATAGCTAAGGGGGTATATCGCGAAGTATAGCCTAATTTTATAGTTCTTAGAGATATCCCTTAGTAAGAGGGACCTAGGAAGCTAAAAACACCCGGTATAAAAGAAGGAAGAAGGAGCTAAAAGGAGGTATAGAGAAAAGGGTAGGGGTATAAAGGGAAGTAGAAGTAGCGATAGCTTCTTATAGAGGTAGCGAGAGATAAGACGGATATGCTAGCAACGGCTAGAAAAGAGGGGGAAAACCGGTAAAAAGCCCGGTAGTTAAGAGGATACTAATAGCTTCTTTAAGTAAGATCTTCTTTATTAATTAAAGATACTAGACGGGTATAAAGAGGGGCGTTAGATAGAGGAAAGAAGGATAGTTAAGGTAATATAATAATCACTCCCCTACCGTAATTGCTGCCCCCGTAAGAATTAAATATCTTTGCCCTGCCTGTCCGACCCCTTACTTCTAATTTCACCTTCGTGCATTTTTATACACTTCTCGCATCTCTCTTCGCGAGAATAGTAAGGTTCGTAAGTAATATCGTAGAGTAAACTATAGAATATAGGTTCTAGGGGGGCTGTTACCTAATACCGTCTATAAGTACTACGTTTATCCCCTTAGCAGCTTATTAACTATACTAAAGAGCGGGCACGGCAAGACACACTATAGTCGTTATCGTACGCATGTTTGACCTTCATCGACCTAGCATTAACGCTCTCCTTAAAGGAGGCAATCTGGTCCAGGGTTGCCTTCAAGTCTCGAACGTTGCAAATCAGTAAGCTCCAAGCCAAAGATGCACAATATAAGACCTGTATTTACAGCCCGGGTCTCAAGGCGACACCATAACGCTGGCCGCGTCCCGGGAACTATATACACGCTTCCAGAGAGCCACCAGACCCTAGGTGAACTTGGCACACCTGCACTGGCCGCAGCCAAAGGGCCTCTGCCTCTTGGGCTTGGAGAAGACACACCTGCCGCGGTTGTTGATCTTGCACTGCGTGGCACCGGGGCACTGAGACGAGTGGCAGTTCTTGCCGCGCCGGCTGGTGGTGTAGCAGCCGGCGGCCGGGGCACGGCCAGCGAGCTTGTCGAGAACATCCTCGGCTTCATCCTCGTCATCGGCTTCCGCCTCGTCGGCCACGTCGCGCTGCTCAAACTGAACAGCGTTGGCATCCACTGCGAGGCAAGTCAGTGGCGGTCCTGGTCCGTTTACGAGGCCTGGACGTTGGCCGGGTGCCGACTTACAGTCGCGTTCCACATGCTGAGCCAGCGAGTCCTCGGCGGCAGAGGGCGCGGCCAGGGCGGCCGGGGCGACCCCGAGGACGGTGATGGCGAGGACGATGTTACGGATGGAGAACATGTTGGCTTGTTGCAGTTTTCAAGTGCTGTAAAGAGCTGGCTTGAGCTCGACAGAGGGCAGACCGACGTCTTTTTAAATTACAGCTCTCTCCCATATATAGACGGCACCGGAAGCCTTGCTCGAAGGCAATGCTTATGGGTGTGGAGGTTTGCTGACCACGGTTACAGTCCAAGGCTGACGGGCAGATGATCATGCGGGGGCATCAACCAGGATGGGGTAGAAGATGCCGGCCAATGGCCATGAACAGGCGAGGGACGATGGAAGGCGTGCATGCTGATTCAGACAAGAGGAGGCCGTCATCATGTAACAAGACCGGGCCTTTTGGCAACTTATTTCTCACTAGCGAGCCGACTTCCACAGCCCTGGTGATATGCTCCATGACATCCAGTAAGCGGAGGACAAGCAAGGCGAATGGACGCGGCTGTATCGGGAGCAGCTAACGTCTCAATGAGACGCGGGGGCTGACTCGGCCCTGCATGCTGAGTCGGAGCGTAAGATGCAGCAGGGGTGAGCGAGGTCTCTGAAGACCGCTTCCTTGGAAGAAATCTCCATCGACACATCAAGTAGCCGCATCTCGCCCTCGTAGAAGGGATATCGTGCAAGTTGTGGGCAACCACGCAAATACATGGGCTTGGCTGACACCTCTGCATCACATCCTGTCTCAGTGCAGAATCTCCTCCCTCCGTCTCGCCTACCACTCGCGGCCTCCCTCTTTACCCGCGCCCATCTCGGACCAGAGTTGAATTCACGATCCAAACGGCCGCTGGGAAGAAGTAGTGCACTATGAGTTCAGAATTTATTAAGTCAACTTGACATGTACCAGTATTTGCTCAAACAAGCACTCTCCGCAAATTAGCTCCAAGCCAGAATATCGACTCAACGTCGCGCGGTGTTCCACTGCCTCGGCATAAGGTATGATCCAACGTGACTTTGTTCATGTCCTTGGCTGGTCCCCTAACCCTCTTTGTCGCATATTAAGCCTGCCTAGGATGGTTACTCATGAAGTGACGATATTACTATGCAACGCCGCTATTACCTGGAAGGCAACAGCTAATGCGTAAGCAGGCAATAAGACTTTTATTTATGTATAAAGAGCTGCACAACTCCCTGCAGCTCGTTCACTCACTTCTTCTTCTTTAGATAACTCTCATCAATTGACTGATGCCATTCAGGTCGCTTTGCACAGCCGCTGTCGTGCCAGGTGTGGGCCGTAACTGTCTGACACCTCTGTAACAGAACTGCAGGGAATTGACGCGGCCGGAAGGATAACGTCGGGCTGGAAACACTACCCAATCTCCCGTCGGAGTGCGTGGCATCTTGGCAGTTTGTTTCTGAATAAACATCAGGCTGGATGCCCAGGCCCCTGCTTCAAGAAGCGGCCAAGCCGCGGGCCGGCGGCCTAGAAAGAACACAAGAGGCACCGCCTGGTGGAACGACGAGTGTGCCGCCGGAGCGGCAGAACCGAGAGCGATGAGAAGGATATTTCCCACAGGGCACGGCAGGCACGTCCAGGTAGCCCGACGGGGGCTGCGCCAGGTGGTCGGGCGAGCCAAGAGACGCTTCTGGCAGAGGATCTTGGAAGGCGCCGAGAGCAACCAGGATGTGTACAAGGTCATGCGGTGGTCGGGGAGGCCGAGTCCGTTCCGGGCCCCGCCTATACAAGTCTCTGAGCCGTTGGTGAGAAAATGACCAGGAGCCAAATCCTGCGTTACCAGGTAACGTCTCCTTTGAGACTCATACCTGAAGCACTACTTTCAAGTACATGCGCCTTACGTTAGCCGTGTTCGCGCCCCCCCTTGGTCCTTCGTGAATCGGCAGGCGGAGTGGATCGTGATGCCGTTGATCCGCGCTGCGGCAGTCCCTGACGTGGCTGTAATCAGCAGACGATTCGCAAGGCTCTTCCTACTGAACAACTCGATAAGTGTCTCGATGATTCGCGACTTGCTAGCCCCCCCTTCTCCGCCGATGAACGGGCTACTTGACCTAGAACGAATAACGACGGGACTTGCTTTTTCTGTCATGAACACTCGGGAAATGAAACTGGTCCATGTATATCGATATCGTATCGATCGTATCGATGACCACCCTGGAACTGCCTTATATTGACCGATTCCTGCGATGTGTGCCGATGGTTTAGTACATTGTCAGCTGTAAATACCCCCTTGCTGCCTTTCCAGCCCGAGTCCCAATCTGAGGGAGTCGCTTAACTCACCCGTGAGCATGCTGCGGCGAGTCATTCGTGGTAATAGAGCTGCCGGGGCTCCCCCACGGTCGCATGTAGCTGGAATATGTTGAACATTGGATCGAGGCGCCTCGCTGCTGCGCTTTTCTGAGGTCTCCAACATACGCGTGATGAGCGATTTAACAGCCCCAGGAGAGTTTTTTTTTATAGGAGAATTGCCTCATAGTGTAGTAATGGCTACGATTTCGTTGCCCTTCCTTACGAGGGGGGGATCAACATGCCCGGGTGCGCGCAACTACTTGTTGTGGCGCTATAACTTTGATTCGGTATGATTCTCAGTTAAAGACGTCCCTTTATTCATAATGGTTGCTGACTACATAGAAAAGCATGATTGGATTGGTCACCAAACAATTTTCCCATTTGCCGAAAGGCATATGTCTCGAGAACTCTAGCCTCTTGACTTCACCGCAGTGCCGCGAAAGACGCTCAACTCGTTCCGACAAAAATCTACGAACTCACAGAATAGGTATATACCACATCACCTTCTGCTAGAACACCGGCGACCTCTATTGCTCTGGGTAACGTCTTGGCGTCATATATTAAATGTCTTGAGTGGTACGACGAGCTATTCGCTCTTCTTAAGACCGATGAATGCTACACACCTTTCGCGCTCTTCATTCAGTAAGCAAAAACTGCCTACAGAAACACAAATGTATGTCTAACAGGCGCAGTATATATTATCAGTTTTGCCTCTTCTTACTCCTCCTGCCATTCGTTAGACTAGACTCGAGCGGTTTCGGCATTCAGCCCCGCCAAGTTTGTTCCCAGGCAGCGGAGTCTATCTTGGCGCTTGCTCAATCATACGACAGACTTTTTACTTTTAGAGTCATTTCCGGGTTTGTCCCTTATTTCCTCCTCCAACCAGGTCGTTTCGGTCGCGACATGGAAAATAATGGCGTGGCAATGGATGCGTCGCACTTGCGTGTAAGGAACTATGCTTCTCTCTGAAGAGCAAGCCAGATCTTGGAGGGAAAGGGCTCATGTTGAGCCAATATAACGCCCCGTCTGTTCCGCCCTACGTTAAGACGTCGGCTGTGGGTCATGCGCGCATTCTTCTTGGAAAGATGAACTCGAGCCATCTAGCAGTGACAATGGCCGAGAGAACGCTCAGAAGAGTATAATTGAGGCTGAATACGCAGGAGGCCTCCAGTGTCTCGGCACGATATTCCTGCCGGCTGCGTTACAGAGACGCAATCCAACAGAAAAGTAATCGTCCTGTCAACCAACGCCTAGGCTTTAAAGCTCTGTCACGTTCCATCAGTGGTTGTATCGGGAATGAAACAGCAAAGGGGAATAAAGGCTACGCGTAATGTAGATTGCAACCAAATCTGCCACTCATGATCACGAGTGCCGAAGATTGACGCCACAAACCCTCTCGACGTGGTTCCGGAAATGATCGAGACTCTCCCACTTCAGATCCGTCAACTCGCGTTTCGGGTGGCGGCAGCTTCAAACGGCGACAGACCACTTATGAGGAGCGTGACGTCGAGGGTGGCCTTGAGAAGGGCACAGGGAGGCGATTGGGGCTGCCTCGCTTCTTGAGCCACTTTCTGTTGCTGCTGCTGCTCATTCTCTCGCAGCTCTTGTTGCTGTTGCCACTTCTTGGTATGCTTGCAGGCAAGAAACCGGAGTGTTTCCGTGAGCGAGCCCATTTCGATGCGTTTTGCACTTCCTGGCGAACAATAAGGTGCACGCCCTGGGTATTCCACCGTCTACCTATACAGCAGGCAACGAGGCCACATGATGGTCATCCAGCCTGTTTGAATTTCCAGAAACCTACGCCACCAACAGGAAGTTGCCGGTCCAGCAAATTCAATACCATGGTGGCTTTTTCTTCACCCAAAGTTTAGCCGCCAACTTTCCTGAAGTCGACAGGCAAGCCACCAGGTTAGTGGCTTTCGGATATCAAGACCTTGGGACTGTGCAAAAGGTAGTCGAGTAGTTGCCTGGCGAAATTATTAAACTATCTCTAGTTTTTAAATAACTAAGATAAAAATCTTTTTGAAATCTTTTAGATAGGTCTTTAGACTGACCTACATAAATATCATTGACCCTCTGCCACGGGTCACCCAGTACCCACCCGACCGCTACCGTGTCGAGAAGAGACATGGAAAACGACGGCGAACCGAGAGCAGAGAGAGTCGAACAGAATTGCGTTCATCGTCCCAATCTGCCCCCGAGTCTCAACCTATGGCTCTCCAACGACCAGGCGTGTGTGCGTGAGGCGAGCCGACGATTCTGCAGCTCAAGCTTGGGTCGAAGCTGTGGGTCCCGCAAGGCGGCCAATCAAATTGCCCCATGCCCCTCGCACGGGTCCCGGGTCTCCCATGCCGGCATCCGCTGACCTCACCCAATTGATGCCGTCCCAACGTCCAAACCCGCAGCGCGCCTCAGCCAGCTGCCCATTCCCGCGGGCCTGTTGCAACTGCCTGGACCCAACGACTTGTTCACCTCGCCCTCGTTCCAGAATCGCATGCACACCGCAGCCCGGCGCGACACAGCAGCGCAGCGCACCCCCGCCCGCACACCCTCTCGCCCAGATAATCGCTGTCCACCATCGCGGCAATGGAGGCGCAAGGCGCTGCTGGAGCTTCGGCACCTCCTGCTGAAGCTGCCGAAGCTTCTGCCTCGTCGTCGGTCGCTGCCGCAGCAGCCGTCGCGCCGACCGAGCAGAAACAACAACTCCCCGAGCCGCACCAGCTCCACCACCTCCACCACCACCACCACCAACAGCAACAGCCGACCGACGCGTCAAGCGCGCCTCTGCAGCAGAGACCCAGAGTTATGGCCCGCGATCGCTTCAACCACCAGTCGCTGGGCGCTTCGCTCAACTCGTCTGTCAAGCAGGTACGCTTCACCTTCCCCAATCGCCGCTCCCACGCGCGCACTCTCCATTCCCCGCCTCTCCTCGTCGCATCCGTGCTAACCATGCTCTCTCTCCCAGGCACGCGTGCTAATGGTCGGCGCCGGCGGAATCGGATGCGAACTGCTCAAGAACCTTGTCCTCGCGGGCTTCGGCGAGATTCACATTGTCGATCTCGACACCATCGACCTCTCCAACTTGAACCGACAGTTCCTCTTCCGCCACGAACACATCAAAAAGTCAAAGGCTTTGGTCGGTTGCGCCCGATCCCGCTCATTTCTCACCACATCGCTGACAGCTGCCAGGTTGCCAAGGATGCTGCCCAAAAGTTCAACCCAAACGTCCAAATCGTCGCGCACCATGCCAACATCAAGGACGCCCAGTTCAGCGTCGCCTGGTTCCACTGCTTCCATATCGTCTACAACGCTTTGGACAACTTGGAGGCTCGAAGACACGTCAACAGGATGTGTCTGGCCGCCGATGTGCCGCTCATCGAGAGTGGAACAACCGGCTTCAACGGACAGGTACAGGTCATCAAGAAGGGCGTTACGGCTTGCTACGACTGCACCCCGAAAGAGACCCCCAAGTCGTTCCCAGTCTGCACCATCCGAAGCACTCCCAGCCAGCCGATCCACTGCATCGTCTGGGCAAAGAGCTATCTCCTAAAGTAAGTCGTTCTCCCCCTCCCCCCAGGAATGGCTTGCTCACAGGTATGCACAGCGAGATTTTTGCCACCAGCGAGGAAGGGTCAGCCTTTGACCACTCGACCGATGCGGAAAATGGTGCGTATAGGCCCCTTCCTTCCACTGCGTGCGAGTGGCTAATCGGCGGGGTAGCGCAAGAAATTGAGGAGTTGAGAAAGGAGTCCAGAGATCTGAAGCAGATCCGAGAGGCTGTGGGCACGGAGACCTTTCCGCAGATGCTCTTCGACAAGGTCTTCAACAAGGACATTGAACGTCTGCGATCCGTCGAGGACATGTGGAAATCGCGTCGACCACCTGAACCACTCGTGTACAAAACCGTCATGTCCCAGGCCGGTGACGCGTTGGCGCCCAAAGAGCAGATCCTGCGCGACGACCAAAAGGCGTGGTCGCTCGAGGAGAGCCTGGTGGTGTTCAAAGACAGCCTGGACCGCCTCAGCAAGCGCATGCTCCAGCTCAAGCAGACCAAGGAGCCATCGGCCCCCGAGCCCACCATCTCTTTCGACAAGGATGACCTAGATACCCTCGACTTTGTCGCGTCGAGCGCAAACATTCGGTCGGCAATATTCGGCATCGACCGCAAGTCCCGCTTCGACATCAAGCAGATGGCGGGAAATATCATCCCTGCCATCGCCACTACGAATGCCATTGTCGCGGGCCTCAGTGTGCTGGAGTCGTTCAAGGTGCTCCGGGGAGAGTTCGCGCAGTCAAAGGAGGTGAGTCTTCTCAACGACCCCATCCGCCGCGACACTGGCTGATGTGTGGTGCAGGTCTTTTTGACGCCATTTGCTTCCGCCCGGTTACTGGCGTCCGATAGATCTCGAGAGCCAAATCTTGAATGCCCAGTATGCGGCGTCTTCAACACCAGCATCGTCGTCGACCCGGCTCGCGCCACGCTCAACGATGTTGTTGAGGACATCGTCAAGCTCAAGCTTGGGTTCGGCGACAAGGAGTTTGTTGTCAACAATGACATTGGCATCTTGTGCGATGCCGACGAGACCGAGAATCTTCCCAAGACGCTGTCCGAACTCGGTAAGAATTTAGTCAAATGCTACCGACAACGTACCAGCACTCTAGCTAACTTGAAGAAGGTATCCACGAAGGCAGCTTCCTGACCATAATCGACGAAGATGACGAGGACACGTTTGTGAACGTCGTAGTCGCCATTCAAGAAGGGTATGTCGGCGCCGTCGCAAGCGAGCGAGCAGAGTTAACAGCCTCCAGGATCACGGATGGCGAAGAAAAGCCAGTCAAGTCTTCCTTTGTCGAGCGTCCTGAAATCCCTCGGAAACCCAAGAAGCTTGCACAGCCGGAGGCCAATGGCAATGGCCATCAGAATGGGAAGCACACTCTTGACGCGGCTCCAGAGCCGGAGCACAAAGGCATCAAGAGGTCGCATCCCGACGATGAGGGCCAGCCTACGCCTACGAAGAAGGCGAAGATGGTCGATTCGATGACAAGCGACGTGGTCATTGTAGAAGATGCTGGCGGCGCCATTGTCATCGATGACGACTGAGCTTGAATTCGGTCCAAATGCGGCAGCTCACCACGGCCGCTCAAGATGCGCTCAACCCGCCGTCGAGGTTGAGGACGCAATTGTTGGCGAACCGATTTGCGGCGAGAAAAAGGGCAGCGTGGGCAACCTCTGACGGGTCTCCTACGCGCCCGAGGGGCGTGGCTTTGAGATATGCCTCCTTTAGCTCGGGCTTCAGGTCTATGGAGGAGGGCGGTAAGCTTGGCTAACGCGGAGGTTTTTTGCAACGACTACGGTAAAGAGGCAGGGCCGATGACGGAGTGCACTCACCAGTCCACATCTGGCTATCGACCCATCCTGGCAACAGGGCATTGACACGGACTGACTTGGCGGCCATTTCGAGGGAGAGAGCCCGTGTGAAAGCTAGAGGGCGCACTGTCAGCGCTCTGCAACATAAAGTGTACAAATACGGTGTGAGGAGATGGCATCTCGGGGATAGCCTATGTAGAAATGATGCAACGATTTGATGCAACAAGAAGAGTACTTGCCTACGAGACCGGCCTTGGAAGCTGCGTAAGCAGTGGCGCCGAGGCCGCCCTTGTTTGCCATGAGACTAGAGACATTGATAATGGAGCCTTTGCGTGTCAGCAAAGCTGTTGTTGAAAAGCATGAGCCCACGACGACGTACCGTGAGGGCGGATCATGGCGTACTTGCTAATGACCATTGCAGCCACCAGATTGGTGTCGACAATGCCTGCGAGGTCGTAGTCAGAGGTCCGCTTCAAGAGCGACGTATGCGCGACGCCGGCGCAGTTGACCAAGACGTCCAGCGGCCCCACGGTCTCATGCTCGAGGAACTGAATTCACGAGGCAACCGGGTCAGCCACGGACCCTCGGCGAGCATACAATACCGCCTGGTCGATATCAACAAGAAAAGATCTTACCTCGGCCGCCTCGGCCCGGGGTGGGTGGGCCTTTGACTCGAAAAGGCGAGACGGGGCAAAGATGCTTTTGATGTCTGCGTGATCGCCGACATCGAGACAGATGAAGCGATGGGACGAGGGCGTTCCTGGCTGGGCCGAGTCGGGCTCGCAAGGGGGCAGCTCGGGCTCGAGCTGGGGGCGGAGCTGCAGGGCGCGGCGGCCGAGGATGGTGACGGCGGCGCCCTGATGGGCAAAGGCTTTCGCAATGGAGGCGCCGATGACGCCGGTGCCGCCGACTATGGCGCAGTGCAGGCCTGCGAGGCGGAGAGGCGGTGGCATTTCCGGCTGCCTTGTCTGTTGGGTTTGGTGGAGGCCGGGCCTCAAGATTTGATGACGCGCTGGAGAGATCGGGTGGGGCAAGATGTGTGCCAGGCAGGTATCCGTACAGTAGGTACGGACGAGGTACAGTACGTGCTGTGGTGGCTCGGTACCTGTTCAGCCGTCCGGCAGAAGGTGCGGCTCAAAGTATACTTGGTGTTTTTAACATGGCGATAGTTGTTGGGCAGTAATAATACAGACCATCTTATTTTTGTGGCGGATGGCAAGAGAAGGACTTGATTATGAACAGAGCATCACATGCCGTCTGGCGAGAATATGGGGAAGCATTGGACGGGAAACGGATCCACACACTTGCAAAACACGAGTGAACCCATCTGATAGGTGCTTCATCAATTGCGTACCTACACAAACATGGGAATTGTCGAACATAGCAACTTGGAGTTAACAGTCCGGTTACCTGACAAAGTGCTGCAACAGCGCTGATGAAATGCGGTTGGTCTGCCCCTGGAGACCGCGCGGCTGTTGGCCCATGCAGTGCCCGAACCTTATCCGTAGTACCTGCTTAGCTACCCCTAGATAACTCCCAGGGCTTGGACTAGCCGCCGCCAAGGGACCCTCAATCGGCGGCCCTCGGCTCGCCCCCATCTTGCATGTCATGTGTACAAAGTCGAGGTATCCATCTGGGAAAATCTCGTCCTGCAGCCCGCCGACCTCCGTCGTTCTTGGACCTCCTCCGCTTCCTCCTCCTCGCCGTCCTTGCCGTCCTCGACGGGTCGCCGTCTAACTCTCTCGTTGCTCAATGTCGGCTTCCCCAGACCGCGACTCGCGAACCATCGACGTCTCACCCTGCGCCGCCTCCCATCGCGTCCGATTCCCACCATGAGCGGCGACACGCGACGAGATGCCCCGCCCCCGCTGCCCGCCAAGTCGAAGCCAGACGATGTCCCGGACGCGGGGCTGAGGAGTCTCGACCACTGTGAGTCCTGACCCATGCAAGGGGAAGGGGAGAGACAATTGTCGCAAGCTCTTGGCCCCGGGCTCTTCTCGGACTGCTCCTCTTGAACCCTGACTGATGAATTGCCGCTCCGCCACAGACAAGAGAGCTCTGCCATCATGGCGCTACACTCTCCGCCAGAAGACGCTGCCCTTGATCCGCTGGGAGACGCCGTACCTGGCCTGCATGCAGGAGAAGCTGCGCTTCCCGGCGCTTGACAGCTACTTTGCCATCACGGCGAACCTCGGCACGCACACCTTCTTCATGATTGGCCTGCCCATCCTCTTTTGGTACGGCTACGCGTCGTTTGGCAAGGGGTACGTAAAGACGGAAGCTTGCTCAAGCGATTTGGGTTCCCAACTCGCGCAACATGGCATACTGACTGCCTTTCGCCCACCAGGCTGGTTCATATACTCGCGCTCGGTGTCTTCTGGACAGGCTTTGTCAAGGACTTCTTCTCGCTGCCACGGCCACTATCCCCCCCGCTACACCGCATCACCATGTCGGGCTCGGCGGCCCTTGAGTACGGATTTCCCTCGACGCACAGCGCCAATGCCGTGTCGGTGGCCGTATATGCGCTCCTGATACTGCGTAGCCCGGAAAACTCGCTCTCGGCCACCACCAAGCTCGTGCTCGAGGTCCTGTCCTACTTTTACGCCGCGTCAATCGTCTTTGGACGGCTTTACTGCGGCATGCACGGCTTCCTCGACGTCATTGTAGGGTCCACCCTAGGCGCCGGCATTGGCTGGCTCGAGTTCTACTACGGCCCATCCTTCGACGCATACATGCACTCCAGCTCCTGGATGGCGCCCGTTCTCGCCGGACTCATCATCGTCGTCTTTGTGAGATTTCATCCCGAGCCTGCTGACGATTGCCCCTGCTTCGACGACAGCGTTGCCTTTGCCGGCGTGTTGATTGGCCTGGAGTTTGGAACGTGGTCATATGGAAAGATTTCCGCGGATCCTTGGGAGACGCACGCGTATGGCGACAACACCGTCGACGTTGCGCCTTTGGGATGGTGGGTGAACGCGGCAAGACTAGCCTTGGGAATTCTCGTCATCTTTGCCTGGCGCGAGACCATGAAGCCGGCGCTCCTGAAGCTGCTGCCGCACCTATTTCGCTGGATGGAGCATGTCGGGTGGAGTCTCCCGCGGCGATTCTTTACGCCTGCCTCGGAGTACAAATCCGTACCGCCGGGCTCACGGCTGGACACGCTCATCCCCAAGGCTTCCGACTTCCCCCGCATGGTCGAGAGCATTCGCCACCCGACGACTCGGGGGCGATCGGTGTCGATTGGTCCGCAGAGCGCAGCAGACGCGTACGAGACGTTGGCGTACCGAGAGCGTCGGCGCCGCGAAAGCATCGGCAGCAATCAGAGTGCCAAGGGCAAGTCGGGCAACCTGAACCTTGAAAGCCCAGAAGAGGATCGATCTGGCAGAGTGACCCAGGCATCGGGCGCGCAAATGTCGCCCACTCAGGAGTTTGAAAAGGCTTTGGGAAACGGCAATGCTGTTGGAACGCCGGTGGCCGATCTCGGGATGCTTGAAACCCGCACTCGCCGGGAAAAGGACATTGAAGAGAAGGAAATGTTCTTGCGGCTCGTGAGACCACGAGTGAGATATGACGTGGAAGTCGTCACGAAGCTGGTTGTGTATGCAGGTGAGCTGCGCCAACACAGACGATGCTGGAGCAGGGCAAAAGCTGACAGAAACAGGAATCGCTGGTTTCGCGACGGCATTGAACCCCATCATATTCGAGCTCATCGGCCTTGGCACCAATCAGCTGCAGGTCAAATGAGAAGTAACTCGCAGAGGTCAAACGCCGTCAACGACCATCGGGTCTCCCATTGCCTTTCGGCTTCACGTGGATATTAATCGGCGTTTGCTACTAACGCTATCCGAGGGATATACCAAGCATGCTCGAGCCGTGGCCAGTCTGGGCTTTGACCACGATACTCAGATGTCGAAACCGGCGACCAAGAACGTAAGGCGATGAGGGGCATGACTCGACAACTTCTCTTACGGCCGAGACCGTCCATGCCTGCAGAGTTCAATGACGGGCTTCTGAAGGCTTGAGAAGGGCAAGAGCGTTTGGAGCAGCTGGTGGCGCTGGCGGGCCCTGCCTGTGTGTGCGCGCGGCTGCTCCCGGGTGGCGGCTCACGCCGAGGACGCGGATGGTCGATTCAAGACGTGATGCTTAGAGGGGCTTGCGAGCATTGTCTTCATCATCGGCACTCACGCCCCATGAGCTCATACCGGAAACGGGGCGTGAGGCAAGCACGAGATGGAAGCATTAGATGGGACGCGGTGCAAACCACAAAGGACCTAGACAACGAGGCACTGGTGTAGGAAATTGAGGTTCCAGTCATGATTATGCTATGACGATGGAGCGCGGGTGCTGTCCTTATCGCCGGTGCCTCGTGGTCGATACGATTGAGTCTTCGAGCCAGTGATTGCAAGGAGTAGATTCAAGCTGCTTGCATACTTGGGTCACACAGCATGAGGTAGGTGTCCCGGGCCGAGGTCTTAGCTCGCAATGCTCTTATCTTTGCTTCTCTGAGTTGTCAGCTTGCCTGAAGAGGCAACTAGCTGTGCTCGACCCTCCTTTGATTGGTTTTGGTCGCCCAGGCAAGTATGCAAGGTAATTGGCCAGATGCTACTGTAGTAATAAGAGGCATGCGCTTGATATTTGCCGGGTTCCGGTCTTGGTTGAGGCAGGCAGTCGAGGGAGTTGCTTTTCCGGTGCAAGGGGATAACGGCTATGGTTGAAGAAGAGTGGATGGTTGCAGTGCAGCGGCAGCATGACACGACCTGCAGGAGAAGGGAGGTGGCATCCTATGATGCTACGTTTGCTATGCGAATTAGGCAATTGCCTCATGTACGTGTCAAGGAGTAAAGGGTGAAGAAGAATCGTCGAGCCAATCACCGCAGATTCCTTGCTGATGGGCGACGATGAAGAAGAAGAGCGCGGATGGCGTGCTCTGGATATACAAAGAGGTGATAAACGGATGGTAGGCCGGCATGGAGGAGCAGAAGATGGGCCGACGGTTGGCTAATTAACATCTTTTCTTTCGTCCAAGTCACCGGCCCCGATGGAGAGTCCCGATATTGCCGGAGCCGTGCGTGGCCTTTTTTCTTCTGGTACTGGACCTAATTAATACGGAGTGGTCGAGGTTGAAACAAAGGCGCTGCCTGGATCAGTGGACCAAGCCACAGTGGGGGCCGGGGGGATCGACAGCGGGGCTTCGCTAAGCTTGGCGACACAAAGTACCTAAACCTACGTGGTACCTCGAGGAAGACGATTTCTTTTCTTTGCCTTTCTCAACAAAAATGCGAATACAGAGCAGAGCCGTCCACGGCCTCGTATCGCTGGACACAGTGTTTCGGCTCTGAACTCTGGAGCTCCCAACGACAGTCGACATGCCGTGGCACAATGCAGCACTCATCTTTAGGACCCATCTCGTCATGCATCCACGTGCCCCCCTCCTCGACCGCCGCGCCAATGGACGACGCCATGCCCAACATCTGCGGTCCATGCATGGGACGCCGCGGCGGTCAAGTGCTGGCCGCAAGGACCGACCTGCTTGATAAGGCTTCGATCGTGCTTGACCGACAACAACGAGCCCATGCCATGCTTTGCCTGGCCATGCCATCCGACCTTCCTTGTCTGCCCTAGGAGACGAAAAGATCCTGGCTCTTTCTTCGCCTCACACAGGTAGGTAGGGCCAACTTGTCACCGCTCAGATGCCGCTTTCCACGCCTGCCTACACGGGGTTCCTCGCCGTGGCCAATCCCGCGGTGTCAGGCACGGACGGGACCACGGCTTCCAACACGAGCAGGCCGGCATGACTGCGGCCAAGCCACTGTCGGTATAATTTATATCGTCTTCACTTCTTCTTGGGTCCTCATCGTGGCCCTTGTCTCCTCGTCGTGCTTTGTGCCTCCCCTGTCCGTTAGTCTACAGGCTTATCTTCTGGCGAACCCGTCCCTTGGAGCCGGCTTCCATCTCTTCTGCCCAAGTCACAATGCGGCTCTCTGTCTCGGCCCTCATCCCGGTCATCATCGCGGCTTCCTCGGCCGTTGCGCTCCACGATGGAACAGCCACGGCCTTCACGTCCGGCCCCAACCCCAAGAGCATTGTCCGCAGACCCGACCAGTTCTGGGACCATGTGGTGAAAGGCGCCGAGATCCAGCAAGTTGGCAGACGCGATGCCGCGGGCGCCAAGGTGAAAGGCGAGCTGGCAAACTACAGCCTACGCGCCAAAAAGGCGAATCCTGCCGAGCTCGGTGTCGATTCGGTCAAGCAATTCAGCGGCTACCTCGACGACCAGGAGCAGGACAAGCATCTCTTCTACTGTAAGTCTATGCCCTCGTTGGACCCTCAGACACTCATACCGCAAGCCAGGGTTCTTCGAGTCGAGAAACGACCCGGCCAAGGATCCCGTCGTCCTGTGGCTCAACGGCGGCCCGGGATGCTCCTCCATGGTCGGCCTCTTCACGGAGCTGGGCCCCTCAACGATCCCCAACAGCGATCTCAAGCCGGTCCGGAATCCTTATGCTTGGAACAATAACGCCTCCGTCATCTTTCTCGACCAGCCCGTCAACACCGGTTTCTCCTACAGCAGCCGCGACGTCTCGACGACGGCGGCTGCGAGCAAGGACGTATACGCCCTGCTTACCCTCTTTTTCCACGAGTTTCCTCAGTACGCAAAGCAGGACTTTCACATTGCGGGCGAATCGTATGCCGGCCACTATATACCCATCTTTTCCCAGGACATTCTCGCGCACAAGGACCGCAACATCAACCTCAAGAGTGCCATGATCGGAAATGGCCTGACGGATCCCCTGACCCAGTATCGGTACTACAAGCCCATGGCCTGTGGCGAGGGCGGCTACCCTTCTGTCCTGAGCGAAAGCGAGTGCAAGAGCTTGGACAATGCGCTGCCTCGCTGCCAGAGCCTCATCAAGTCGTGCTACGACACGGACGACACCAACACGTGTGCGAGCGCCACGCGCAACTGCAACGCGGGGCTGCTCAACCCGTACCAGCGCTCCGGACACGACGTGTACGACGTTCGCAAGAAGAGCGGCGAGGGCACGCCCGACTACTCATACCAGTTCCTCAATGAGGCGCACGTCAAGGAGGCGCTGGGCGTCGAGGTGGACGAGTTTGGCCAGTGCAGCGGCCAGGTAAACGGCGACTTTGTGTCGGCGGGCGACTGGATGAAGCCGACGTTCCGCGCGGTGCCCAAGCTCCTGGAGCAGATACCAGTGCTCATCTACGCCGGCGACGCAGACTACATCTGCAACTGGCTGGGCAACCGCGCATGGACCAACGCGCTCGAGTGGCCCGGGCGCGACGCCTTTGGCAAGGCCAAGCAGATCAAGCTCCGCAGCCCGGCGGGCAAGGAGGATTACGGGTATCTCAAGACAGCGCAGAACTTTGCCTTTCTGCAGGTCCGCGAGGCTGGCCACATGGTGCCGGCGAGCCAGCCCGAGGCGTCGGTTGACTTTTTCAACCGCTGGATCAGCGGCGAATGGTTTACCAAGAAGTGAGGCCGAGGCCGGCGGCGCCCAGCAGGTGTGGCCTGCGCCGGTGGTTTGTTGGCGATTTGCTTCCCGGGTTCCGCTCTTCCTGCTTTCCCGTTTCCATTCCTTGGCCTTGGAACCGAGGATTCTTTGTATATATTTTGACGCTGCGGCCTGTCGCGGCGAGTATCGTAGTTTGAACAGAGCTATGAGCATCGCAAAGGATACAAATGATGCTCTTTCGTGCTAGAGCACATCGAACACGGCATTTCTGGCGGGTGGCATGGAGGATTCTTTTTTTAGCGGCGTTGAGAGGCTGTCCGTCCTCGGCTGACCAGGCCGGGAAACCTCTTGCGTCTGATCAAGACTGCTGCCAGGCCATGCCAGCGCAAATGTTGGAATCAGGGGCCGCTTGATTGGTTTATGTTGCGCCTTGTCCTTGTCTCTCCAGCCTGAAAGAGGGAATTCCCAGTAGATGCTTAGGTAATCAAGAATAAATTGACTCGACACGTCTCGCGGCGCGCGTCGCGTTTTCCCAAGTACAGTGAGTGCATGGATGACCTCACTCACGGCGCGAACCACGACGATCTTGCAGCCTCCTCCCCCCGTCCATCTACCTCAGGCGCCTTTGGCAGATAACAACGGCCAACAGCTGTCAACCGGTTCTCGTCTCCTCCAGCACAACCTGACCACGCCCGGAAGCCACCAGCTGTCACCATGTCTGATTTCGGAGACGACATGGACGTCGACGACGCCCCTGCGCCGTCCAAGGACGTCCTCTTTTCCTCGGAAGCCAACAAGGGCAAGCGGAGCGCTGCCAATCTCCCGGTCGAGGCAGAGGATAGCTTGCCGTGGTACGTATAGCGTCTGTGCCTCTGCAGCTTCAGCTTCGGCGTCTGACGAAGCAAAGGGTCGAGAAATACCGGCCGGCGACGCTCGACGACGTCTCGGGCCACCAGGACATCCTGGCCACCATCAACAAGTTTATCGACTCCAACCGCCTCCCCCACTTGCTCCTCTACGGGCCGCCCGGCACCGGCAAGACATCGACCATCCTGGCGCTGGCGCGGCGCATCTACGGCGCCTCCAACCTGCGGCAGATGGTGCTGGAGCTCAACGCGTCCGACGACCGGGGCATCGACGTGGTGCGCGAGCAGATCAAGACATTTGCCAGCACCAAGCAAATCTTCGCAATGGGCGCCTCGGCCAAGGCCGGCCACCCCATGGCTGCCTTTAAGCTCATCATCCTTGACGAGGCCGATGCCATGACCAACACGGCGCAGATGGCTCTGCGCCGCATCATGGAAAAGTACACGGTCAACACGCGCTTCTGCATCATTGCAAACTACTCGCACAAACTGAGCCCCGCCCTGCTGAGTCGCTGCACGCGCTTTCGCTTCAGCCCGCTCAAGGAAGGCGACATTCGCACGCTCGTGGAGAAGGTGGTGGAGGAGGAAAACGTCAAGATTGGCGCCGAGGCGGTCGATGCGCTCATCAAGCTGAGCAAAGGGGACATGCGGAGGGCACTCAATGTGCTGCAAGCGTGTCATGCTTCGAGTGAGACTCCCCCATCGAGCCGTCGACGCACGCTGGCCAGAATGGCTGACTAAAAGACGCAGGTACGCCGCTGAGACCAAAGGGCGCGCCCAAGATACCCGAGAGCGAGATCCGGCGAGAGATGATTACAACGGAAACGATATACAACTGCATCGCGGCACCGCCGCCCGACGCAATCAAGGAGATTATGGCAACGCTGCTCAAGACGTCGGACGTGACGAGCTGTCTGACCACGGTCAATGCGCTCAAGGTGACGAGGGGCCTCGCGTTGGCCGACATAATCACGTCGCTCGCGGACGAGCTGGCCAAGCTTGAGGTCAAGCCCGAAGTGATGATCTCGTGGCTCGCCGGGCTGGCCGAGATTGAGCACCGGGTCGCCAGTGGCGGCAGCGAGGCGGTGCAGACGGGGGCGGTTGTCGGCGTCGTGAGGACCGGCGTGGAGCTGATGGGCAAGTAGACTGGCAGGGGGAGAGACGGGAGTGTGAGCTTGTCCATGTGCTTGGAGTGGCCGTGGTCGAATCTCGGATGGGGTTTTGAAGCGGCAGATGTATCATGGTGTTGGGGGCCATGCAAGACATGCCGGTCTTTGACGGATATAGCCCGCAGCGGCAGACGGAAACGCATGGTGGAAGTCGGAGACGGCGCCTCGTGGACCATCCGTCATATATGTAAGGCGACTTGGGTTCAACGAGGGCACATCTGGCCGAGCAGTGAACGCCGCAAAAGGCTTTGCACTCTACAACAATATAAACAAATATGGTATCCATTTACTCAGTCTGGCCCTTGATGTCTGTTTGTCTGCATCGCTCTGCTTGCACTTTGTATGCACAAGCATTACCGGTATACGTGCGTCCACACTCCACCACAGTGGAAACACCTGATGCTAATTAAAAGGGGCCTGCCTGCTCCTGCTCACGCCTCGATGCGCTGCGATTGGCCCGATCTGCCGACTGTGCCGGGTGATGACACGCACGGCTGAAGCAAGTTGCCATCTTGCATGCAGGGAGCATGCACGGAAATAGCTGCGTGTTTTGGACAGCACGCGAGATGTAGGGTGAGATGTAGGGTGAGATGTAGGGTAGCCGGGGTAACTTGGGCGCGCTGCTCACCAACCTCGGGCCCCCCCCTTTTTGTCGCCTCACCGGTGCAATATCTCTACCGCAGCCCCATCTCTCCCTCAAATAACACCCCCTCCCCTCCCTCTTCCCCCTCTTCCCCCTCTTCCCCCCCCTTTCTCTCTCTCAGTCTGTCTCGGCCCGTGTCGCCTGCCACGGCCAATCCCCTCGCCCCGGGGGATGGGCCGCCTCTCGCTCCTCCAAGCCGAGCGGGCGACGACGCCAAGTTGATGCCGACGCCCGGCGCGCCAAGGGAGCAGCAGAGCCGAGCCGAGCTGGAGCCTTGTCCACTCCCTCAATGGCATCCGCGAGCCCCAGCGACGCCCTCAGCGACGGCCATGGCTCGACCCCAAACACCGCCGGCGCCGCCGCCATGAGACCGCCTCGCCCCCTGGACAGGGCCACGGCCAAGATCCCCGACATCCTCCCCCACAGCCGCGTCTTCCCCATCCAGATTGGCAGCGAGCTGTTCAAGCTCTCGGGCGCCTCCATCTGCTCCGACGGTTAGCGCGCCCCTTGCCGTTTCTTTTCCGTCGCTTGTCCTTGGCTTCGGCTCGTCGTTGCTGGAGAGGAGAACGCCCCCGGCTGACGTTGTGCTCCTCCAACCGACCTCGCAGCCCCGTCCTACTTTTCGCAGTATTTCCTCTGTCAGCTCAAGGCGGCCGAGGAACATGGCGAAGACATGGCCTCGGCCATCCGGACGCTCTACATCGACCGCGACCCGGCGACGTTTCGCGACATTGTGCTGCATCTGCAGGGCTACCACCTCGCGCCCCGCGACGCCGTCCACTTCGTGCGCCTGTTTGTGGATGCGCAGTTCTACAGCCGTACGTTGCCTTGTCTCAGCTGGTGCTCGATGATGGTTTTGCGGGACGCTGACGAGCTCGCCGCGGGCCATGTAAAGTCCCCAAGCTCACGTCGCAGCTCTTCGAGGAGAGCATCTTCATCTCCATCGGCCATCGCGAGTTCCGCATCCCGCGCGACCTCCTCACCAGCCCGACAAACTCGCCAAACTACTTCTCCCTCGGCTTCGCCGCCTTCTTCTGCCGCCCGGACAACGTCTTCCCCGGCCTCGATCGCGAGACCATGGTCCGCCCGCCCGCCATCCTGCCGCCGACGGTGCCCAACCGCTCCGCCGACACCTTTGCCGAGCTGCTGCGCCTGCTCGGCGGCTACCCCGTGCGCATCCGCGACGAGGCCCACCGCCAGGAGCTGCTGCGCGACGCGCGCTACTTCCACTTCAAGGGCCTCGAGCAGCAGCTCATCCCCCACGCCATCTCCTTCAACCCGCTGCGCCGCCGCGACGAGATTGCCCTGCGCCTGGAGAACGTGCAGAAGAGCGGCGTCAGCGTCGTCCAGGAGCCCGACGCCGAGGCGACTGCTGGCCACGGCGGCGTCGCGTGGGTCAACTACGCCCGCCCCTACGTCGACGACCGCCCCGCCGAGCTGGTCCTCGAGATCGGCGGCGACGCCACCACCATCCACCTGCTGCCCGACGGGCCGCGCGCCGACTTCTTCCGCGACACCAGGGCCCGCGTCGCCAAGCTGCTCGAGGTCCTGGCCACCAAGCTCAACCTGCCGCCCACCACCCAGCCCCTCGGCCTGCTCATGGCCTCGGGCGGCGCCTCCTCCCAGCCCGCCACCCCGGGCAACACGCCCCTGAGCGACGACCTCGTACGCGTCTCCCTCGGGCCCGACGCCGCCCTCGTCCTCGACGGGAAGCCCTTGAGCCCCGCCGCCGCCCAGGCCGCCGTCCAGGCCGCCGGCAGCACCGGCCGTGGCAGCGACGACGCCGGCGGCTCGGACCCCGTCGTCGGCTCGTGGAAGCGCAAACGCGCCGCCACCACCGGCCCCGAGGAGACGTCGTGGTCCGTCAAGACGGGCCAGTGGCGGCTGCGCATCCAGGGCACAAAGAGCGGCAAGAGCGCCGTCGAGTGCGTCTTCGTCGCCGTCAAGCTCGACGCCGTCAGCTCCGAGCTGGGCCGCAACGTGGCCAGGGGCTTCCTCGGCAGCTGACCGGTCCTCCTCCCCAGGCCCCTGTCGTGTTCCATATACCATTCGACACCGTCCCCGGACGTGGAGACTAGATATAGATATACTGTACACATTCGTGTGTGTGCAAGGTACGCGTGAGGCACGGTCGGGTCTTCATTATACGTCCGCATGACGTGCGCTGTAGTCATAAAGCATACAAGAACCACGAACGGCCGGCAGCCGTCCCTGTGTTGTTGGCCTTGCCCTCCGTCCCCTTTCGCTTCTCTCCTTCGGCGGCGTGCGCTCGGCCACATGGTGACCAAGATCAAAGAAAAAAAAAATTTCCACCCTGAAAAAAAGTGAATTTGGACGCCTCCTTCGCCTAGCCTTTTCCCACAATAGGGAAACAAGTGAAAATGACATAAAGCGCAATCCACTCGGCGAGGGTTTCATCACCCGCCGAGCTCGTCTCATGCCACGACTCGGACACTTCAACCACTCCCAGGGACAGCCAGGCCAGTCAGCCAGCCAGGCCAACCCCCACAAGAGAGAGAGCACGGTAGTGAGACGGAAGGAGAAGAATAGGAGGGGCTTCGTCACAATCGAGCTCGCAGCCGAGTCTCTCGCATAACGCAGGCAAAGGTCATGAGCGTCCCGGGCCGCCCGTCCTGGCCGTCGGGGCGCTCATGTCCCTGCGCTCGGCGACCCTGCTGACCTTGCGCGGCGTGGCGGCTGCCTGGGCGGCGCTCCTGACCCTGCCGCGGCGCTCGCGGATCTTGGCCAGCGCCTGCTCCCTCGTCATGGTGGGCGTGAGGGCCGGGTTGGTGTGGTCGAAGCTGACGTTGCTGCCGTTGGACGGCGTGCGCAGCTTCTCGCCAAACGACGAGCCCGACGACTGCAGCTGGTTGTCGTCGCGGACCGGCACCGTCGTCGTCGTCACCGTGTACATGGTCGCAGACGTGTGCGGCCGCGGCTCCGGCGATGCTCGGCTCGGCACGCCGGGCGCCTCCCCCAGCGCCTCGTCTCCCTCGTTGTCTCGCCGGAACGGAGCGGCAGGCGGCGCGGCATCGGCGGTGGAGAGCGTGGGCACGCTGCGGATGGTGGGCAGGGGCCCCGTCGGGTATTGAGCGTCGCCGCCGTGCGGTGCGTGGAGAAGCGACTCGAGCGAGGTCCGCGGCTGGGCCAGCAGCGCAAAGGCCGGCGGGTCCACCGAGGGGGTTCTCGCGTACAGGCGAGGCTCGTTGTTGGCCGCGCCGTCGGGCTTGGGCGGTGCATCGGCCTCCGCCTTGGCCTCGTCGGCCATCTGCTGCGCCGCCTCTATCGCTTCCGCCTCCTGCTCCGAGACGGTGCGGAAGATGCCCTCTCTGGGGCAGAATATGGTGCTCCGCCGCGGCTCCTTCTTTGACTTGACATGCCGAGGCTTGGGCTCGGGTTCCGGCTCCTGGATCCGCAGAGTGTTGGCCGCGGGCAGCGGTGACCGTCGGGCCTCCCTCTCTTCAATCTCGGCCTCGACGGCCGCGGGGCACTCGAAAGACTCGCGGCGCCTTTTCTGGGGCGGGCTCTGGCTCTTCCGCGACTGCTTCGCCTTGGTGCATGGGCAGCAGTGCATCTGGCACTCGGCCTGTAGGAAGTCGACCATCTCCTGCGCGCGGTCTGCACGCTGTCTCTCCCACAGGACCTGTGTGGTCAGCTCCTCAATCTCCAATTCGCTGGAGGCTGATGAGACGAGGTCCATTGTCGTCAGCGACAGTCGCGCATCCGCATCGCTCTGGTACTTGATGGCCGTCGTCGTCTTCTTCTTTGGCGAAGCAAACTCGTCGCTGGGATCCTCGGCTCTGGGGAGAGGGATCCGTCCCTCGGCGGCGATGCGGGCCACCTCCTCGTTCTTGGCGGCCGTCTTGAAGGCATCGCGCTCCTGTTCCACAATCTTGATGCGCTCGAGCGCTTCGTCGAGCTGTTCCTGCACGCCGACAAGTTGATATCTCGCCGTAAACGCCTCGTTTTCTCGGACACGGCTCCGCTCTTTTTCTCGCTCGATCGTCTCCTCCAAGATCTTGACGGCACTCCGCGCGGTTTTGAGCTCTTCTTGCAGCTTGACGATGACGGACTGCGTCTTGAAGTTTTCTTTTCGCGCTCGCCGGATTTCTTTTTCCCACAGTGCCTGGGTATGAGCATGTGTCTCCTTGGCGCGCCCGTAGTTTTCCTGACCACGACGGATGGGTGAGCCTCGTCCGGATCATCGACAGTGTTGTGGACTAGTGGCCACGGCTTACCATGACGGTCTCGAGGCGCTCGCCAACGCGCCTCTCGCGCTCCTTGCCCTCTTGGGCTACCTTTTGCAGCAGCCGCATCTCCTCCCTAAGATTCCTCAGGTCGGCCTCGGCCTCCTCGCGGCCGACCATGGCCCTCTTGAGGGCGGCGTCGGCCGTCTTGCGCTCGAGCTGCTTGGACTGCATGGCGACGCTGAGGTTGTTGAACTGGCTGATCTTATCATGCACCGAGTTGTCGCGGCCCTCGGCGCGGGTAGCGGCCATGACGGCGTCGCAGCACTGGTTGACCCGGTCTGGCGAGGCTGTCTGCAAGGGCCCGCCGCCGACGGGGGTGCCGGAGAGGTTCGATCTCGGATCCATTGGCGAGGGGCGCCGGCCGCTGGATCGTGAGCGGCGTGCAGTGGTGACGGGAGATGGAGTAGATGAAGGCCGCGTCAGCCTTTAGTGCTGTTGTTGCCTCGTCGGGATGTCGCTGCTGGGCTTGCTTGCTCTCGGAGGGTTTTTCTCAATGTCATGCGTGGTGGGTTCTCAGAGAGCAATGAATGGCAGGGTCCTGTTTACAGTTGGAGTGGTGGCCCGAACGGGTCATCTTTTTCCGAGCGACGGTTGCTGTGGTAACGCTACGTCATGTGACGGGGCTACGGAGCGAGCAATACGGTCACCCCTCTTGTTTTCTTTATCTACGCCGCCGGCAGGGTCCCCATGGCGTACACCTGCAATGCGCATGCTGTTGCGCGCTCGGAATCTTGCTTGCAAGCCTGGCTGAATTGGAATCGTCGTCGACGGGCTTTGTAAATGCTTTCGTATGAAGGTCTTCGTGTTTTCCACGGGCGTTTGCGCAGCAACATGGGCGTGCAGGCGTCCCTCGTGTACTATACGTCATCTCCTAGGTATCTCTACGCACCTTTTTAGGGTGAGCGGTACTCTTGCCCTGAAATCTGTGTACCTCGAGGGACGATGAAGCGCCGCGGCACGTGGCTCTCGTGTCCTTCCTTGCCTCACTCGAGCAAGACACGACTACGTACATGCCTAATCAGTATCACCACGACGACATCCCTCTCTCACTGCCAGCCTGGCATCAGGAATGCGCCAGAGGCGATCAAAGGCGCAACCTCCTCATATGTAGAGCCCCCCCCTGATATACAAAGTACCGCATCTCAACAGCTCCATCCGTATCCGCTCTCCTCCCTCCCTCGCATCGTCAACCTGCCGACACAACCATCGCCAGCCCACTCATCATGACCGACTCCAAAGTGCGCCAGCGCCGGTCCCAGGGCGAAGATGTGCCGCCATCCAAGGAGCCCGCCCAAGCCTTGTCCCGAATTGACGCCGACGACCGGTACTCGCCGTGGCTCGACGTCGCCCGTGTCATGACCTTTCTCTTGCTGGCCTCGTGCGGCCTCAGCTACGTCATCAGCGGCGGCGAGAGCTGGGCTTGGGGCGTGAGGCACAAACCCAACTTTCTCCGCCCGGACTGGTGGAGGGCCCAGATGGTATGATTCGCCATTCATCCCTCTGTCGCGCAACTCGGGTACGCTGACCTTTTGCCGCCGCCTCCTTCAACAGAGCTGGCCCGTCTACATGACGCTTGAGGAGCTCTCCGCCTACGACGGCCGCGACCCGACCAAACCCCTGTACCTCGGCATCAACGGCACCATCTACGACGTCTCCAACGGCCGCCACATGTACGGGCCCGGCGCCAGCTACCACGCCTTCGCCGGCCACGACTCGGCCCGCGCCTTTGTCACCACCTGCATCGAGGAGGACAACAATCCGGATCTGCGCGGCGTCGAGCAAATGTTCCTGCCCCTCGACAACCCGGAGATCGACGCCCACTGGTCCGCCGCCGACATGGCCAAGCTGCGCGCCGACGAGCTCGAGGCCGCATACGAGAGGGCTTATCTCGCCCTCAAGAATTGGGCCGACTTTTTCGCAAACAGCAAGAAGTACCACCGCGTCGGCTACATCAAGATGGACAATGACTGGCTCGAGAAGCAGCCCGTCAAGAAGCTGTGCGCCAAGGCTCAAAAGGGCAGGGCCAAGAGACAGATTCAGCGGTAATTCGCCCACATGACAAGGCATTCGATTTGGACTTCGTCTCAGAATAGACGGAGAGGAAACACGACGCTCAAGCGTGACACTTGCCAATGCGCCTTCGTCTCAAGACATTTCGCCTCTACTGACGCCGTCGCATTCACCCGGGCGTAATGCTAATTGTGTAATGAAAAATCCTTGACACCTTGCCAGCGTATCTCACACATGCAGCACCATTTTTGTCGTGTAATGCAAGTCATCTTTGATATGTTCCCAAACGTGACATCCAGCTTAACCCCTAGTAAAACACGGTTTGCTTCCACTGTACTTCGGTGTCTCGCTCCTCTCGCGTTTCTCAACTCCGTTCGGCCGGAGGGAATAATGCTGTCCCACGAGCATACGAGAAGGAAAAGCCATTACAGTGTCATCATTCTCTCCCCCGTCCCTCGAGTGCGTCAGCCTCTCCCCCCCGATCACTTACTCTCCATTGCTTTACAAAAGCATGAAGGCGGAGCCGAGGACGAGCAGCATGGCGGCCGGCACGGCGACAAAGTTGGAGTTGGCGGCGGAGACGTTGGCCGAGGGCGGGTTCGTGGTGCTCGAGGTGCCGCCCGAGGTGCCGGTGCCGCCGTTGGGGCCCGTGGTGCTTGTACTGCCCTGGGCCTTGGAAGCCAGCTGCTTGTAGTTTTCTAGGGTGCGGGTCGCATTTGCCGACGGGTTCTCGTTGATGACCATGACCATGCCGCTTTGGCAATGCTTGGCCTGGGCGCAGTAGAACCACTTGGGCATGGTGTCGTTGATCATAACGGTGAAGACGGGGATCTGGCCCTGGGCCTCGCTGGCGGCGGCGGGCTGGAAACCGGAGAAGACGCCCGCGGCGCTCGCGTTGCTGCTCGACACGGGGGCGCAGGCGCCGTCAAAGGTGGATTGCGTCGCCGTGTGGTTGCCGGCCCAGAACTGGAACTGGACCATGTCGCCCACCTTGGCCTCGACCTTCTCGGGCCAGTATTTTTGGCCAGTCTTATTGGTCATGGGGTCCTTTCCGACATTTACTACGTGGACATCGACGGCTGTTGATTGTGTCAGTCTCTGCTCGTTTTTTCGCCAAGCCGGTTCTGTGGCGACATACCTTGAGCAACGCCTAACAGGGCGGTAACGGCAAGAGAGGTGAACTGCATGATGACGAGAGAGAGAGATGATAGTCGTTGGAGGTGTTGAATCGATGTAAAAGGGACCCAGCCACAGGTGGAAGAAATGTCAAATTCCTTCAAGCCGTGGGTGTTTGAATAGAGCGACTAGCGCTTGGTGTCGACAAAGCAGAAGGAATAAGAAATATCGATAGAACTCAGCGGAGGAAAGATGAAGAAGACTGGGACAGAGAACTCGGGCGGGCAAGGATGAAAAGGGACGTTGCAGGGTTATATGAGATTAGAGTTGACCATCTTAACCTTGACCACGGCCGCTTTTTTTTAGATCATATCAATTTCGTAGAACCAATGGACCTCCAGAGGCGGCTAGAGTTAATGGCTCGGGGCCAAGGGGCTTCGCGAGAGCCAACTTCTGAGACACGCTTGGTCCTCGTGAGGATGTCAACGTCGGATCCCTGTGCGGCCGGCCATCCCCGCTCATGGACAATGGCGCAGGCCGTTGGAAAGAAACGGGGAAAACGCCACAGCCCAGGCCCGCCTCGGTGCGTTCGCGTCCGCCCCGGCTGTGCTAGACGATGGCCGCAAAGGGAGACGGCCAAGGTGGTCGCGTAGCAGCTCGCTCGTCGGTTTGAGCGGGCGGGGGGGGGGCCTCCGCGGCTCGCTACAGAGGGCGACGAAATGCCATGGCGTTGCCGGCCAATCCGGACGCCTTCGCATCCGAAGTGGGCGACTCGTGCGGCGTTAGCTGAAGCTCTGAGATGGACCTGCTTCAAGTGGCACGCCTCCGACAAAGGCGCGACAACCCCAGTTTCATCGGTTTCCGCGGGCTGGTGCGCTTGCGTCAAGGGCTGTGACATGTTCGGTGCAGCAGAGGGCGGTTGCCATTGTATTGGGAGAGCGCTGTTCGTCCATGTATCGCCGTTTTGTCCCCGTGTCCGGACTTGGGAAGGCTCCCCCCTATTAGCAAGCTGGCGGAGCCAATGCCCAGAGCTGCTCACTCCCACATTTCTCGGCTGACGAGTTTGGAGTTTCGCCCTCGGCGGCGGAATGTATTCATAAGCGGAACGCGAGTGCACTTCAGCCACACTCCAACAGGTTGAAGGTCCTCGGCCCAGCTCATGCAGGAAATCAGACGGCAAGACGCACGGATTCTGGCTCGTCAGACACTCAAAGGGGTTTGCCACTAGTATCAACGTGGCACAAGCGTTGCCAAGCGTCTGATTCCCCGTGTTCAACGGAAACGGCCTGTACAGGAGTCTCAAGGGTAGCTGCAAGTCTGCCGCGTGGCAGGAAGCTTGCGTACCCGTCGTTCGTTTGACAGCTTGCAATCTCAAAAAGTGTAATTGTGTGAATTGCGAGGTTCCGTTGAGGTGGCAAGCAGGCTCGAATGCTTTTCGCCGGCTATTCATCCGACTATCCCGAGAGAATGTGACGGGCGCAGTAAACAGTCCACAGCGGATAAAGTTCTTCGTTGGTATAGATTTGAGGCTGCAGAACATCCCAGTAAGTCAATCACCCAAGGTCTTCTCCGGCGCCTATGTTTCGAAAAACAGCATCTTGCATTACCGAGGCCGCCAGCGCCCATGACGTTTCTGCTGAGACTGAGTGTGGCACGAACGGCGTCAGTGGGCACTCGTATCTGCCCATGGCGTCATGGACAAATGTGTGACGAGGAAGCTTGCCGTTGCTTGTGCCCGGGGTGGTTTTGAAGTCATGACTCGATTCGGTCGCCCTTGGCCAGACGAAACGAACGAGTTGAATGACCGCGTTTCTTCCTTGATGAGAGAAAATTTTGCTGAGCCGGGTTCTAGACAAGCATCGCCTGACCTTGCTGCGTCCTGCCGTGGCGGCCTGTCGATCGTAGAAGGCTTGGGTCTGAGCACAGGCTGTCAAAAGCTGCGATTTGCCTGCTCTCCCGGCACAATTCTCGGCTGATATGCGTGCTCTACACTCCAGAAATAGACAGCCTCAGAGGTCCAACAAGAGCTGTGGAGCAATCTTCTCTAGGTCCTCAACCTACCACTCCACGGTTTAGCATCCGCTTCCAATACGATGAGGCATCAAGGGTCCGGGCCAGCTCACCTCCAAGAAGCCGCCCCTCTTGTCCACAGCCGCTCTCGCGATGGCCTCTCTCACAAAGACATCCACGTACTTGCCCACGGCCGCGTTCGCGTCACGCGATATCCGCGTCGCGGCCTTGGCGAACAACTCATGAAGCACCCGCGTCAGCAGGTCCTCTGGGATTGACTTTTCTGCCCCAGCATTCTCTTCAACTTCAAGCTCCGGCTCGCCCAGCGTATTGCCCTCCGCTTGATCATCTGAGGATTCGAACGGGTTGCTAGACTCGGGCGGCGCTGCTGAGGCCGACGACTGCTTGCTCTTGCTGCCTTTGGGACGCCCACGAGCAGGGTTCGCGGCCTTTTTTGGCGGCATGGTTCAGGGTGCCTGGGGCTGATGGGACCGGTAAAACCTGCAATGGAGCGATCCAGCATGAGCTCTTGTCGTGGCTCAGTAAAGACCGCGGAGGCGGAGGCGCGTTGTGGAGGACAACCACGCTACTTGGGTGGCTCGTCTTGATTAGTCATCGCTCCTCGGTCTCCAACCCGCCGTCAGCTCGTGACACTTTTCACTGATCTCATGCAAGTTGCAACATACTCTCAGCCTCTCAAGTCACCAGGCGTAACGATTGGTGAAGGCGCGCCATCCTCGACTAGGCGACTGTTCCCGAGTCTTTCTCTCTGTAATCACAAGTACATGTATTATACTCGAGTCTCAAGGGAGACGTCTTTGCACAGCTACTGGTATACCCTAGAGCTTTGTAACCTCAAGCTTCGTATTCTCGAGATGGAAACCATCTCGGGGGTCCAGGCGCGGCGTTCTACTCATCCTGATATATCCTTCTGTTCTGGTGAGAATAGTCTCCGCCTGAGGAAAGAGACGAAAGAGCAATTGTTCGGCGGCTACCGAACCGTCTGTGAATGAGAAGTTGATCTGTTGCGCCAAGATGTTTGAGATCTGCCCAAACTCAGAGTTGCTCGGAGAACCAAGGCTCCACTCGAGCCATCACCCAGGGTAGCCTGCAAGCTTATGATTGCCCACGGGAGAGGAAACCGGCCGAGTTCCAAGGCATCACTCTGACAAACCCGAGTTGATGATTGACCAGCACAACGAGCACCTGTGGCCCTACTCCGAGAGAGCATGGCCTGTCGCTATTAAGCCGCAGGCAAGACCGCGATGGACATCTCCCTAGCACGCGCGCATCTCATACCACGGCCAGAAGCCAGGTCCCAGACTGACGATCACGGCAAGCAACGACGACGACCTGGATTCATGACCAAGGGAAGTTGCATAAGTGTACAAATTACAGCGACCTAGAAAGCACGGCAAAGCCAGAACGAGAAATACGCCGTGCCGATGCCAGTCTAACCCGCGAAGCGCATCTGTTGCACAGAACCACGTGGGGATATCTAGCCCCAACTTCCCACTTTGCTGCTTTCCCCATCTCCGTTTTATATCAGAGGCCTCTGCGACCCGCCCACCGACCAGCCAGCCACCAACCTTCTCCCCGCCAGCTTCAACAGAGTCTATTCGGGAATCTAGGAAAAGGCTCTGCTTAAGCGCCCTTGAAGGCCTTTCCGAAGAGGATCAGCTGGAGCTGATCGTAGATGGAGAGCACACCAGCACCGGCGACGCCACGGAGAATGTTGGCACCGGCACCGTTGAACAGGGACTTGACGCCGTTCTTGGCAACAATCTGGCGGGCGGCATCGAAGGAGTTTTTGTACTTGACGGCCTCACCAGAGGTCATCATCATGCGACGACGGATGGTGTCAAGAGGGTAGGCAGCGATACCGGCACCAGTGGTGACGCACCAGCCGAGAGCGAAGGAGGCCAAGAAGTTGTTCGCCAGAGAGCCAACCAGGAGGACGGGCTTGATGGAGTCGTACATGCCGAAGTAGAGACCACGGTAGACGATGATACCAGCGACAGAGGGCATGAAACCACGGTAGAGACCGGCAATACCATCGGAGGCAACGGTCTTGCGGTAGACGTCGACAAGGCCGTTGAACTGGCGCTCACCGCCCTTCTTGGCGTTCTTGGCATCGTTGGCCAGACGGGTACGGGCGTAGTCAAGAGAGTAAACGAAAAGCATAGAAGTGGCACCGGCAGCCTGCGTCCCGCAAGGTTAGCCTTGAATCGCGGACATGGATCGAGCAGGACCACGTACACCACCAGAGGCCAGGTTGCCCAGCATCCACATGCCATAGCCATCACGGTCCTTCTTGAAGCCAAACATCTTCTTGAACTTGTCGCGGAAAGCAAAGTTCAGGGCCTGGGTAGGGAAGTATCGGATGACGTTGGCAGTGTTACCACGCCACAGAGACAGGGTACCCTCATCGGCCATGGTGCGCTTGAAGCAGTCGGTGATGCCATTGTAGCGGCGGTCGAGACGGCCAGACTTGATCATCTCATCCTGGTTCTGGATGAGAAGCTTAACACGCTCGATGGGAGCAGCAGCGGTCTTCGAGACGGCGGCGGAGACACCACCCACTGTAGTCGGATATGGTTAGCCGAGCTTGCTCACCGAGATGGCCGATGGTCGACCATGTCGACGGCACAAGACAGGTGACTATTGTGAACAGTCGAGACGTCCCGTCCGAGGATGGTGCTAGAACTCACTCAAGAAGTCCGCCATAAAGGGCTGTGATTCGCAGCATTAGTTAGCAGATGCTCCAGACGGTCATCGAAATGGATGAGATTTTCCAGATGCTAGGGACACGGGCAAGCAAGCAAGAGGGCGCGCAGAAGCGGCACCTCGAACAGCGTCATCAAGGTGGCGACGGCCTTTGCAGGACCCAATTGATGGCGACTTGGTAACCGTGTCCCGAAGCGATCCAGGGGCGCACGGTGGATTTGACGGGCCACGAGGAGATAGCTGGACTTACCGGCATGCCCAAAACCTTCTGCTTCTCGGGAGGAGACATGTTGACGGCTGGAGCGGATAGCTCGTTTCCGAAAACAAGACGGGGAAAGGATTGAGGGGAGATTTGACGAGGAGAGGAGAGAGGTGAATGGGCAGGCGAGCGAAATAAATTCTGCACCGGCTGGCGGGAGGTTTGGGGGGAGGGAAAAAAAACTTGCGGCGGAGCCCAGGAAGGGGACAGCTTTTGTCCACCCGGGCCGCGCTAGAGCCGGCGCTGGTTGGTTGGTTGGCCCATCGAAGCGCAGCAGCAAGCAAGCATAGAGACCTCAGGGTACATGCACGGGCGCTATTGGAGCTCCCGGCTGGAGGTATGTCTCGGGTTGCCTTTACCTAGTCCCGCTCCCTCCCCTTTCAAGCTGTTTTCCGCGGGAACAGCGGCAGGCCACCGTGGCAGCTGGCAGCCCTAGGCAGCTGGAGCATTACAGAAGGTCCTGCACAAGTAGCGCATACATCAGAGATACTTGCTCAGGTACCACGCCGCCCAACGGGGGATGCGATGCGAGGCATGCCCTCGAGAACGCGGGTTTCCCTCCCTGCTTTGGAGGTGCCCGGTTCGCCCCGAGAAAATTTCTGACCCCAGGCTTTCCGAGCGGGTACCCATCGACTAATAGCTGTCTACCTGCTGGTACGCCATTACAGTCAGCTTCACATGCCCCAGTCGAGGTTGTCGTCCGGTACTGCGGCATCGTCCCGCTGCTCTCTTTCGCCAAAATCACCCGGAGATTTTCAACAGCTCTGGGCACCCCATGACGCGCCGACAGGCTGGCCAGGCGTCGTTGCGCTGTGGTTTGCGAGCCGCATGACCTGCCATCCAGGCGGAAAACAGGTGTTCAGCAGCGTCCTCGACGCCGCGATGCCCGAGCCAAACGACTGGCCTCGCAGGGTGCGGCATCGGGCTAAGATCAATACGGGCTCGCTCCGTGGTCCTCGGTACCCATCCTTCGTGCGGCCCGCAACCGGCCATTTGCCCTCAAGTCTCCACCACGTCGAGCGAAGCCAGCAGAGCTTAAGAGAGAGCCTCTGCCATGCCTCACAGGAGTGCCTTGATCTGGGACCCTGGATGAAATGCTGCAATGGCAGCATGCTGGACCCTTTTGCTCAAACACGCTGGATGTTTGTTTTGCTGATTTTCCTTTGAAAAGAAAAGCCAGGAAAGATCCCTTTGCTGACATCCAAATTCTCTGGTGGCTTTGGACGCGGACGCGTTGACTGCTACTCCGTACTCCCCTTTGCCTCCACACCCATCGATTGATTATGCGCTAAACCCCGGGTAACCAAAAGGGAAGATAAGGGATACGGAAAAGAAACGAAAAAAGGAGGCGGAAAAGGGCCATCTCTCCTGTCTCGATGAAGCCGAGATCGCCAAATCGGCCCTGTTTCGCAAGAATCTCGCACGTTTGCCCTCCAAGCGAGCTCGGTCCGGCCCGTCCGTGACGCGTGAAGCTGTTCATTCCTCATCTTCAAGTGCAGCAGGCACCATTTTGCAGAATAGCCAAAGCAACTGTGTAGGTGACCCTGGGAATCATGGCCGGTTAGCGAGGCCACATTGTGGTCAAGGTCCAGCTCCCTGGAATTGGGAAGCCCCGTTACTGTGAGGTGGTACTTCTCCAAAGGCAGGTGAGCATAGAGTAATCTCGCATCACTGTGGGTTCGTTGAACCAGCCGTACGACATTCTGAGAGCGAAGACTGAGGAGAAGCAATAATTATGCTCCTGAGCCATTCATGAGTAAGCCGATACAGATTTCAACGCCAACTCTTCTCCAGCAAATGGATGCGGCGAGCAGACTGACTCGAAGAGTCGGTAAAGCACTCGTACCAAGTAGATACTCGCCGCTGACATTTCATGCGGTCCTGGGTCATCATTGTGCCCAGATCTAGGTCATTCATATCTGGATCGCAACCGAGAGGCCAAGTCCAAGGTTGCAGTCACGGCCAAGCTGTATGCAGCAGAGTGCACACAAGCCCAAGGACTCGGCGGGATTCCGCAATTACCGTACGCAAGTCAACCACATCCACATCGCAGTTGTCAGCTTGCTTGTGCCCTGACGACGGTTGGGTGGATCGCAAGTGCAGCCATTCAGCCTGGACATCGATACGATGCTGCTGTTCGTCGACAAGGACGAGAGTTTCTGGTACAAAAAACAAGCCCCAGAGCATCGAGGACTCGGAAGTGGCAGTGGTCATTGGATGAATATTCATGGCTGTGAAATGGAATGCAGGTACGCGGCGAGACCAACCCCCCGTCGCGAATCGCCAGTATTCCTTCGAGGCCTTTCGTCTTATTGTCGAATGCTGAAGGATTCCGCTTCCTGTCTATGCTACACCGAGCATGAAATATGTCCCAATCAGGCATTGTCTGCCGCGAAGCATTCCTCAATCCTGTGGCCGATTCGTCATGACGGCCACTCCGACGCCAAATCTCCAGACCCAAGTCGCTTTTCTCGGGCAGCTTAGGAAGCGCCGACGGCACGGGCTGCGAGGTGTTAGCTTACCGGCTCTCCATCGGCGGGGCGCTCGCGGCCATACTATAGATCTTCATCTTGCTGTGCGTAACGACGGGCTTGATGATGCCCTTCTCCTCCAGGTCGGCGATGCACTGCCGTGCCAGCGAGCCGTTGATCTTCATTCTGTCGACGAGGGTGGCGATTGTGACGAGGCGGTAGGACTGCACATCCTTGTAGAGCTTCTCAGAGGTGGTCTTGTCGAGGAGAACGGCGTGCTGGGCCTTGTCCTTGACCTTGCCCTTGGACCACTTCTTCTTTTGCTTCTTTGCTCCAGCAGCGGGCGCCTGTCGGGATCAATCGCCAGTTAGCATCCACCGGGCGATGCCATCGGGATCGGCTGGTGCGCGCCTACCATTTTGTTCGAATGTGCTTGACGTTGTCGACGAGTGTGGAAGAGCGTGAATTTTCGCCCGACAAGGCCAAAAGGCTGCCGCTTGAGAGAGGGGGCCCTCTGGGCGGAGTTTTGGGCCCAGGGCAGGCGTGCCCTAAGCCGCCCGGCGCGCAAAGGCACGTTCCGAACTTTTGGCGGCCTCTGATTCGCCTGGGGCCCGCACACCCAGCCAAAATTTCAGCCCTCGTCGACTTGGCCCGTCTTCAACCTCACGCAAACGACATCCTGCAATACTAACCTGCAGTCCCTCGCCAGACCTCCAACGCACGACTGCACGCGCCGAAAATGTCTGAGGGCGGCGATATTGAAGTCGAGAACACGGTTCTCTCCGATGTTCTCCCCAAGGACGTTGTCAAGGAGGTCGGCAACATCAAGCTCTTCAACAAGTGGGACTACGATGTCGAGGTCCGCGACATCTCCCTGACGTACGTCGAGGCAAAGCCGCCGCCACCACGCCCGCCAAAGGATTGGATTGCTGACCGTCGGGCGGAACAGTGACTACGTTTCCCTGCGCAACCCCGTCTATGTCACTCACTCCGCTGGCCGATATGCCGTCAAGCGATTCCGGAAGGCCAACTGCCCCATCATTGAGCGACTGACAAATTCGCTCATGATGCACGGCCGCAACAACGGCAAGAAGCTGATGGCCGTCCGCATCGTTGCCCACGCCTTCGAGATTGTACGTCGAGATTTGCGCTTGAACGCTGGCGGTCCGATGGTCTAACGCGTGCCTCAGATCCACCTCATGACCGACCAGAACCCCATCCAGGTTGCCGTTGACGCCATTGTCAACTGCGGCCCCCGCGAAGACTCGACGCGAATTGGCTCCGCCGGTACCGTCCGACGACAAGCCGTCGATGTATCTCCCCTGCGCCGGGTCAACCAGGCCATTGCCCTGCTAACCACGGGCGCCCGCGAGGCCGCTTTCCGCAACGTCAAGTCCATTGCCGAGTGCCTGGCCGAAGAGCTGATCAACGCCGCCAAGGGTAGCAGCAACTCGTACGCCATCAAGAAGAAGGACGAGCTGGAGCGTGTAGCCAAGAGCAACCGATAAATGTTGCGGGGAGGGGCTGAAGTTGAAGGGTTTGTGGCTTTGGCGTGGTTCTGCATCATTTCAGAATTGCATTTTGCGTTCGGACATGGGAACGCGGGTCTGGATCGTCAAGGATGGCTCTAGAGACTCAATAAAAGGGTGGGCTCTCCAAGGGCACAATGAAGTTATGTCTCTCCTGCCACGCCCGATCAATGGGCATTCCACACTCTGCTCGGGGGGCCAAAGCTCTACTACGGCTGGATCAAAATAGATGTGACCCCAGTCGGTCTGTGGATGAAGCCATCCAGGCGATGGCGTCGATGGCCAAAGCTGTCTTCCTCTAGGCGCTGAACCCTTGAGCAATGCTCGTCGAGGTGCAAGTTTGTGGACTCAGACGAGATGTACCCCGGCGGACTGAGGCAGCTATTCAATGTCCAATCTTCGAAACATGCCTACATGCGGAATTCCCTCCTCAAACCACCTGCCCATGCCCTCGTCGACCTGGAATCCCCATTTTGCCCAGGCGCCGACTGCCTGCTCCTGTGCGTGAGCGCAGACAAGACCCTTCCACCTTGGAGCGCCTTGCTCCGAGCCTGGTTCTGTGACGGCATCGTCAAAGTATGACTTGTTCGCCTTGAGCCAGGAAAGGGCCTCAATGACGAGATAGCCTGCCAGGCGTTGGCCCCGACACTCCTTGATGACGGCCAAGCGCCCGAGCTTCACGTACGGTTCCTTGCCATCATGGAAAGAGGTTGGTCGGTCGGCCAGAAGAGGTTTGACTGTCGTGTCTACGCTGCCCGTGACTGGCTGCTCGCCTTCCAGGACCCCGTTCCAGTAGCTGCCGCCAGCTTCGGGATGCGGCTCATGCGGGAAGGGAACTAGGCGTACGGTCCCGGCCGGCGGCTTCCGAGTCGAGCTCTGTGGCGGCTGCACGGCATCTCCGTTGCCATTGGGCACTGCGGTTTGCTTTGAAGTGGCGTAGACGACCCAATGGCATGATCGGGAGTCATCAGAATCGAACTCGTTCTCGAGCGGTACATTTTGCTCCCGGACAAAGACTTTGCCACGGACCTCCATGGCGTCAAGAAACGGCCTCGGTATGGAAACCGGCTGCGCATCGCGTGAGCGCCCTGGCTGGAACCCTTTGAGATTGCTAGGCTCCAGGAAGGCGATGGAGGGCGTATCGGAGTCCATGGCGGGCTAATTGGCGCTAGGAGGTAAGAAAAACAGTGTTTTAAACGGGCAAATTCGTCGACACTTGACAGACGGGTCCGTGCGCCAGTCGAAGATATGGTCACTTGCACGCGTATCCGACGCAGGGAAAAAAGGGCGGCGGCTAATATAAGGTAATGCCGGGTCGAAGAATCGATTCAGCATGAGCTGTGAAAGGCGCGCGTGCCTGCGGCTCGACATGCGCCCTGTGGAGGACAAGGCCTAGCAGGGCCTAATCGGACCGGAGCTCCGGCGCGCCGATGTTTGACGAGATCGGAGGCGGGCCCGATGCAGATCCACCGGCACATGGGCATTTGCAATCCCTTGCTAATTACCGTGTTTTGTGTACTGTACTCCGTACCTGACTGAATACCTACGATGCTACAGTACGGTCGTTTGAGGGCGGATTCGCACCGCCACATGTACTGCGACGAAGCCTCCAAAGAAACATGGCTGAAGTGCGGGCCGCCACGGGGCGCGCAAAATCGGGCAGCGGAAGATGAGGACTGACCGGCCCGTGGAAGCGAAATTGCTCCCCAGCCAGGAGTGGGATAATTACAGGTGCTGATGAGTGGGTACATACATGCATACTGTACATGGAGATACGGTGCAGTAGATGAGAGGCAGTTGCGGGAGTGGCCCCGAGTGGGAGTTGAAAGCCACAATGGAGTTTCGAAAAGGCTGCATTTTGCGGATACCCGAACACGGCAACTCCACAGTAACGTTACTGTGTTGCGACGACCAGGGGAAGAGGAGGAGGGCGCAACGTCATTACATACAGTAGATGCGGAGACGGTAGCCGTCGTGCGGAGTATTGTCTGCGAAGACCGATGCCTCTAGTTAGTTATCCCTACTCCGTACAGGCAGAGTGGGTGACTAGAATCGGCGGCCAAAGCACACACGTGGTGGAAGAGCACTGTGCAGTAGGGCCCGAAAAAACCAGCCGCCGCCCTGATTCGCCTTCAGGTAAGTTACTCCCTCCAGTTCCTCCTCCAGTTCCTCAGCGTGCTAGGTCCGGCAAGTCAAACGAGCAAGGTACTGTACTGTACTGTATGTATCTACCGACCGCATGTGCTTGACTGATGGAGAGACAAACGCCCCCCTCCCTTCCCGGGCAAAACAATAGAGCAGTATTCGTACTTCGTGCCTACTAGGCAGACAGAAGCTCGCGGCTTGCAGAAATGTGCACTAAGAGACGACTTTGACTCTGGGCTAGTGTCTGACAGGCAGCGGCACGGGTCAGTCGGCCCTTCGCATGCTCCGTTCCTACACGAGGGCAGCCCGGAGACGGCCTATGTCGACTTTTTTGTGTTTTGGCCCTAGACACCTCGAGCAGCAAACTCCATCGTCAGCCGGCCTGGGTGCGAGTTTGCTGCGGGTGGCCTGGCGGGTGGCCTGGCGGGTGGCCTGGCGCAAAGCCATCATCCATGGATGAGGCTGCAGCAGTGACCGGGGCTGAAGAACAGAACAAGGGCAAATTATCCTGTGCATGGGTTGAACCAGGGGAACGGCGGAGCATGTTTGGCTGCTAGTGTAGTACTGTGCAGTACATACAAACTAGCGCCAAGAAGTACCTCTTTAACCTTGGGGAAAAGAGAGGCGTCGTGGCCGTGCGCGCCGCAATCCCCCTCGACCCTGACCAAGGAGAGACAAAAAAACTATTGAGCATGGTCTGGCTTCACCTCCGTTCCCGATTCGACTAGCAGCTGGAGCGCGCCGACGAAGCAAGCACGCATCGACATCGAATTCTGCCGACCCCCGCGTGTCGACTAGTCGCTACCTAGCAGCTCAAGGGCATTCAGTAATGTACTCAGGGGCTTGCCCACCGACAAGGCCCTCGACTCAAATCGCTCTTCCCACGCACCTCTCCCCCTGGTGAGCACCATCTCCGCCTCTCTCTTCAACTGGCCCGAGCCATGCTTGCGCCGTCTGACTCTTTTCTCGAGAAGCGTCGCCTACCCGACACGCCGCATTGACTCTTGATGCCTCCCGCCATCCTGTGCCCGGCTGCGCTGCTCCCAAGTCAAGCCTTGCCAGCCTAGATTCTCCGCCACCACCGCCTTCAACTCGCCCCTCGCAGCCTCGTCGGCGCCGGGGACCGCTTTCGCTCGAGTTTCAATGCCCTGGCAGCCTCTTCCCCGCATCGCCTTCGCCGTTGCCACCTACCCCTTCTCGGCCCAGAGCCCCGCCGACCTGCCACTCGAGATTGGCGATGAGCTGTACATCATCGAGGAGACGCCCGATGCCAATTGGCTCAGAGGCTACCTCGTCGCGCCCCCAAGCCTGTTGGCCGGCCTGACCTCGGTCAAGGGCCAGTCCCTCGAGGCCCGCGTCTTCAGCGGCATCTTCCCCCGAAGCTGCGTCGAGGTTCGAGAGATGCTCGGCGAAGCCGACGAACGACAAGACAGCGATGACGACCCCGACGAGCACTCGCCGCACCAACGCGTCGGCACCGTCCATGCCAGGCCCGCCAGCGACTCGGCCAAGAGCGGCATCACCAATGGCAACTCGCCAACCAAGGCCGAGGCCACCGATACGCCGGCCAGCCCGAGCCACGACAGGAGGCCCTTGAGCGAGCTTCCCAACGGCGTTTTGGGCAACTTGTCTGTCCCCGTCAAGAAGGATCCCAATGCGCCGCGGCCCGCAGCGCCCGTCCCGATGCTCAAAATTGGTGACGAAACCCCAACCTCGGCTCTGGAACCTTTGATTGACGAAATCGCCTCCTGCTTGCGCGAATGGCATTCCAAAAACCTCCACGAGCTTCTCCTTTCGCGGAAATATGCCGAGCTGGACAAACTGTCGCAGCTCATCGGCCGCCTCAATCTCCACCGCCAACAGTTCCTCTACAACGTCCTCACAGCCCACGAGTACGAGCTGCTGCGGGAAAAGACGGTCTGGGATCTGGTGAGGGTGAACAAGCTGTGCGGGGGTGAGGTCATTGTTCGCGATCCGGCAGCTCGTGGTCGAGTCCTGACTGGCGACGACTCGGCCGTGGACATTACGAGACTCCAGTCTCAGATGAGCCTCCTGGATGAGCCCCCCCACTCCACTGAACTGTCGAGCTTGCATCACCTTTTGCTGGAAGTGAAGGGATTCGCGGGCTCATCTACAGAAGAAACTTCCTTGATGATTTACCTTGTCAGCAAGACGCAGCATGGCAAGATATCCAACTTGTCCGAATGTTTCAGCGTCGAGATACCCCCTGGAGGGTCGATTGGAAGTCTCGCGCAAAACTCTTCGACCAGGACTCTCTTCACCGACCTATCCGCTCAGGATATCGGAGATGCGCCGTCAGCGGACACCGAATTATACCTCGTGGTCAAGGCTTTGGCGCCTCAGCAAATCACGTCCCACAACCCTCATTCCCGATCAGGTCTCGTCACAGACAACGGGCATTCGAGAGACTATACAAAACCAGTCTCGACGGGTGGCGGCGGCAAGCTCTCCAGAAGAAGCTTGATGTGGGCCAGCAAGGGCGGTCGGTCGACCTTTTCGAGGGGATACGGCATGCCTAGGATGGAATTGGTCTCGGAACAGCAGGAAGATGCCCAGTCAACTTCTGGTCTGGAGAGCCGAGATGGACATGTCCCGCCCAGCACGGCCGGCTCGATAAACACCTCATTTGTGGCAACAACTCAGACGGTCCAGCGAACCGTGGGCGTCGGTGTCTTGAAACTCAACCCCATGATGAAACAGCCAAACGAGGTCGAGCAAGTCGTTGGCTTCTGGTCGCCGACTATACGGCCCGGGCCCGAAAAGGAGAACAAGGCTGAATGCGATCCCCTGATTCGAGAAATCCTGGAAAAACCTACCGGACAGTTTGAGAAATCGCCAAGAGGCGAGCGGCTGCAGATCTGTCTTCAGACATTTAACCATCCAGACGCCGACGTGCTAATCAAGACCACGCCCACGCTGCTTTCTGGAGTTTCGAAAACAAGCCGGATAGGCTTCTCGGGCGCTCCCGCAAAACCCAGATCGGACATTTATCTGACGCTCAACGCCGCCGCACTGGCTCGGCAGCATCTCCTGTCGAGGTATGGCGGAAGCGCGACGAGCATGCCACCAGGCTTGCAAGGCACGAGTCTGCAAATCACCTTGGAGGTCCGTGGGCCTTCAGGCCAGCGGTTTGAGAATTGCATCTTCGCCTCATCCAACAAGGAGCCTTTGACAACATTCAAGTCTGTTGCTACGGAAAGGGGCGAATCGTGGAATCAAACCCTGCGGCTCTCATTATCACCAAACGATGTCCCGACGGCTCACGTCGTCTTGTTCCTTGCCGAAGCCACCGGCCCCCCTTTCGCCGTTGCACACATGCCATTCTGGGACCAGCAAGCCTTTATGCGCGATGGCCGGCACGGTCTTTTACTCTATAAGCTGGACGAGAATACCGCGACTGCGCAAGCCGGCCCTTCAGGAAAAGGCGGCTATCTTTCGCTGCCGTGGGCGCCTCGCGGCAAAGATCAGCACTCTGCAGAGGTCACTGGACCCTTGGCAGTCGTTCTTGTCGACACGTTCCTCTGCAGCACAAGGTTCTCTCAAGACAGGGTGATATTGGGCCTTCTGAGATGGAAAGAGTTATCTCAAGAGGACATCATTTTCGTCTTGAGGCAGCTGATCTTCGTGCCCGAGATAGAGGTTGTCAAGCTGCTCAGCGACGTGCTGGACGGGCTTTTCGGCATCCTTGTCGAGAACTCGGGCAATGACGAGTTCGAAGACTTGGTGTTCACGGCGGTTGTAAGAGTTCTCGGCATCGTCCACGATCGGAGGTTCAACCTCGGCCCCTTGGTCGACCAGTACGCCGAGGCGCAGTTCAACTATCCTTTCGCTACGACGTGCCTGGTTCGGTCGTTTACGCGGCTGTTGGAGAACCCCACGGAACCGGAGACTGCGCGCAAACTGAGGGCCACCTTCAAGGTGGTCAGGCATATCCTCAAGTTCATCTCGCGGGCTCGGGGGCAGATGAAGGAGAAGGAGGCTGTGATAGGGATCACGTCCTCTCCACAGGGATTCACGCGGCAATTGCGGACAATTTTTAAGGCACTTGACGCAATGATGCGTAACCCGAGTCCCGTCTTGGTCGGCAGCCAGACTTTGGCCGTCCAACACTTCCATACGTGGCTGCCAGAACTCACTGGTCTCCTGACGACCGAGGAGATTTTGCACATTGCCATCGACTTTATGGATTCGTGCACCGAAGTCAAGGGCAAGCTGATACTGTATAAGCTTGTTCTCATCATCAACTACTCGAAACTGGATCTCTTTGCTCACGCAGACCAAAAAGCCGCCCTGTGTGCCAACACCGTCCGCTGGATCGCGCCTCACTGGGGCCACACCGAGGAAGTCAACGATCAATGGAGGGACCAGGTTCGCTTGTGCTGCTCCGTCATCGCCAGCCAGGTCGACTATGTCGGTCCGGAAATCCCAGACCACATACCCCGAATTATCGACTCCTACCTTGCCATTTTGACGTCACCTCAGAAGCCGCGAGACCGCCTTTCTCTTTTGTTTCCCGCATCGTACCCATTCCCCTCGAAGCCCGTCGGCGAGGCATTTGCATTCGATGAGGCCCTGGCCGAGCTGTCGGCTGTTCTCTCCGCCGTCTCGACTTCTCCAGCTGGCATGCAACTGGAACTCGCAGAGGGAGACCTCTCAATCATACTCGAGAATCTATTGCGAGTGCACATGAGCATCCTCACCGGTGATGCTTTCCCGTCGGGGTGGCTGAGCGTTCATATCTATCATCATAAGTCGACAATGCGCACTCTGCATTACCTGGCCAACATAATGCTGGAATCTTTTCTTCCCCACCCTGACGACGCCGAAAGCTTCAACACGGAGTTGTGGAAGCTCTTCTTCACGACCCTTCTCAAGCTTGTCGGGAGCACATCTCTCGCCCTGGAGACTTTCCCTGAACAAAAGCGGCGGGCCGTGTGGAAAATCGCCGGTGACGTGCGCGAGCACGGCGCTGAGCTTCTTCGCAGGACCTGGGAGGCCGTTGGGTGGGATACGACCCCCGAAGAGCGTGGTCGCTACGGGTTGCCCAGGCTCGGTGGTTATCAGGTTCAATACGTCCCTACTCTTGTCGGGCCGATTGCCGAGCTCTGCTTAAGTGTTCATGAGGGACTTCGCCGGATGGCTGTCGAGGTCTTACAGACCATGATCGTCAGCGAGTGGACCCTGAGCGAAGACTTGACGGTGGTGCAGACGGAGATGATTGACTGTCTGGACCACTCCTTCAAGTCGAAGGCGCTGACGGAAAGCTTTCTTCAAAAGCTGTTCGTCGGCGAGTTGTTGGAGCGTTTCGAGCCGCTCTCTGAAATTCCAGATGAACCGCTCTACGGAGCCATCAGGGAGCTCGTTTCCGCGCTGGACGAGTTCCTCGACTTGCTCGTTGCTGTACACAGCACTGACGGCAGTGATGAGGCATCGAACATTATCAACCGGCTGCGCCTGATGGAGTTTCTCCGTGACATGCAAAAGGAAGAGATATTCATTCGCTACGTTCATCAGCTGGCCAGCTTCCAGGCGGAATCAGGCAACCACGCCGAGGCCGGCCTGGCATTGCGCCTTCATGCCGACTTGTACGAGTGGGATCCCACCCGGCAGACCCCGGCGTTGACGGAGCCACGACTCCCCGCGCAGACGCAGTTTGAGCGCAAGGAGAGGATCTACTTCGACATGATCAAGCACTTTGAGGAAGGAGAGTCGTGGAGCAATGCCTTGACAGCGTACAAGGAGCTCCAGGCGCAGTACGAGACCAACGTGTTTGACTTTGCCAAGTTGGCAAGGACGGACCGCGCCATCGCGACCATCTACGAGAAGATTTCCAAGAGCGAGAAAATCATCCCGAGATACTTCAAAGTCGTCTACAAAGGCTTGGGATTCCCGTCGAGCTTACGGGACAAGGAGTTTGTCTACGAGGGATCTTCCACGGAGCGAGCGTCCGCCTTCACAGATCGCATGCAGGAGCAGTACCCCTCGGCGCAAATAGTCACCTCGGGCGACGTGGACGAGGTCGAGGGGCAGTTCTTGGTCATATCTGCCATTGCTCCCCGCCGCGACTTGTTCCACCAGGTGTTCCAAAGGGCTCGAGTTCCACAGGTGGTTCGTGACTACCTGCTGTGTTCGCATCCTCAGAGCTTTTCCTTCACGACAAGGCGCGATACCTCGGGGCCGATAGAGGGCCATTACGCGGATAAGTTGGTCGTCACCACTGCCGAGCCGTTCCCGACTCTCCTTCGCAGAAGCGAGATCGTGGAGACGCGCGAGGTGCGCCTCACGGCCCATGAGACGGGTCTGGAGCGCATTGTGCGCAAGACTCAGGAAATGGCAACGCATGAGCGGCGTCTTGCCGAAGGTGACGAGGAGAATTCTCAGCAGCTCTTGGATGCTGTTTCAATATCAGTCAACCCGTCGTCTGAGCACAGCGTCGTCTGCTACCGGAAGCTGCTCCCCGAGCCCACTATTGAGGAAGAGGAGGATGGAGAGGATGAGGAAGAGGCCGACCTCGAGCCAAAGGACATTGCAATCCGAATGGCCCTCGTTGACCATGCAATGATGATCAAGCGTTGCCTTGCCCTGTTAGCCCGAAGCACAAACGAGCTCCTCTGCCAGAAACACGAGGAACTCAATCGATGTGAGTATATGCACAGCTGTCAAATACATTGACAGCATCACTGACGAAGAAAAGACTTCGAGAGCACATTTGAGCCAGAGATTGCCATGTTCGCACCACCTCCGCCGGCATCACCGCGCGAAGCAGCGTCGACTCCATCCACCGTGTTCAGAGGGTCTTTGGGTTCGGGCGAGCAGAGTCCCAAATGGCAAAATATAGCAAGCCCCCTGAGCGGGAGCAAAGCCGAAGAGACTGCCGTGATTCAACAACTTTCTCTGCGACACCGCGGCGCCAGGCTTAGCCTCCTCGGCGGCCGGAAGCAAGAAGCAGAACCAGCAGCGGAGGCTGAGAAGGCCAATGGCGAGAGTGACGGCGCAAGTTCTCACCGACGGAGTCTGAGCAGGGGCCCAGGCCTCCGGCACAGCATCTTCCGGTCGCAGTCTGCAGACGAGGCCCACGACGACGGGCACGTCGGCTCGGCTCGGCGGAGCAGCTCGGTGGGCAAGGACAGCCTGGACGGAGGGTCGGTCAGGGACGGCAAAGCGGCCACCGACGACGAGGAGTCGGGGATCGGCAAGCGGGGAAGCATGAGGAAGCGGCTCAGCCGGCTCAACATGAAGCTGAGCAAGAAGGGCGGCAAAGGAGCGGGATGGGCCATGGGAAGCCTGGACGAGGAGTAAAATGTCTCTCGAACGGAGCGGACTCACGGCGCGGACCGGTTCATTGGATTCTCGACAACTCCCTGGAAGACCAGCGGGTGCTGGCTTGGCCGGGAGGCGGCGCCTAAAAGATACGGGGCCGAAAACGGGAGACCAGCATGAAGGGGGCCGAGAGGATGGCTGCGTTGCATAATGCGGCTCGAAACGGATGACGATTGGTACCTTCCTTCCTTACCTCTCTTTGCCTGAGCGTGTAGCTTTTTTCTTCTCCTTTGTTTTTCGGGGATGGATGGATGGTTGGATGGATGGATGGTTGGGAACCGGGAGCTGGGTGTTCTGGATAATGTGACAGGACCGACGGTGTATATATATAGCTTTTAGATGGAACATACCGGCCGAGGAATCTCGAGTTTGGGCTTGCTTCCTACCGGCCATGTCATAGTGCGGAGTGCGGGCTGGTGCCATCCGGTTCTTGTTACTTGTGGATTTCTACTCCCGTCGCTTTTCGGTGACGCAGGGCTCTCCCGACCATCTGGCCCTGCCTGGACTCGTGGATGATTGCTAAGAGGGGGGGAGCTCGCTGCACTGAGAGTCAACGCTCAGCATCATCGCACGTTGCTGCAGAGCCTCGCAATGTAGTCCTTTTTCCATATTCACTTTATTCTACAGACGACGAACAAAATCCCCAGCGAGATAGTCTTTATACTCTTACAAGGCAGCCAGTTCCTCCATCCTCCTCTCCAGCTCGGGGACTTGCCTCAGCTTAACATCGAGCTCCTCCTTCTCGTCCTCGAGCTTGAGGCGCCTGTCGGCGTCGAGCTTGGTGAAGACAAAATGGCCCTGGCCGTCAAACTGGAGGATGTGCGTGTGGTACTTCCACAGGCTGCGGCGGTGGCTGACTGTCATGAGGGTGATGCCGAGGGCCTTTGCGTTGTCGTACATGACCTTTTCCGTCTCGAGCGTGACGCTGCTGGTGCACTCGTCGAGGATGGCGTACTGCGGTCGGTGGTAGAAGAGGCGCGCCATGGCGACACGTTGCTGCAGGCCGCCCGAGAGCACGTCGCGCCACTCGGCCTCTGCATCCCACCCGTCGTCGTAGAGGTCGACGAGGTGCTCGAGGCCGAGGATCTTGAGGATGGAGACAAGGTCGGCGTCGGTCACGGCCCGCGCCCGCATCTGCCGCAGCGAGTCCGGGTAGATGATTTGCTGTCGGAGGGAGCCGCGCGACAGGTAGGGGCGCTGCGGGATGTAGAAGATGGCGCTGAAAGGGGGCTTGTAGACGGTGCCGCCATAGACGGGCCACAGTCCACCGAGGATGCGGAAGAGGGACGACTTGCCGCAGCCGTTGGGGCCCACGACCAGCAGGTGGTCGCCGTGCTTGAGCGAAAAGGACAGGGCCTTGACGAGCACGTCTCCGTTGGGTGAGACGATGGGTCTAGACGGCAACCAGGTGTCAGTTTTGGATGCTTGTAGCTGCCATGCTGTCGGCAAATGCAGCAGAGACTCACACGTCGATAAAGGTCACGTCCGGGCTCTCATGGACGGTGCCGCGGCCCTTGAGCACGGCCTCGTTACACTCGGTGCCCGACGAGGAGACAAGCTTCTTCTCAAAATGGCCGGAGCGGATATCGTCCATGACGTCGAGCAGGGAGGCGACGCGCGACGTGTATCCGGCCAGCTCCATGACTTCCCTGTAGGAGAACATGACGCGGCCAAAGGCATCCGAGGCGGACAGCAGCATGCGACGGTTGGTCACAAAGGACTCGGTGCGGTCGCCCATGTTCATGGCGATCTGGCCGGGCATCTTGACGAAGACGGGCACGCTGCAGAGGACGAGGCCGAGGGCGCCCCAGAAGTACTTGATAACAAAGTCTTCCATGAAGCCGTGGTAGAAGCGCCGGCGTAGAATGTAGTTGACGTGCTTGATGAGGGTGAAGTAGCCCTTGTCGAGCGTGTCCTTTTCTGCGTCGTGGCCGGCGTAGAGGGCCACCTCCTCGCCGTAGTCGATGAGGCGTGAGTGTTGGTAGCGGAACTCGCCCTCGAGGCGGGCCTCGTCGGCAACGTACTTGCCAAAGGGGGGCGTCAGGATGCGCATGATGTTTGCCGAGAGCTGGACGAGCAGCGACATGAAGATGACGCCCTCGCCGCCGACGCTGTTGGACAGGGAGTAGGTGTAGATGGTCTGCAGCACGAGTCAACGGTCAAGTAAGACAGGGGGCGGAGAGACGAATCTCGACTCACCATGTCGAGGAGCGGCTTAGCCAAGTTACTGTAAAGCTCCGCCAGGCTGTTGGAGAACTTGGACACATCGACGGCGATGAGCTGGTCCGGGTTCTTTATCCGGTCGTCGAGGGCCGAGAGGCCGTAAAAGGTCAGGTTGGACAGGTACTTGTCGTGGATGTGCTGTGTCAGCCTCGTCCGATACTTGAGGGACAGCTCCGCCTGGTGGTAGGACAGCTGTGTCGAGAGAGTGTTAGCCTGATGAGAGCGAAAAGGAGGGAGGAGGAGGGCCAATGCTCTCCGTCTCTCCCGCGGGCGGACTTGGCTCTCACCATGGAGTTTGTAAAGGTGGCCGGCACGGCAATGAGCATCCAGCTGACGATTCTCTTGAGAAACTCCTTGCCGTTGCCCTTGACGAGGGCCTTGACAATGGCGCCGTCCATCTCGGCGACGCGCAAGCTGATGAGAGTGCGGAGAACGAGGAAGAAGCTGTGGCTAACCAGCAGGCGGGCCTCCTTTGTGCGCCATCCGGGGACCACGATCCTCAACAGCCGCAGCAGAGAGCGAAAGAATTCGCGGTTGAGGGCGACCTTGCCAGTGCGGGGCGCGGAGCCAACGGCGGCGTCGGAGTCGGGGCCTTCGGCGGAAACGGTTCCACGACGGGCGGCGCGCTGGGCCGACTCGCGGGCCGAGGCGGCCTTTTGCTCCGAGATGGCGTGGCGGACGCGGTGGACGAGGGCGACGAACAGGGTGAGGCAGACGGCGCGCGAGATGCGGGTGCGGTTCGACAGGTATAGGCGGGTGAGGTCGGCCACGATGCTGCCGAAGCTCCTGCGATTGCCGAGACGGCTCAGGAGCAGGCCAAGCTTGGATTGCGCCGCCATGGTGGCGCGGGTTGGCTAGCCGCCGCCGCCGCGAGGGTGCTGGTAGACGAGAAAGAAGGACGGGATCGATCTATGGGGCGAGGCAGATGTTCGCAGGTGGCGTCACGAGCAGCGAGCATCGGCTTGCCGGCAATGGAGAGAGCAGTTCTGGCCCAGCATACGAGCCCGTTGCGCCGAGGCAATAGGTCTTTTTGGCGATTGGCTGAAGCTGGCCACGACGATCTCCAGGCTCAAAGGGCGAAAGATTCAAAGTGGCAGCACCATGTCGACTGTTCGGTCGTCGGTCGTTGTCGTTGCTACCAAAGGCAGGCGGGCACATGAGCGGCGGCTCTTGCCCTCCCTCGGCCAAACCCCCCGGACTAGGCAGGCAGGCAAGGCCGTGGGTGACACCTGCCGCAAGCTTCCCCAGGCATGTGATCGGCCGTTCATCTGGAGTGAGCGCATGCACCAGCCACGCACCGCCACATCTGTGGGGTAAAAATTTCCCCTCCTCTGCATGCAGACTTGACAGTCTCATCGTCTTCACACACAATCTCTCTCTTGGACGTTCTCCGCCTTAACCAAAGGCGCGGCACAGAACGAAATCTGACTGCATCGACGGTCAAGGCCGTCCATCCTCCGTCTTGTGCATCCCGTGCTCGCGATCCGCCTTGTTTGCCCAAGATGTCAGCCGACGAAGAGGAAAACATGGCCATTTACGATGAAATCGAAATCGAAGACATGACCTTTGACGAGGCCTTGCAGCTCTATCACTACCCGTGCCCATGCGGCGACCGTTTTCAAATAGCCCTTGATGATCTTCGCGACGAGCAGGATATTGCAGTCTGTCCCAGCTGCAGCCTGATGATTCGCGTCATCTTTGACCTCGTAGGTTCCCTCCGTATTGCGTCAAATGGCCCCCGCGACGCGACCGCTGGCGACTGACTCATTTTCCAGGACGACTTGCCCCATCCACCGTCCCCGCCTGTCAACTCGGGCAGCAACATTCCCATCGTTGCCTAGCCAGGTACTTGCCTGCACGAAGAGGCATACGATGCGACAACCCATGCAAGTCCCTAGATGGCCGCGTGTCTCCTCATCAGATTTTGCGCCGGACCCTCGCAGGTTCTCGAGACAGGGGCGGCAGTGCCACGACCACCCGGGGTCTGGAGCACGCCGCACGAGGCCAGCCGCATTGACGGGGTTCCAATCTTAGACACCGGTGTATAGCGCCAACGGTCGAACGAGGAGCGCACCAAGCGAGGACAGCCACCAGGACAGGAGCAGCCGACTGCTGGAACCGCACGGCGATGAGTCCGCGAAGCTTCGATCATCCGCGGGACAATGGGAGGTGGCCGACCGTGCAACTTTGTTCAACCATGGCGCCGCCCAAAGACGCAGTTGAGCATCAATGGCCCATGGCAAACGAGGCGACGTGTCTAAACTGGGCGGATCAGTGCCTCTGGCGCGTAGGCGTTGAAGACACCACCTCGTTATGAGGCCCACCAATCACGCCCTACTCGGACGTAGCCAGGATGCTTATGCACCGGGCTGTACAGTACCAAGTCGTATGAGGGCGATTTTTTATACGTACAGCAGAGATATTAATAATACCCTTGTGCGACGCGGACAAAACATGTGCCACACCAGGCGGTTTAGACTCCGCATCTGTCTCATTGGACTTTCATCAAAACACACGACACATGCAATGTGGTAGGTAGATTAACAGACCTGCGCGAGGGCAGGAGAGCCCTGGCTGCTCACCAAAGATGGAGAGCCAGGGCTCGTGGTATCTCTATGGTATTATGTGCACGCCGGTCCTGCCGGAGGCGTGGTATCTACATGCATGCATGACGGGGGAGGCGCGAGCACCAGCCGCGCGTGTCGTACAGCGTCGTCACTTCGTATCTGAACCATTTCGGCTATAACATGACCAGACCGACGATGCAAAACCCCAGCAGGCCTACGACCGAAGCCTGCATTTGCTGGGGGATGGCGCCTCCGGTAACTTCTGCGGCCTGAGAAGCAGTGGCATTGGGCCGCGCATCGGAAAGGTGGGAGGTGGAGGAGAGGTGAGCTGGGCGAGGGGTTAGCAGTGTGTAAAGCGGGCGAGAGGCAGCTGAGTATGCTGATGGAGGACTCACTGGCTGTACGACTCATGGGTAGCGAGACGGAGGGCGAGACGGAGGAGGGACGGGCCGAGGCCTGGATATCTTGTTGACTCGGGGCTGATTGGTTGTCGGCGGCGGCGGCAGCAGCGGGAGGCGGTGGTGAGGAGAGGAGGGTGGCGGGTAGTGGGGAGACAAAGTCGGGCGACGTTGCGGCGACGACGTGCGCAAAAGCGACGCTCGCAGAGGCGACGAGGAGGGCGGGACGCATCATGCCTCAATGGCAGACGGTGCCCTCGACAAGGGGAGCGGCGCGAGTCGGCGAGGCCGATATCGCCTGGGGGTTGGTAAGAGGAGAGAGTGTGCGGGAAGGGATAGCTGTGGAGGCGCGCAGAGGAAGTGGCTCGAGGCAGTTATAGACGACGGCAGGTGACGAGATTGATGGGCGGGCGTGCGGCAGAGTTCGGGGGCCGGGACATGGCATCACCAGTCCCGCGCGCTGGCGATGACGACGGGAGGAGAGAGACGGGACGAAGGAGGTTGCGCGGAGAGGAGGAAAAGCAAGGAAGGGGATGCATGCATATATGTATGTAAGTGTGTATGTATGGATGGATGGATGTATGCGGCGGGTATGTGGGCGGATGACGGATGGGTGAGAGAGGGAGAGAGAGAGAGAGTTGTTTGTGTGTAAATAAAACGAGGGAAGCGAGAGAAAACGAGTAAGTGAGTGAGGTGTGTGTGTGTGTGTGTGTATATGTGCATATGGCTGGAAGGAGGTCGAGTGAGAGAATGTGCACACGTACATAAACAGATGACACAAATACATACAGACGCGAGCGACGAAAAGGGCTAAGAGGCCGCCGCCCCCGCGGAGGAGGCGGCGACGGCTCCACAGGGGCTTGATGCAGAGGCTTTTGGTGCAGGCCTGGACGGGGGCCGAGCGCCAGGAATTGTGCGTGTGCGTTCCGGACGAGGCGGTTGCGAGTCGCCGGATGTGATGCGATACACGCCGAGTGGCGAAACGAGGTTGTCATGACTCCATCTGCGGCAGACGCTCAAACAGCTCTTGTTCTTTTCCGGGTTCCCGCATTGCTGGCCGACGGGCAATTGCACGTTGCAACGGGCGTGATAGCTTGTCATGGGCTGCACAAGTAATTACAGCCCCGAACTAACGTGCAGTCCTCGAGCACAAAGGCGGGCGGGACGCGCAGAAGAAGCAAAAAGACATGCATAGAACGGCAGGCAAAGAGAGGCTTGTTATCCCGGTCCTGGCCGGGTACGTACACAAATCGCATCGGCTCGCCCGTTTGTGTGTGTTTATCCGCCCCCACGTGTACACCGGAGGTCCAGACGCGGGCGTGTGGGACGGGGATGAGTACATGCGGAGTACTTGGCGAGCACTCTGACCCCCCCCCCCCTTCGCTTTCCCCACCGGGGCCAGACCGGTATCGAGCTTGAACCCAAAATAAACAAGAGTAAAAAAAAAACCCACGATCCGCACAGACAAGAGCCACAGCGAGCGAGTCTGTGTGTTGAGAGAAGAGGTGTGAGAGGGGCGCCTCGGGACTTGGGAAAGCAGGGCCATCCCATGTTTGCATCCGGCGAGGCCCAAGCCAGTGCCGTGTAGGTGTCCAATGGGGGAATGGCTACGCTTTCTCGCTTTGCTTCTTCTCGGAGGAGCATGCGAGGTTTGGAGATGCGATAAGCCCGGTTGGTTCGCCGGGCAGTCAGCGAGCAAGCACCCCTATACCTACGGATACCTACCTTACCTAACTGCACAGGACTGCGTACTGTACAGTGCTGTGCATACATGCTTCGTACAGGAGTAGCGCGCGCCGTCGCCGAAACAGAGCGCCCCGAGCGGTGAGCTGTGGTTTTCTTTCAGCGCACTCCATGTCCATCGACCATGTGGCCGGTATTAATATCGGTGCTCCTGTTTCGCCTGCGACGTGCGCGCGCGCGCGAGTAAAGACGGCAGGCAGCAAGACAAGCAAGACAGGCTACAAACAATGAGGCTTGGAATGACCATGACGTGCTTTCCGGCCCCCATCCCCTCCCGCCGGTCCCGTTTCTGCCTTGCGCAAATGTAAGTTTATCCGTTCCCCACGCTCTTCCGGTAAAGAAGGAGAAGACCAAGGAGAAGAAGCAGCGCCCCGGTTTACACATACATGCCTCCATCCAAGCATAGACCTCCATAAGCATAGCTAGACGTGGGCCGCCCCCATTGCCGATTCTACGTTACATGCGGCGACCACCCCGAGCCTACCGACCTTATCGGGAGCACCGCCGAGGTAGCGGGTATTAATTATGTACAGTACCAGCTCGTTTCAACCGGCGCCTTTGTCTGGCGTTGCGCCTATCGCAGGCTTGCCCGTAGCGCATGTGCCGTGCAATATCCAAGTGCGTCATGCTTTGCCGCGCGAGTCAGAACAGAAGAAAAACCTTGCACGGATGGTCTGGGGGAGACGTGGGGGGGCTGGCGGGGAAACGACGGGCTTTGGTCCAAGACAGCATCGCCGAAGGATGATGCCTCGCCCTGCCTGCGTCGGTGCGGATGGTGCCCGTCGACGAACAGAGAGATTTGGTTCATCGGAGAGGCTGGCCCATCCTTCAATCCCTGGTGCAGATTCACCCACTCACTCATCCTCTCCCTCCCTCCATCAGGCCGTGATCGACACTAGTTAGTTGACTGGACGGCCAACCGGACAGGGAGGGGCGGGACAAGCGCCTGGACCCAAGAACCAAGGAAAACCCAAGCAAGGAAAGGGGAAAAAAGAAAGAAAAAAGCTTGTCTCTCTCGCTCCGTGCGCCACGTCTGTGCATCTCGCTCGCCCCTTTTGGGTTGGCCTCGCTGCCCTTTCGAGCCCGTTGGCTGCGTCCATGATCTAGTATGGAGTAGCTATGCATCATCCTGTTAGTCATTAGCGTCGGCGGTTGGGCGACGCTCAACGTCTTCCTGCTCCTCTAATATTACCAGATGATTTAAAGGTAGGTTAAGGTAGGTAGGCACCGTGCCTACCTAGGAAGTTGCCGTACGGTACAGTACATTCAGCTAGTACATACATACAGTACCTACCTTACCTACTCTCTAGATGGCCTCTGTGTGTCATCCTTCCCGTGGGGACATCATCACTTGTTCCATGCATGCAGCAACACACCACCACCACCACCACCACCACCCACGGAGCCCTCCGGCCGCTGGCACGCCTCCATGCACATGTGCGCTGGACCTGTCATCCCGTATCGCTCGATATCGCTTCCCGTCATGAATGGTGCTACTAATCCTCTGCGTGAGAAAATCAAGACGCGTCCCCGGGCAATCCCGCCGTCCCGCCGACACACAGCGACACCACCAACTGTCGATCCCGTGCCACATGGCCCTGGCCAGGCCAGGCGACGACTCATCAACGCCCGGGGGGGGGGAGGGGGATCAAACACCAACGCAGAGAGATACGGAGTCGTGTGTGTGTGTGTGTGACTGTGTGTGTGTGCCCGAACCATGACGGCACCACCAACCCAATCAGCCAACTCGCACCACGTCAAGCCGCCCCCGGCAATCAGCGCGTTCCTCTGTTCTGCGCCTCGTGTGCGGCTTCATGTGCCCCCTGTCAACAGCTCGCATGCATGCACACGGCACTTGCACTGCAGCTGTGCTGTAGGTACTCCGTACTGTAGACGAACATCACCACCGACTTCCGCCCTCTACTAATGCACCACCGGCCGCATTGCTCTGTACAAGTGCCGTCCGAGCCGGCAGGCATGCCTTGCACCAGTCAGAGCCGACCCCTGCCGGCGCCGCCGTCATGGCTACGTCGACCCTCAAACTAGCCTTGTCGGTCTATCGAGCGCCGGGCCCGTTTCACGTCCACTCAGCTGCCAATCATCCCCTATCCGTACAGGACCGGACGAAACTCCATCCCCCCCGTCCATGGCCGTCATCGTGACCGGTGACATGCCGGCACATCACTTTGCACCACCAGCCTCACCGCGGCACACCGCACACGACCGAGATGACCCTGGATGCATCCTTGGCACTACTGTATTCCTTCGCTAGCTCCCTCTCGCCCTGCTCTCCTTGCTTGCTTGCGCCTCGCCCCCTCTCGTCCATGAGACATTCACCAACGGTCCAGCGCCCGTCAACCCTCGACGTTCTCAAAGAAAAACGTCGGCACGCCGGGCACCGCGTGCTCCGCAACCGCCACCCCAATCTCCACCTCCTTGCCGTCCGCCAGCTCCCACCCCTTCTTTCCCCCTTCCTCCACCACCACCACTCGGCACGCCTTCAGCCCAGCCGTCCGGCACAGCCCGGCCACCATCTGCCCCAGCGTCTCCTTCTCGTCAAACGCCAGCTTCTGCTCCAGCACCACCCTCGCCTCCTCGCCCGCCTGCAGCCGCTTCTTCAGGCTCTGCACAAACGGCATCGCCTTCTTCATCTCTCCCATCTTGCCGATCCGCCCGTTGAGCGCCTTGTCGTCTACCGTCTTGCTCTCCGTGTTCCACATCTCCTTGAGCAGCTCAATGTACTTGGCCTGCCACGGCGGGAACTTGTCCGTCATGTAAATCGTCAGCTTCTTGGGCCGCTTCGGGTCAAACGACACCTCCTTGCCCTTGGCCTTCTTCTTCAGCTGCAGCGCCTCGGCCGAGTTGACGTTGGACGACGTGTTCCGCACGTACTCCCTCTTGGCCGACAGCGCCGCGTCCACCGCCGCCAGCTCGGGGAACCGCGCCTCCTGGATCGTCGTCCCCTTCTTGAGCACCTCGAGCCAGATGTACTCGGACCAGTGCGGTGCAATGACCGCCAGCAGCAAGGCCTGCAGCTCAATGTACCTCACGACGAGATCCACGTGCATCTTGATGCCCGCCGCCGCGCATGCCTCACGATAGAAGTCACGCGCGCTCGTCAGCTCGTAGAGGCCCGCCTTCAGCGCCAGTTTGTAGTTGGTCTGCTTGTACTGCTCCACGGTCTCGCGCGCGTACAGGTTGAGCTCGTTGTTGAACAGGGCGTCCTGGAACGAGTTGGTCGCGCCCGTTCGCAGCTCCTTTTGGTCGCGCACCATTTCCTCGCACCACTCGCGCAGGGTGAAGAGGCGCAGGATGTTGTTGTCGGCCACGTCCTCCTCAAAGTTGGCGTCGCTGACGCCGTCTCCGGCATCCGCGATGGCGATGCGCGCCGCGTCGGCGCCGTACTTGGCCACCAGGTCGTGCAGAGTCATGAAGTTGCCCGTGCTCTTGCTCATCTTCTCGCCGTTGAGCATCAGGTGCCCGTTGGCGCGCACGCCCCGCGGCCAGTACTCGGGCGGGAAGATGGCCAGGTGCACGTAGAGAAAAAATGTCAAGTGGTTCGGGATCAGGTCCTTGCCCGAGCTTCGCACGTCGAGCGGGTAAAAGTATTCAAACTCGCGTCGCATGCTCTCGAGCGTCGCCCGCGGGATCTTGGACCCCTGCAGCACCTCGTCGCTCAGCTCGCGCCGGCAGAAGATGTAGTCCCACACTTCGTCAATCATCTGCTCGGCCCCGACGTTGCCGATGCCCCGGTCGCGGCCAAACAGGTCCTTGTGGAGATAGTGGCAGACGGTGTAGTAGGCCATGTAGATGGTGGAGTCGCTCAAGCTCTCGACCAGGAACTGGGGGTCCCATGGCAGCCTCGAGCCCAGGCCAAAGGATCTCGCGCACGCCCACTGGTTCAGCCAATTCAGGACGCCCTCGAAGCTGTTCCTGGTCTCCTGGGTCCACGTCTCCAGGCCCTTGCCGTCGGCGTTCTCGACCCACTTGAGCGCCGTCTGCTTCCACGACTCCTCGCCGTAGTCCAGGTACCATTGGTCCATCAGGGCCACGATGCAGTCATCGCCCGACCTGCTAACCACCTTTCGTTCGGGCTCCGAATAGGCAAAGGCCTCGCTGGCGTCAAACAGCTGGCTCCGGACCTTGGGCTTGGCCGTCTCGACCTTTTCACCCTTGAAGTCGCCAATCTTCATGATGCCCTGATAGTAGCCCTCCTTGTATGCCAGCTCCTTGGCCTCTTCCAGCTGCTTGGTATCCTTGGGCGACGCAATCTTCAACTTCTTGACCAGGAACGGCGCGCACAAGTCTCCGTACGATGGCGTCTCGATGATGGGGAAGATTTCAAGCTCGGCCCACTCCTTCTTGATGCCGTAGTAGTCGGCTTTTTTGGCCAGATCGGTGACGGTGGCATAGTCATCGGGGCTGTCCGAGGGCACCGAGGTGACGACGCCCGTGCCCTTGGTGGGCAAGACCGTCTCCATGGGCAAGACTCGAACGCCGGCCTTGTGGCATGACAGGGGAGCGTTGACCAGGGTGCCCACAATGTCGGCGCCCTGGATCTCGCCGGCCTTGTCGATGACGCCCTGGTTGGCCAGGATTCCCTGGTAGGCCATGTTCCGGGCGGCCCTTTCGGTGACGACGTAGTAGGCCTTGTCGCCTGCCTTGAAGAGACCGTAGGTGATTTTGGGTCCCACGAAGCAGCACGTCTGTCCGTACATGGTCTCGGGCCTCAGGGTCGCAGGCACCAGAAAGATCTCTGAGCCCTCCGGGACCTTGCCCTTGATAGCCTCGGCAGCCCGGGGTGCCCATTCCAAGACTTTCAGCTTCAAGGCCGTGTACTCTTGCGGGTTGACGGCCTCACCCTCAGCACGGTCGTGGTCCATGCAGGGCTGGCCGTCCTTGATGGAGTAAATGGTATATCTCTTGCCAAACTTGATCTTGTTGAGCTCCCTCAGGCGGTTCATCTGCCATCGGACAAAGGCATCGTAGTAGGGGTTGACGTCGGTGGTGACAAACGATCTCCGCCAGTCGATTCTGCATCCCAGGCTGGACAAGTCGCGGGTGGCTAGGGGCGGGAAGAACTTGAGCCAGTGCTGCGGGTCGGCAAAGAGGTGGATCTCCTCTTGGGGAATGCCAATCGACTTCATGATCTGGAACTGGTAGGTCATCTTGACGGTCTTGGCGTTGGCCTTACTCTTGTTTGTCGAGAACTTGGTGACGTCCTCCTTCTTAGCCGGCGCGGCGCCCGTCGCGGGCTTGGCCTCGGCCTCGTCCTCGGGCTTGTATCCCGAAAAGTCCTGGCCAAAGAGCTTGATTTCGTTGACCAGCTTGTCGGCGCACGCCTTGATGGGCATGCCGGTGCAGTGGAAGCCCATGGGGAACAGGGTCCGCTTGCCTTGCATCCTGGCCACGCCGGCGGCAAACTCGACTTTGCTGGCCGAAAAGGTGTGGCCGGCGTGGAGGACGCCATTCATGTAGGGGTATGCCATGCAGCCAAAGAACTTGGGCTGCTTCTCTCGCAGTTCGGCGGCGGAGATGGAGTGCAGAGGCACCTCCTGGATCGAGGGGGCATCCTGTTCGAAGACGTGGCTCTCTGCCCACTTTTGCTGATACTTTTTCTCGATGGCGATCAAGGAGTCTCGTTTCTCGGTCTGGGGGGGAGAAGAGTCAGTTATGAGTAAATGGCCAAGAACGCACCGGAGAAAGTCTTGTCATACTCCCTTGAGCTCTTTCGTCTTGGGTTGGGAAATGCTGAGGGTTTCCATGGCCTGGGGGACAGGACTTGCGGCAGCCATTGCGGTGACGTCCTGCGGCGTGGGCGGGTGATTGATCTTGGAGGTGTCGGGAATCGAGTCGCTGTCTCTATGCCCAGCCTGTGCTCATCCAGCTTGACGTTGTTTCTGCAGGCTCTTGACGCTGCCCACGGGTCAAAACTGAGTCAGTCGAGTATGCCCGAGACCAAGGCATGAGGGGTGAATTTCAATGGCGGGGTACACAACCCGCACCGAGCCATGGTGGATCTGCCCGCTCGGCGCCACAGCCCCCCTGTAATGGGTGAGGCCGTGCTGTGTGGCTACGGTAGATAACATAGACCCAATTGGTATTTCTGATGCTCAGTGACGACAACTTTCTTCCAGCTTGGAACCTGTTGCGCGACAACAACCCAGACTCGACGTCCTCTCCCCCGGCCCGAGCACCATCGCAGTCCCACGACACCCATGTTTGCGACGCTCGTCCGGCGGCTGGCCCAGGCCGGCAAGGAGCCCGTCGCAAAGCGGGTGCCGCTGACCATCTACACGAACCCTCACAAAGCGCGGAAGCTGTGGCCGCCAGACTTCCGCGAGCTCAACTCCCAGCAGCAGCTTCGGTTCGAGAAAAAGTACAAGCGCCGCATACGCATGGCCAGCCACTCGCCGAGGTGGATAAAGGGCACCAAGTATGCGCAGCTCGTGACCACGGCAGGTCAGTTGCCACTCGCATGGACAGACGGACGCGCAATGGGGACTCCAGAGGCGGCAGGCACTGATTCTAGCTCCTTTAGTTGTCTTGGTCTACATCTTCTTCTACGCCGATTTCGAATTCTGGGGACAGGAATATAAGCCATCCGTGGAGGTTTGCTGCCCCGGATCGCCATTCCCTGGTGCTTGCTTAGCTGACCTGCAAACAGATGCGCCGACATGCTATGAATGTATTTGGCGTCATGGATCCCGAGAAACGGTACGAACGTCGCGAGGACGCTCCGGAAACGGGGGTGCCTACAAAGGGACCGGCGTCACAGTCCAAATAAGCTGTGTCCTCCGCCGCCCTTTCCTCGTCTTGGCCCTCTTTCCTCGGAGTCCCTTTGGCGTTTGGCATTATACCCCGGTATGCCAAGTCATATATATGTGTATATGAATACCACGTCCCAAACAGTTCAATCATCTCAGTGTCTTGCATTCGAACTGTCGCTCTCCCGAGCCGGCATCACCGTCCCGCCCAGGCAAAGTTACCCGTCATGCCGAGGCCGGAGCTCAGGCCGGAGCCCCGCCCCTCGTTGACGGGTCTCTTGGCGACAGTCCCCTGCGCCTTGACGCCTGCGACGATGCGGTCGAGATTTGTCTCGATGACGACGCCGCCGATGACCATCTCGGAGAGGGTGGCGTGCAGCGACTCGTAGTTGAAGATGAGGTCGAGCTCGCAGACGTTTTCAAACAGCTTGTCGAGGGCCTCGACGTAGACTTGTATCAGGTCGATGAGGGCGAGGGGCGACTCGGTCGAGGTGGAGATGATGATGAAGAAGAGGGTGGCGTAGTGGCGGTAGGTGACGAGCGAGGGCACGTCGTTTTGCTCGCGCGACGACGTGTGCGAGGTGCCCGAGGCGGCCAGCAGGGGCGGCAGGGGGAGGAAGTTGCAGGCGCCCGAGGGCCGGTTGGAGACGAGGGTGAAGATTTCGGATATCAGGCGCTGCTGGATGCTCGTTTCCTGACAAGCGCGCCGCGCGTTAGACTCGGGACCCGCGACGGCCGTGGGCGACTTGCCAGCTGCGTGTAGAACTTTGTGAGGCGGGGCTGGCCCTGGCCGTTGAAGACGAGAAAGGCATTGATCATGGTCGGGGCTTCGTCCTCACCCTTGGCGGCGGGCGACGAGGATGATGCGGGGGGGCAAGATGGATGTGCACAAGCAGAGGAAACCGAAGGTTCTAATCAGTGACCTCTGGGGACCTTATCGCGAGCCACAGCGAGTACCTGACTTGTGGCGGGGCAGCGGCGTAAGCATGCCCCGCGCCTCGGTGCCGATAGGTCCGTTGAGACATGTTCCGTAGGCCAAGGTACCGTTGCTTGGGGCAGACCCGAGGCGTCCACTGTGAAGATACGTACGGTTGTAACGGCGGCGACAAGGTCCTAGAATATGGGCATATTCGTAACACCTCTGTAACTAAAAATAAACCAAGTCAATTGAGTCCCGTAGAATCACAAGGGGGGGGGGGCCGAAAAGGAGAACAGCTGATACTGATACCGCTGCAGCGGTCGGTCAACGGCTGTCCACTACTGGGCCGTACCGGTACATGCCCCGCGGGGAGCTTTCCCCCTAGGTAGCTTCCAATTCACCCAATGCCGGCTCCATCCGCAACCGCAACAAACGGCCTCCTCCTTCTCTCCCCATCCATCATCCCTCCACTCCCTTCTCCGCCGCCGCATCTCCCCAAGACGACAACTGCAGCAACCCCCTTCCATCTCCGGGCCAAGCTTGCTGCCTCTCCGGTTCTTCTCTGTGCCCCGTCCTCGCGCCGCCTTGTCGACGTCCCTGGCTGCGACATCACGGGCGAGAACCCCTCCCTCCTCCCGACCGCCCCGGGCGACGACGACGACGACGACAACTTCCTCCACGAGCCATCAAGAGCATTTCGATCCCCGCCACTCGAACACGCCATGTCTCTACAAGGCTCGCTCCGAGCCTCGCAGCTCGTCACGCGCGCCGCTGCCACCGCCCGCCCGACCACCCTACGTCTCGTCCCCTGCGCCGCCGCCCTCCGGCAACCGCCCAGCCTGGTCGCCGCCCGCCGGCTGTTCGCGGCCTCGGCGGCCCGACCCAGGGGCATTATGCCGCACACGGAGAACCCGGCCAAGCCCGACGCGGCCAAGACGGAGCCCTCGTACGGCGTCGTCGACCTCTCGGAAAACGAGTACCACGAGCTGGCCGACGCCTATCTCGACACCGTCGCGGCCAAGTTTGAGCATCTGCAAGACACCAGGGAAGACATTGACATTGAGTTTTCGGTGCGTGACTTTCTCTCGCGTCCCGCTTGTGTTCCATTGACTGATCAGTCCCGTCTCCGCAGGCCGGCGTAATGACCATCACGGTAGCGGACAAGGGCACCTACGTCATCAACAAGCAGCCCCCCAACAAGCAAATCTGGCTCTCGTCGCCCATCTCGGGCCCCAAGCGCTACGACTGGTGCATCATCGGCGAGAGCCAGGGCGAAAAGGAAGGCACCGGCTCCGGCAACTGGATCTACACGCGCGAGGGCAAGAGCCTCAACCAGCTCATATTCAAGGAGCTCGAGGTCGCCATTGAGGAGCCGGCGGAAGGTCTAGCCAAGGCAGCAATGGGAGCAAGTCTTGGTGGTGGTCAAGATTCTGTAGTTTAGGGGGTCCTCATCTAAGGCATGGTCTGCCTCGGCAGCGGCCATGTGATGATGATGTACTGTAATCGGGGTGCCGTGCCCCTGAGGCTAGCTTTTGGTTTTCTTCCTTGCTCGTTGGAGTCGACCGAGGATGGTGTGTACAATGCGAATGATTGCCTGTGCTGACTGACCAGGGCGCTGTTGAAAGTTGGGTTCGAATCGCCCCGTGACGAGAGCTGCTGGCCGCCAGCCATCGGCAGATTCAAAGGTTGGCGGCCTGGTGTAAACATGTTCGTCCAGCCTCGCTCTCGTCCTCACTAATTTCTCCCGCCTGCCACTCCATCCCATCACCGCAGGCAAATGCCCATGCTCTTGTTGAGCATCTCAATCGTCCTCTCGTAGTGTCTCATGGCCGTCTCCTGCTCCCCCCTCATCGCAGACCTGTTGTCCAAGAGTTAGCTTCCTACTCCGTCTCCCTCGTTCGCCCTATTTTCAAGGGGCTATTTCCAAGGGGGAGGAAGCGTGTTCAAGAAGAGGAAGAGGGCAGAGAAAAACCCACGACTTGGCCTTGCTTTCGTGCAGCGCCATCCGCCAACTCTTCGTCTCGGCCAGCCTCTCGGACCGCACCCGCAGCAGGTTCTTGAGGATCCGGTGCTCCAGCCCCCTCTCCCGCGCCGCCGCCTGCACGAACCAACGCGTCCGCTTGCAGCCCTCGGCGTCAAACGCCGCCCCGGGCTCCCGGAACGCCGCCCGCAGCTGGTCCCGAGCCACGTACCGCGCCGGGCCCGAGTATCGCACCGCCTGCAGCAGGCCCCGGTACAGGTGCCGGTAGGCGTGCACCACCTCGAGGCTGGGCGTCGTCATCTCCCTCTTGTTTGTTTTTCCCGAGGGCTCACCGTCCGGACATGCGTGATCGTAGTGGTCTCTGGTCAGACTTTCATGAGCGGCCCAGTTAGCTGCTGATAAGATTACCGTGGGTGCACGGGCCATTTCACTCTTCATCAGCACGCCGCCAAGCCGCTACTCTCCCGACGCGCGTTGGAGTGACAGACAAGCCATCACATGCTTTTGCCGTCGAAGCTGCTTCATACCATTCTGTACAGCCTTGATACACCAAATCATCCAAAACTTGGGCTCAAATACAACTGAGGTATCTATGTCTTCGCTCATTCCAGGCCACTGCCATGGGTGGCGCCTGCTCGGCCGCTCATCCACAATCACGCCCCTTCCCGCAAAGCCATGGTGCCGCCCCCATGGCTCGTCTTCTCGTGGTGATTCACGTACATGTCCATCGTCGGCGCTTTCAAACCGCATGCGGCCTGCCGTGTCCTGGTCGAGCTCCCGCCTCGGACGCCTGTGCCGTCTCGCAATCCAGCGTCGGCACCGCGCTCGCCCCATGTCGTCGTCTATATGCAAGAACTCTATTCGCGCAACGCCAATGAGTGCTCATTCAGCTGCGATTGTTGCGGCTGCCCTCCTCCTGCTGCCCGAGAGGTGCGTAACGCCCTTGGCCGCTACCGGTGCTGCCTGCGCGGCCGCGCGCGACTCTAGAAAGCCACCCGCCGACGCTTCGATCTTCGCCGCCGCCTGGCTGGCTCGATGACTTGTTGTCGTCGTCGACTTCCGAGTTTGGGCCGAGGAAAAGTCCAGGGATGCCACTCGTCGAGCCAAGGGTGCCGCGTCCAGATCCAACCGGCGATCCGCCCCTAATAAGAGAGCCGGTCTCGGCGCGGATGGACGGGGTGCCCACAACCGTGCTAGCATCGCCGAATATTGAGTCCATGTCCTCGAGACGGACTCCGCAAGTCTCAGGGTAGATGAAGTACACTGTTTGAAGCGTCAGCGGTTACTGGCCTGTCCCCTTGGACCAAATGACAATCTTACCAATAACAAAACTCAACACACAAAAGAAGGCGTGGACTAGGTAAAGCCGCCACTTGATCCACTCCTGTAAGATGGGGGTCATCTCGCCCACGAGCCAGTTGGCAGCCCAGTTCGTGGCCGTCGACAGACTGGCGCCCTTGGATCGAATGCTGAGGGGAAGGATCTCGGGCGGGTAGAGCCAGGGAATAGGTCCCCACGAGTAGCCAAAGGCCGCGTTGTAGATCATGACAAACAGGACAACCAGCCGCGGCGTCCACCTGATGTCGAGGAAGATGAAGTAGGAGATGAGCGACAAGGATATGGCCATGGCGACGGCGCCCGAGAGCAGGATCGCCCGTCGGCCCCATCGATCCACAAGATACCAGGGCGGAATTGTAGAGAGGAAGTAGGTGATGCCGTTGAGCCCAGTCATGAGGACGGCATCGTGGCCGACCCAGCCCGCTGACTCGAAGACATAGGGAGCGTAGTATGAGATGACGTTGATGCCGTTGAGCTGGGCCAGCCCCTGGGCAGACATGGCGATGAAGACGCGGGTCCGGTACTTGCGGAACATTTCGGCGTATGTGCGCTCGCCTTCCTGACGCTGGAGAAGCACGTTCATCTTGATTTCGCGGTACTCCTCGCGAGCCTCGGCATTGTGGATGTCGCCGCCGCCGTACAGGTTCGCAATGACGACCATGCCCTCCTCATCGTGATCGTTGTCGAGGAGCCACCTGGGGCGCGTCAGCACGCTGGGCCACGATTCGGGCAAGAGGAAGCACAAGACCGGGCGGCTTACCTTGGGGACTCGACGATGATTAGGCTGCCCAGTCCCAGAAGAGCTCCCATGACACATTGCATCAGGAGCGGCACGCGCCAGGACGAGTCGCTCTCGATGAAGCCGCAGCCGTAGTCGACCCAGACGGACGTGGTGTAGCCGATGATATTTCCGGAAAACTCAATGCACGCCAGCTTGCCACGGTTGTGGGGGGGCGAAATTTCCGACTGGTAGACGGGCACAATGGTGGAAAGCGCACCGACCCCAAGACCAGCCACAATGCGGCCGACCATCATCATGGGCATGGAGACGGCAAGAGTCTGCAGGGCGCCACCGACGAAGAAGATGCAGGAGCCGTAGAGGATAGTGCGGCGTCGCCCGATGATGTCACCAACGCGACCAACGACCAAGGAAGAGATGAAGGCACCAATCTCGAGGATAGCGACCATGGTCCCTACCTGGGCCTTGGATGGGTGATTGAAGTAGTCGATGAAATAGGGGCCGCTGGACAGGTGCATGTCAGTTCAAAGCTGTCTCTACCCGGATGGTGGCCGGGGACGGGAGAAGCGTACGTGATGATGCCCGACATGACGCCCTGATCATAGCCGAAAAGAAAAACGCCGAGGGAAACAAAGATGCTGGTAAAGTAGCTGGCGAGAAAGCCAGGTCAGCACGCCGTTGGCCAATAGCCCGGGGACGAGTCCGAGGGGGCGGTGCGTACAGAAGGGCCTTGCCCGTCAGGCCATGGATGGAGCCCGAGCGTCCAGACATGATGGCGCCGATGCAACGTTCGGCGCGCGACGGCCGGGGACGGGAGACGACGGGGACGTCGATGGCCTCCTTGTCGATAATATGGGATCGCGAAGGAGAGTGGTGATGACGATGCGGCGAGGGGTCGCGGATGCGGACCTTTCTGGAGTGCCTCGACGAGCGCTTCTGGACGCCCGTGAGGAGCTCTCCCTCAAGCTCGTCGGGCAGCTGGAGGCGGACGGGATCGTGTTCGTCGGCGAGTTGGTCGCCAATATCGCCCGTGTCGGTCCAGGATGATTCGGAGCTCGACGACAGGCGAGGGGGGCCGGCGTCGTTTTCCGGGGAGGCGAGAAGCGAAGCCGACTGGGACGAGTCTTGGGGGTTGGCGGGGCGCGTCGGGAGGGTGCGCAAGGGGATGTTGGAGGGGAGACGGGACTGGCTTGTCGAAGAAATGCTGGGCGGTCTTGGGGCTGATAAGCAGCAGCGCCCACCTGCTTTCAATGGAAGGAGACGCGGGAGGCGAGGGGAGGAAGAAGGGGGAGGAGGGAGAGGGCCGGGGGAGCGGATGCGAGACAGGCGGAGAGTAGGAGGAAAGCAACGAGGTTTGGCGAGTCAAGAAGTACCTGGGGTCGGGTGACGGAGTTCCCGCCAGTCAGCCAAAGTCATCCATCAATCAGCAGCGAAAGGGCCGGGTAGCGAGCGGCGGCGTGCGAGACTGCGAGTACTGGCCGTAGTGAGAATGTACATACGGTAGGAGAGGCGCTACGCGGCCAAGATCAATGGCCACTGCAGCCAAGTGGGTTGCGGACGGGGCCGGGACGGGAGAGACAGAAAAGTCGTCGTGCCAATTGGATTTGTCGCGTGTGACCACCTGGAGGGGGCTCAGGTACATGGAGCGTCACCTGTACCGTCTGTCGCCACGAGGAGAGACGGACGACGGGCAGCGACAAGATCAATATGGAGTGAGGGCTTTCGCTGTGGTCGCAAAAGTGCGGGCTCTTGGTCGTCGTATCTGGGAAGGCGGTGGTTGCAGTGCTGGCCGGGTTGGTGGTGGCGACTTTGCGACCCGGATTGCAGGGACAGGAGGACCCTTCTCGTCGACGACGACGACGACGTGGAAGCGAGGTGCGGAGTGGGCGACGGACGGACGAGGCTCTGGGGCGGAAAATGAAAGGCGAGAGGGAAGACGGTGAGGGAAGACGGTGAGGGAAGACGGCGAGGTTGAGAGGACGAGGAAGCAACAGGAGATGAGAGGCGAGTCTTTCCGCTTGCCCAGTGCATCCGCCGCGGCCTGGGCCAAGCGGATTCAGCCCAGCCGTCTTCAGCCCCCCATGCAGAAAACGAACAAATGCTTCTCTCTTGTGCGCCCCTTTCTCTTTCTGGGCCCCTGCCGTTGCCCTCTCCTTTTTTCTTCTTCACATTGTCACGTCGAAATAGGGATTTGCGCCGTCCTGTTGCCCCTAATCGCCATGCATGCTCCCGGGATTGCAGGCGTCCTTTTCGTTGCCCGTCGTATTCGTGTCCGTCAAGAATTGGCTTTGGAAGCCCTCCACTCGCAAGTCCGAACTCGGCGACTGCAAAACCCAAGACACGGCGTCTACCGTCAACGGAGCACAAGACAATTCCTCCATGTACGGCAGCTGGCTGCGGCCGCCTGGTACATTGGATGCCATGCCACCGGGATACCTGCAGATCCCCAGCGAGAGCGCAGTCCTAAGAGCCTTTGATGCCCCCTCGCAGGAGCTAATTCCTGGGAAGCGGGAACCAACAAGCTCATCAAAGTTGCTTTTGCTCCATCGTTCCTCGTGCCGATCCGCTGCGTCGCCGACAGCCAAAGCCCTGCCTGGCCCGAGGACCCCAGATCGGCCCACGAGAGCGCCTGCAATCTGCTTCGCGACGCCGGCGCATCGGAAAGCGCCCTGTCACGCGTCAGCCGTCTCGGGCGTCTCACGTGTCAAGGCATCGACGTCAGTCCCCTCTTGGTTGCCTGACGCGCGTGAGGCGCAAGCGGTGCCCTCGAGCCTACACGAAAAAGGTGGCTGCCAACAACGTCAGCAGGTTGGCTCTAGTCGACCTTTTGAATCGTGCTGGACACTGATATAGCCATCGAGTTTTCTAGCATCGAGGGGAAACAAAGGCCTCGAGCATTGTCCCAGTCATTGGCAGATGAGAGACATGGCTCTGTCTCGGAAAGGGGTGTCAATACTGTACTGTACAGCACAGTAAAAGGCATCTCGTCATTTGACTGGCTTCTCACTCACTGTCAGTCTCCAACAGCGCAGGGGGGGTCACACGACAGCACATGTGCGTCGTGTTTACACCAGAGCACTGGAGCATGACTGCAGTCTGGGCGTCAAGACCACTTGCTATTGATGACCTACACCCTGGCGGTGCTTCTGGGTATACCCACGAGCTAGCAACTTAACCATCTTGGGAGTAAGTCAGAAAGGCCGCCAAGCTCATTGACCCTGGTTGCTGCAGGTATGATTTTCCCGCCCCCAATGCCACCGACGAGACAGTGCATGGGCTCTCGGCTAGGATCGGAACGGTCCATCACCGGGCTGGCCGGTGCCGGGGCCGTTGGAGTCCGAGAATTCGGACTCCAGTGGGGACCCCGTTGCCGTCCGCTGGACGGTTGGGTTGCCCTGTCCTTCCTCTCATCTCACCTCGTCGTCTCCTCAGCCCATTCCGTGGGTTGCTTTCCGGCCTGCGATGCGACGGTAGAGCTGATCTGGATCCTTTCTCGAACCCTCCCTCTGCGACGTCGCATCGCCAGCGTCACGGCAACCCGTGCAGCCTACCCTGGACTCGCCCATTGTCGAACATCAACCTCTCTCAACGCCTTCCATCGACTTTCGACAAAACCCAACGAGTTGCACTTGAAAGTATCGCATTGTGACAGTTTCCCGGTTCGTGTCCACGGACGTATCTCGACAACCTGTTGCCAAGCGCTCATTGCCCATCTTCTTGATGCCTTGGCCCTTGCTGGCTAATAGCGATTCAGTATTCAAAGCTCTTTCGCCACCCGACGTCACGCAACGGGGAGACTTCATTTATTCCCGTGCACTCATCGTCTACACCAGCGCAGTGCCGCAAGTTGAGCCTAGGGGTTTGTGAGAACGCGCCCTTTGTCAGCGGTGCCACGGCCGCCCCAGGCACTCTTCCTCGACCCTTTCCTCGTCTGCCTACCCGGCACCACATGGCTTGAGTACTACGCCTCTTTCCATGTCCATCACCAGGTGGCTGGCTCACCTGCAGCATGGCATAGTGCATTGCACGTGGAAAAGCGGTGTCTTCTCGAGTGTGTATACTTCAGTGACAAATGAAGAGCCCGCCAGGGCCTCAGATACTGTAAGCTATCCGTTCAAAGACGGGGCTGTCGGCTCAATGCTGTCTGTGTACTAGCATGGACCCCTATCGAATGCTCATACTAAGCTCACCATGCCTGGCTTTGTGCCTCGAGAAACTCGACACTGTCTACAGGAACTGCCAAAGTGCTGGGAGTTTTCACATCGAGCCATGCCCATGCCCCTTCGCGCCGACACGGTCGGGACACGGAAGCCTTTCAGCTATCTCACCATATTCTGGAAGCCCCCAATGAACGCCCCGGTGATGCGGTGAGAGCAATCAGTCTCATTCACGTTCACGTCGTGGCTCGAGCTGGTGGATCTGATCGGGGTTCGAGGACCCGTACTTGGGAAGCTGACAAGTCCGTCATGGAATCGTCGAAGGAGTCGCTCTCAGCAACCAGCCCATGAATGCCGACCAAGTAGCGAGGGGCAGCCATACTTCATCACCACAAGCTGTTATTGTCCGGTTATCACGGACAGCGTCGAATGCATCATCCCAGCGCGCTCTTTTACCCCGGCGTTGACCATCAGTCGGCTGGACCGTCTATTGCTTGAAAGCGCCAGGTCCAAAAAACTGCAGAATCCCGGTGTCCGTTCTGCCAGACCGAGCATGAATTGCTACACACCTTCGGGGTCGACAAGTTTTCACGGGATAGAAGCAGGAACCCCCCTCCCCCCGTACGGCAGACGCTGCATCCACGACCGGAGCATGTTCATGCACGCACACTTTGACCACGATGGGCTCGAGACAAAGCCCAAGGCATCGGACCCTGACCGCGGTTCGTGCCATCAAGCTTGGAGCAGCCGAGCGGACGTCTGTCTGCCCTTTCTTTGTTCGGCCCCGCCCGGGGAATGCGCCGGAGTGGACAAGGCCAGGCAGACCGCCCGAGGCTGACGAGAGAAAGAGAGGCAGAGGGCACTGTTGGTCGGGAGATGCAAGCCCAGGCCCGCCCGGATCAGCGCTTCATCCCTCCCTGCAGCATACCCAAGTTGCATTTCCCGAGCCGACGTTTGTCTTTTAACTGGAGAGGAGGAACCCCCGTCTCCCCTGTGTTCCTTTCTTGGGCCTGGTTGCTTGTGCCGTTGGTCCTCGCCCGGGCTCAGGGATGCTGCTATCCGTACTGTAGGCATGGGCGTATGCGCGCGGCCACGTGGGCAGGAGCCCTGAACCACTCGTTGACAATGTTTAGCAACGGCAGAACCGCAACCAATCGAGTGAGGTTGCCGTGGTTTCCTTTTTCCCGTTTCGCCAAGGCTGGCAGCGAGCCGTTGCTTGCTGTGATTGGCTGCTGATGGACATCAAGCTCGGGGCGCCGGGAGCGGAGCGGCGGCCGGAGCGGCGAATGGCATCGGCGGGGAGGGCCTGGGCTGGCATGAGGCCCGCCGTTGCTCCCGCCGTTGCTCCCTTGAGGGGTGTATGACGTTGAGCTTGGTTGGTTCTGAGCACGGTGAGTTTTGGCTTTAGAGATCAGAGACAAAGAGAGGCTGATGGATGAGTGAGGTCACGCATGACATGAAGGTGCGCAAAGCCATTCATGCACGTACTTGTACGGACTGAAGCCTTTACCATGGCTAGAGGGCAGGCGGTTGATACAAGCAGACTTGCAAAGTGCGGGGGGAGTCGGGAGGTTGTCGTGCAATCTCAGTTGCATGCCGCTGCTTGGGATCCTTGTGGTGCTTTCGTATGTAAGTGAAATTACATGAAAAATACAGCGCAAGGAGCTTTACACACACACACTTACTCAGGCGCGCGCGTACCCACAACCATCAGGGAAGCACTCGCTCGTCTCTCGATGAGCCGGCTGCCCAAGCCTCCGCCAGACAGCGGTGGCAAGAAAGTCGACGGGATGACGATGGTGGAGGCAGAAGGGGAGGCAGAAGGAGAGCCACGTCATTGCCGCCAGGCACGCGTGGGCTCGCGAGCGGTCGCTGATGAAACCACATTCCAGCGCTCGGCCCTGTTAGTGTGCAACGTGGAAGGACAGATGGAAGCTGGGGGCCGAGGGCGATACTGGGTCGTGCACGTTCTGGGCCCGGCTCAGAGACGCTTTGTTCTGTATGTACAGTACATGCATGGCTTGTACTGTAAGTGAGCATGCGCGGGATGTTGACGTGCCTGAACCATGTTCTTTCAGCACAAGGTTTTTCATCTTTATTCTTCGATCGATGAAGATGCAGTGGCTGCGATGTAGACGTACCGTTGCTGTACTGCCACTGCTTGCTGCATGCACCGTCCTGAGGTACCGTAGACGAGGTACCCTCTTTACCTCTCCAGCCATGACGCTCGCCGTTACCGTTGAAAGCTTGCAAATGCTACTTATTCATCAATGATATTAACCTTTCCCCCTGATGAGGTAATCGGGCAAGCAGAGACGACGGCCTGTCTCATCATTTGGACCAATGGCGTTGCCCATGGCAGCTACGAACACCCAGTATACAAAACAACGGGCGTTGCATTGCTGGCCGCCAAGGTACTCATTACAGCGCCCTCCCGGTCCCAGTCTGGCTGGAGGGAACCTGCGCCTGGCTCCAGGGTACGTACCTGGACTTTTGCCTGCACAAGGCACCAACCAGCCTGCTAGCAGCCTGCCACCCTGCTTTACAGCAGCCCCGTGGCTGGTTGGCTGCCTACCTTAGACTACTAGTAGGTACGTCCATTACAGTACTTCTCTTCTACTCTTCCTTGCCAACCCGGAAGGTACTGTACTGTGCCATCCCTAGCCGCCGCCGCCGCTCAGCCTATTGATGCAGAAGAGAGCGACAAGTACAGAGACAAGGAACCCCATGAACGGTCGGCATGTAACATGCAATACGTGCGATATGGAGCAGGGATGTGGCCCGCAACCCGCAACCTCCCCCAGCTGGGACTTCCCTTCCAGTGCTGTGTACAGTCCCACTTGTATCCCTGAGGTAACCTGGGCCCTTGTCCATCACCACTCGTCCGTCCCCCCTTCCTTCGCCCAGCCCCCCCACCCCAATCAAAGGGAAAAAGGAAGGAGAGAGGGAGACAGCGCGCTTGCATCTTTTTTGTCCTGTCCTACCTACTCATGCTACTTAGTTAGACAAGGCCTGCCTAAACAAGTCACAGGCGCCCGTCTCAATCTCATTTCGCCTCATCCCTCGTCTTCCCGCTTACACTCACACACAAACCATCTCTCTCTCTCACACGCGCGAGCGCCCGACCGACCCTACGACGGCTGCTTCTCCTCCTTGGATCCCTCCCCGTCTTCCGGGCGACATCCACTGCTCTCGCTCGTCTCGGCTTCAAGCGCACCCGGCCGAGGCCACACGGCCTCCAACTCAGCCGCCCTCTGTCGTCACCAGCCTCGCACGCCCGTCCCGTCGACGCTCTCGAATACGAGCCCGAGCCCAACGAGCCCATCCGCACTCGTCGTCACCCCCGTCGCTCGAATCGCATTCTCCCCCGAGCGCCGCCGCCACCTATATCGAGTCTCGGCGTCTTCGCCTGGTTCCCTCGCTGTGATTGCGCACCTCCCTCGGAGCAGCCGTTGCCCGGGCAGCAGCAACGGTGCCCGCAGTCACAATGGGCTCGACCGACTTTGGCAAGTTCAATGTACGCCACCATCAAGCCGAAATCGCTCCCCGACTCATGGCTGACACGCATCTTCCGTCAGGACTTTTGCAAAGATTCCACCTTACCCGTCTGCAATGTACGTTTACCCCGAGCGCTCGACACGGCGACACACGACCGCTCGAGCCCTCAAGTCGCAACAAGCCCTAGGCCGTGCGCTGCGGATTGTGCTGACTCGATTCCCTGCAGCTTTTGTCGCCAGATCACGATCAAGATGGACCCTGGCGAGGCTGTCAACTGACGGGCATTTCGCTGAGCAATGGCCGCCACCTGGGCAACCTCGGCTCTATTCTGCTGTGCGGCGTCGCAATTGCCGTCGCCGCCTTGTTGTTGTTAAAATCAGACAAAAAGCGGGCAGCGGTAGGCCGACGGTACGTTGGCATCGCACCCGTCAACGAGAACGCGACTGACGCATATGCGAACCAGGGAAATGCAATTGTTCCTCGTCGGCTACATCATCGTGAGCATATGCGAAATCTTTTCCGTCGGCGTCTTTCCGCTTGACGGCAGTGTCAGAATCGTACGCAGGCCCCTCTCTGTTTGTCGTCCCCTGCTTGCTGACCCGGACATGCGTCTACACAGGCCTTCTCTGCCATTCACCTTGGCATGATCATCGCCACCACTTGGATCTTGATGCTCAACGCTGTCGTAGGCTACCAGCTGATCGACGACGGCACGCCCATGTCCGTGAGCCTAATGATCGCCTCGGCGGCAGCCTTACTCATCGGCACTGGATACATTGCCCTCGACACGGGCTATAGCTGGACCGGCTACTGGGATAGCAGCTACAATCTCCCGAACCGACATGTTTCCCTTTACGTCCTGTACCAGCTGGCGCCGCTCATCTTCCTCGTGGCCTTTTACGTTCTCGAGACCATCCTCGTGCTGCGGGTGCTCGGGGAGGTCCGGCCCATGTTGTTTCTGACTGGCGCCGCTGTCGTCTTTGCCCTTGGCCAGATCTTCAACTACGCCATCAGCAGATACATCTGTGAAGGAACCAGCGGCAGGATCGATGGCGCTCTCTTCCAGACACTCTTCACCTTGGTCTCGGTAGTTCTGGTATGGACTTTTTGGTCGAGCATCACCGAGGATGACTGGCCGATGCAGACGACGAGCACGTACCCATAAAATATCGGCGGCGGCATGTGGACTCTCGGATTCACGGCGTTTCAGGACTGACGGAACCGTTAATACCTCTTTTCAATCATTTGCGTTGTTTCTCGCTCGCTGACGTTGAACGACTTTTTTTTTATTCTTCTATACGGCCCGACGACACGCGTGTACGTTGACGGAGAAACATGGATACCCGTGGGCGTGGCAACGAGGCATGGGCTCGCTGCGGAGCGATTTGCTTGCCCTTTGGGCGGCGAGGTGTTTGGGTACTGGCGTGGGCGCGTTTGCATACCATTTGGGCACCCCTCCTTCCCTTGGACGTTGACGAGAGAAGGTGGATGGATGAAAGTGTTTTGTTTTCTTTTGGAGGAGGCGGCTTGACGTGGGAAATAGCTACTTGGTTCTGCTTCTAGATGCCATGGCGGATGGATGGCCTTTGTTGTCCTCGAGCTGTTTGTAGGATTTAGATACGGCTTCGTAGTATACCCCGATCTAGCGGCTAATGCGTATTCGAGTCTTGCATGAAGCGAGAATGAAACTCGAGCCAAACACTTATATACATGTGCATAACCCGGACGCCCATCACGACGGCCTGATGGTGGTACGCACTCTGACTGCTGCCTCGTCATTGGCCAGTCGGTTTGGTGGAGACGGACAAGGCTGACGCCGCATCTCGCACCAACGGCGCAGCCTCGCAACCATCCACCCCTCGCCCTCGTTGCGCGCCAAGGTTAGACCCAAGACTGTCGACAAGCTCACAACCCTCTCGAGGCCTTGAATGCTCCGTCAAGTCTTGCCCGCATACCGGCCTCTTCTCGTCGGACCCTCCTGCGTGCCCGAGAACAAGGCGAGGAGGACCGCCGCCCTCGGCCGCCGCCGCCATGGCAGACTCGGATGGCGAGTTCATCGCCGACGGCATGTCGGACGATGACCTCATGGACCACGTGGTGAGCGACGACAAGCACGCTCCGTCGGGGGGCGGCAACAACAGTGGCAGGGCGTCTGGAGGGCGCCCCACGCGGCGCCGCAAGGGCGAGCGCAAGGCGGCGGCAAAAGCGTGGGAGCAGTCGAAGCGGACGTGGGAGACGAACCTGCCGGACGAGGATCAGGACGGGGTGCTCAACCTAACGGCGCTCGAGGCAGAGAAGCGGCGGCGGCTGCTGCGCGACACGACGCCTCTGCAGAGGGGCATCATCCGCCACCTGGTGCTGGTGCTCGATATGTCGTTTGCCATGGCCGACAAGGACATGCTGCCCACGCGGTATCGGCTGATGCTAGGCTACGCGGCTGCCTTTGTGAGGGAGTTTTTCGAGCAGAACCCCATCTCGCAGCTGGGCGTCCTGGGCATGAGGGACGGCGTCGCTGTTCGGATCAGTGATCTGGGCGGGAACCCGGCCGAGCATCTTGAGCGGTTGCGGGCGATCGAAGGCCAGGATCCGCAGGGGAACCCGAGCCTGCAGAATGCGCTCGAGATGTGCCGCGGCGCACTGTTGTGAGAAACCACTCCCAACCCACCCCTCCCCTTTTTCCGCTTCCAATATTTACCTTGACTGACTGACTGCTGACTGGCGAGGGGGCCGGGGCGGTAAAAACACAGCCATGCGCCGTCGCACGGGACGCGAGAGGTTCTCATCATCTACGGGGCGCTGCTGTCGAGCGACCCGGGCGACATCCACGAGACCATCGGCCACCTGATGACTGACCGGATCCGCGTCTCCGTCGTGGGGCTGTCGGCGCACCTGGCCATCTGCGCCGACCTGTGCTCGCGCACAAACGCGGGCGACGAGTCGCAGTATAGGGTGGCCCTGGACGAGGTGCACTTCCGCGACCTCTTCCTCGCCGCCACGACGCCCCCCGTCACGCGCACCCTCGAGCAGAGCACCCCGAGCCTGCTCATGATGGGCTTTCCCTCGCGCACCCTGGCCCCCGGCGGGACGACGAGCTACTGCGCCTGCCACAGCAGGCCCTGCCGCGAGGGCTACGCCTGCTCGCGCTGCGCCACCCGCGTCTGCCGCCTGCCCGCCGAGTGTCCCGCCTGCGGCCTCACCCTCATCCTGTCCACCCACCTGGCCCGGTCATATCACCACCTCTTCCCCCTGCGCAACTGGGTCGAGGTCTCGTGGGCCGACGCCGTGCGCTCCGCCACCTGCTTCTCGTGCCAGAGCGCCTTTCCCGAGCCGCCCAAGACGAGGCAGCCGGCGGTGGCGGCGGTGACGGCGTCGTCGACGACGAAGACGGCGGCAGGAGGGGCAAAGGGCGTGAGTGAGAGCGCGCGCTACGCCTGCGAGGTGTGCGGAAACCACTTCTGCATTGACTGCGACGTCTTTGCCCACGAGGTGGTCCACAACTGCCCCGGCTGCCAGAGCAACGCCCTACCTCATGACCCGCCGCCGGGCGGGGCCGAGCTCAACGGCAACAGCAACGGCCACGCCAACGGGGCCATGGAGCTGGACGCATGAGTGGGCGGCTTGGTTCCAAGTGCCTCTTGTGCTGTAGTTTCCTCTTTTGCATGGCGTGCCGGCGCGAGAAGCACGGCGGGGGCGCGTTCCCAGACGCGGTTATCCGGGCCGTGACGGAGCCGAGGAACAGGAACGAGGCGCAAAATGACGGCGGGGAGAAGATCAAGGTGGGCTATGTTTACAGCGAATAAGGAGACTAATACAGGCTTACGACGAGCTGGGAACGGTGGATGAGCACGGAGGGTGGTTTATTTCCTTGTTCTTCTCGAGCATATACATACACGCAACGCGGCGCATGGAATGGGACTGCGCATCTTCTCTCGTTTGCCCTGAATCCATGGGGAGGGTACTGAAGGGCGCCAGCCGGATGCTTGGACGGCTTTGCGTGGGGCGGGGGGAGGAAATGCATGTCCCGTAGAGGGTTTTTTTGGCTTCTTGCGTGTAGGGAGGAAGAAGAGGTGGCACGCTTCCAAAGAAAGGAGCTCTTTCACATATACACACGGAGACGCACGGAGACAACTATGACCAGATGTACAATATGCACGTGGAAGGAGCCAGACACTCATTTCTCACGGGAAACGGGGTAGCGAACGACAGACACCAGGACCATGTGCGAGAGAAACGGGGCCAAGGCTGTGATGATGGTGGTGATGATCTTTGCATCGTGGACTCGTTTCACACCCGGCAACGTACGTACATACATGAAGGTGTGCGCGGCCACGGCTGGAACACAGGAACAGGAAAACACGCCAAAGCGAGAAACAGGCCGAAGGTGAGAGAAGAAGCGGAAAAGAAAGAAAGGACAAGAATAGCCTCGGTTGTGCGCGTTCTCGTGTCGTCATACCCGGTGATGCTGCCATGCACCCCGTCGCCAGCGTTGGTGGACTCAACAGTCAACACTCCCCCCTTTTTCTACATCTCTTGCGCGCACTCTCGTGTCGGAAACACACTCGCTCTCCGGCATGCCACCGACCCGCTCGTCGAGAGCAGGGCCAGATGGTATAATTAATACAACAGTACACCCCGAGGGTGGTGGGAGCACAGGGAACAAGGGGATAGGGAAAGAAGAGGAACAAGGGACTCGGATGTCTGACCCCAGGCCCCCCTCGGCCTACAGGTTCCCGCGCTCGGCCTGCTCGCGCTCAATGGCCTCAAAGAGGCTCTTGAAGTTGCCGGCACCGAAGCCGTCAAAGTCGTTGCGCTGGATGATCTCGATGAAGACGGTGGGGCGGTCCATGAGGGGCTTGGTGAAGAGCTGCAGCAGGTAGCCGCCCTCGTCGTAGTCGATGAGGATGTTGAGGCTCTGGATGGTGTCGAGGTCCTCCTTGAGCTCCCACTGGCGGCGCTCTGTCTTGAGGCGCTGGCGCATCGTGTTGTAGTAGCTCTCGGGCACGTTGATGAAGTCGACGCCGCGGGCGCGCAGGGCCGACACGGCCGAGATGATGTCGTGCGTCAGCAGCGCAATGTGCTGCACGCCCGCGCCGGCGTTGAAGATGACGTACTCCTCGATCTGCGACTTCTTCTTGCCCGCGGCCGGCTCGTTGATGGGCATCTTGACGAGGTTGTTGGGCGAGGCCATGACGATGGAGCTGAGGGCCGAGAACTCGGTGCAGATCTGGGAGTCGTCGACGGACCAGAAGCGGTGAAAGGACAGGCACTGCTCGTAGAAGGCGCACGCCGACGCCATCTCGTCCCAGTCCTGGTTGCCGACGCAGTGGTCGATGCGTGCCAGCCCGACGTCGGGCAGCGTCACCGAACCCGTCGCCTTCTTGGCCTCGCGGAAGCCCGGCAGGAAGGGCCCCGAATACGACGCCCGGTGGATGAGCGTGTGCGTCGTGTCGCCGTACGTGTTGACGACGGCCGTCACCACGTTGCCGTGCTCGGCGTCGCGGAGCACCTGGGGCGCCTGCACCGCCACCGCGCCGCCCTTGACGGCCCGGCGGTAGACGCCCTCGACGTCGTCCACCTCAAACGCCACGTCCTTGACGGCGTCGCCGTGCCGTTCGAGATGCGCGTGCATCTGCACCAGCAGCCTCCGCTCCGCGTCCGAGATGGGGTCGTCGGACAGCAGGTGCTCGGCCGATCGCAGGGGGGACGTGAAGACGAAGCGGACGCCGTGGTTGGCCACGACGTACGAGGCAAAGTACCGGCTGCCCGTCTCGAGCCCCCTGTAGGCGACGGCCGTGAAGCCGAAGAGGCTGACGTAGTAGGCCGCCGCCTGCTTGGCGTTGCCCACCCACCACGTTACGTGGTCATAGCCTGTGAAGTTGCCACCCGCTTCGAGGGCGAGGTCGCCGTTGGGCTGCTGCGCCGTTGCATCGGCGGCCCGCTGCTGGGGAGAGAGTGCCGAGGGGGCCATGGCTAGTGACCGACGAGGCAGGTGAATGTGTCGTGACGAGCAGAGTCGAGGCCGACCTTTGAGGTTGAGGGAAAGGGGGAAAGGGGATCAGGAGGCGAGTATAGGTTTCAAGTCGATGACGCAACCTTGGGCACAGTCTTCTTATGTCTCTGTTGCCGGCCGTTGATGTTCCGCTTTGGAGTTTAGGTGAAGCAGGCGTGTAAGTGTTTATGTGTATCGTCGTGATGGCGGAAGCAATGCAATGGAAAAGAAAGAGAATACGGAAAAGGGGCACAAAGCGGCCTTGAGAGGGGGGGGGATATAGACTTTTGAATCAACGGCGCCCTGTCTTTCTCGCTGCCCCAGCGGCTTTAGTATCCTTTACCAACATAGCAGGCGGGTGAGCGGTGGTGTCCCCGGAACTGAGCCGCACATGGCATCCCACGGCCCGAGAGCGACGGGGTACGCCCAAGCCGCACGGCTCTGCACAGCGGTGGCGACCTTTGCGCCGGCGGCGGCGGCTCGCTTCGGGGCGGGCATGACTTGACATCAAACACCCCTAGACTGGCGTGGGGCCCCAGAGAAAAGGGGGGCGGTCTAGCCAAAGCCGAGCCGGAAACTTACCGGCCTCGTAAATGTGCGTGGGCCGGGCAAAAGAGGATGGTCAAAACGAAGGCCATGCCGTCAGTGGCTTTCCATTCCGCCTCTCTTTGGCCGCTCGACACTAATAGCAGCAATTCCTCGCTGGAATGTACTGTATGTGGCTCATCATCGACTTGTTGTTGCGCTCAAGGGCCGACCGGGAGACGTTGCTCGCCCGCCGAGCGGAATCCAGGCCGTTGCGGCGGCGCCAGCCGAGGTAAGCCGAGAATGGCCGCCCGGGCCACTTGTTCCCCACGGTACTTCCCGCACGGGGTAATGTTTGCGTCTTGTATGAGGCGGCGGCAATTCCAGGCGGCGCGTGCTGTGCATGCGGCTTCTCGGACATCTTGGCTTGGATGATTGATTTCCGTTGCAGCTCCGTAACGTCGGTGCCGCCCTTCTCCGCCCCGCCGCAATCCCGCCGCAGCAGCGCACTCGTGTCGCTTCTGCAGAATATCAAAGTCTCCCGTCTCGTCTCGAATTGACGACGCAAAAGCGGTGGTTGAGAACGTTCATCTGGCGCCAATACTCGCATCAAAACATCATCCCCCCCCCCAAGAGAGCGGCCATCGTGAGTTGCCGCACAATGGCCTACGTCAACCTGAGCAAGCGAGACGTCAACGTGCTCGAGAAGATCAAGGACCCAGAGTCCAACCCGGCTGCGGGAGTCGTCATCGATCCGTCCCTGCCCCGCGACCCGCACATCGCCGACTCGGGCGTTTATGAGAGGCTTTCCCAGAGAGAGCGCGTCATCATCCAGACTATCCAGTCCATCGAGACGCAGCTCAGCCAGTCCCACGCCGAAGACGCCGATGAGGCGGCCATCGAGGGCTTTCGACAATGCATTTCCGATTTAGACAGCCTCGTATCCGAAGAACCCAGGTACGCCAGCGCAAGGAACAACCGGGCTCAGGTAATTAGGCGAATTTATGGAGACTGTATGTTGCTCAACATCACCACCGGCATGCCCATGCCCCTGATTGCGGAACCCGAGAAGTCGGAAAGGAGAAAGGTCGCCGTCACGGCACTCGAGGATCTGGAGCGCTCCATTGCCCTGCTCTCTCCGGCCACGATACACACCCCTCTATCGCCCCAGGCGGCTCGCACACTGTCCATGGCGCACACACAGCGAGCAGCAATCTACCTCAGAACATCCAAGCTGTTGTCGGACCGGCTGCTGGACGTTGACGAGGCCCGGCCCGAAGCGCAGTGGGCCAAGCTGAATTTCGAGGAAGCGGCCTCGCGAGATTTGGCTTATGGCGGCCGATACGGCAATCAGATTGCAAAGGGCCTGGCCGTGAGCGTCAACCCGACGGCCAAGCTCTGTGGACAGATTGTCCGGGAAGCTATGAAGAAGGAATATGGGCCGTCTTTCCAAATATAAATGCCCGGCGTATCCGGGTGCCGGTTGCGCAAGGAACGGAACTACGTCCACGAGTCGACAGCATGTCGGGAAGCGCACAGTTCCCGTTCAAGGGAACTCGGCGGGTCGAATATAGAATACTTGGCGTCGAGGTGGGCGTTATCATGGAGCATGAGCTTGATCAAGCCGTTTTGCGCGAAATTCCAACACGTCTGACGCAACACCGAATGTTAGTCCACGCCCGGAACCAAGCCTAGTGTAAGAAAAGTCTGCCCGCCATACCGCAGCCCAGCTTCAATGGTCTCATTCGCCGTCTTTCCCTTGCTCTTCTGCTCGCGATTGATGCGGGTGACGGCGGCAGAGACGCCAATGAAGACGGCGAAAATGGGGTCCGCCACCCTCGAGATGATGTACGTGGGCGCAGGCATATTTGCTGTCCGGTCGTGATCGGTTTCTTGCTCTGCACTGCAGCTGCTCGTCGAGTCGTGCCTTATTTGCCGTAGCTGTGACCTTGGGCAATTGGAGTCTCATCCCAAAATGGAGGGAGCAACCGTGTAGAGGTCCCGTCGCGCACGGGCCAACCCTCCTCGTCAATCACGTGATGTAGCACCTGCACTCGCTTGCCCCAAATAACCAACCCACAAACCCCAAATTTTTGCACCAAATTCCCGAATACGGTCCCGCGACGTCGACGAAATCCGCCTACTAACACACCACCCGACCACACTGCAGGACAAGATGAAGTTCCTCAAGGTCGGCCGAGTCGCCATCATCACCCGCGGCCGATATGCCGGCAAGAAGGTACGAAACTCTGCGAGATCTTGTGTGCGGGGACGTCTTCCTCGTCGCGTTGCGCCTGACGATACATGCACATCTGGGAAGGGAAGACGGGAAAGAGGAACGAGCCGGGTGTCGTGCGACTTATTTGCCTTTCGACGGTCTCATAACCCTTGGGCATCGTCTACGCTGCAACTTGATCGGCAGAAGAGGGCTCAGGCTGACAGGAATCGTGCAACCAGGTCGTCATTATCCAGCCCGTCGACAATGGCAACAAGCCTCACCCCTTCGGCCACGCCATCGTCGCCGGCATTGAGCGCTACCCCTCCAAGATCACCCGCCGCATGTCCAAAGCTCGCCAGGAGAAGCGGTCCAAGATCAAGCCCTTTGTCAAGGTCATCAACTACAACCACCTGATGCCCACCCGGTACACGCTCGAGCTCGAGGGCCTCAAGGGTACCATCACCGGCGACACCTTCAAGGAGGTTACCCAGCGCGAGGATGCAAAGAAGACGGTCAAGAAGGTGCTGGAGGAGCGCTACACGAGCGGCAAGAACCGATGGTTCTTCACCCCCCTCAGTACGTCCACACCTCTCCATCCCGCTCTTTGTGCCGCACGCTGCCCGGCTCGACGCTCGACCCATTTGCAAATCCGAGACGCTGACACGCCTAACTGTAGGGTTTTAAAGATATGGTCGTTTTCTCCAGCAAGGTTAGGGAGTTTGCGGGATGTAAAGAGCATTGAGTGGCACTCAAAGCACCCCGGGTTATGGGCTCAATACGAAGTTGATTGAAGATTTCTCACCGATATATCATGGCTGGCGTGACTGTCTCTGGGGCACATGGCGAAACGTGGAAATAGTGGCACAGCCCCGGTTGGATTGAGGAGTGGTCAGCGTAGCTCGCCCGTCGGCTCTGAGCTAGGCAACAGAGCAGCTTCCTGTCACGCCCTCTCTGCTCATCGTACCCCCACGGGCCTGAGCATTTTACATCTCAAGCGACAGTTGACTGAAACTCAATAGACGTGCGTGTGTAATGCTCGTTCTGGCGTGCCCTTGCTGTAAACCATACACATTTCTATGATTGATTTCCAGCGCTGTCTAAGTAGCATCACTTTAGACCATTCATGATGCGGGTCGTGCCGCTTCGCCCGTCGGCACCGCGCGAAGCTCTGAAACTGTACACCAACGATCCTCTCGCCCTACACCCAAGCCCGAGTCTCTCTTGTCTCCAATCATTATTTTTCCCTCGACAACCGATGCGGATACGCGTCAGGGCGAGTCCAGTTCCAACGCATCGGATAAAGAAAAAAAGAGAACGACAGAGATGTCTGCCCTCCTAGATTTGCCTGTGCGCCCAGCCATTCAACGCCTAGTCGCGCTCTCGTGTTCAATCCCTCCCTTGTCCGCCGAGGCAAGCATGACGAGGCCCCAAAGATATTACACCCTGCCATTTCTCATTGGGCGTCAACCTTGCCAAAGCGGCTGGTCACCTCGTTGGTGAGCTTGGTGGGGTCGTAGTTTGGCGCATAGGTGGGTGCGAGCGCTCCAAAGAAGGTGAAGAGAACAAAGGCCGACATGGTAATCACGGCAATCTTGCGAAGCACCGGCTTCCGCGCACCAAACTCAGCCCACTGGCGGTTCGCCTCGCCAACGTATCCCTTGAGCTGCTCGAAGCCAAGCTTGTAGTAGACCATGCCGCCCAGAGCAATCGAGTAGCCGAAGAACTGGAGAGGCGTGACTTGGGTGCCCCAGATCATCATGGAGGCAATGACAAGCATAATATCCTTGAGGACGCCGCACAAGGTGAGCACAACTGCAGAGGTCTTTCCAATCTATTTTCATGGCATTAGCACGCAGGCAATTCGCACGCAGGTCAAGGTCACCGTACCAGGAAGACGACGGAAACGTTGAGCATAAAGGCGCAGAGGCCGTTGAGGAAGAAAGTGAAGAGGCCGACGTTGTAGACATCGGCCATCGAGACTCTGGGGATCTCCCAAATCAGGGCGACGACTCCGTTCATGACGGCGCAAATGGGAGCAAAGTAGTAGAGAGAGACGAGGGGGTCCATCTTGAAGTCGGCCGAGCTCAGGAGACGCTGGACCATGGTGAGGCGAAGGGCCTCGAAGATGATGCCTCCGATCTGGAATAAGACCCCGACAGTGACGAAATGGATTTCCCCAAAAGACGCAATGACAACGCCGACAACAATGGCCGAGACGTTGAGGAACTGCTTCAAGTTGGGCTGCGAAACCCCCAGAGTCCAGCCCGAGATGAGGACGGCAACGGGGGTGGTGGCCTTGAGCATCTGGATGAAGGCAACGGACAGGTATAGATAGGTCAGGTTGCCGCAAATCAGGCTCAGGCTGAAAAAGACGCCGATGGGGACTACGGCTCGTAGGTAGACGCGGCCCGTCATCTTGACGGTTTTCCGGCCATCAAGCAGCGTCGTCCATCGCGCCATGACCTGAGTGACAATGGTCGCGAAAGACAAGTGGTATGTGGTGAGGATGACGGGGTAGCCTGTATTGCTGGGTTAGCCGTCGGCGTCGACGAGACCGGCTCGCGTGGGAGACGTACGAAAGTTTAGGGTGTCGAGAAGCCATTTGTTGAACAGGATGACGGACGAGCTGAAGCCGATCCAGGTCCTATAAGCGTCGCGTGAGTTGAGCGTTCAGGAAGACAGGCAGCCGCAGCTACTGACAGGACGTAGAGAGCCGGGTGCAGAGCAGCCTTGGTCGGCTGAGGCTTCTCCAGTTGAGGGTTGACGGTCGGCAGAACGGGTGAGGCATCCGGGCGGGAGACGTCGCCCGAGATGCGAATCTTTTCCTCTGCAGACATTGTTGCCGAGTTGCGAGCGGACGATTTGGACGAGTTGCGAGATGGCGCGAGCGCGGTATTGATGAGGCTGCTCGCGAAGCGGATGGATTGCTTGAGGGACGCACGGGACGCGCAAAAGAGCGGACGGATAGCTAGATCCAGCTATGGTGTTTTCGGCGCCGGAGAAAAAAAAGGAAAGGGGGTTAAGGAGTGAGGGGATGGGATTACGTAAGGGGCGAAGGTGTGATGGGGCCTGGAAGAAAGGACGGAAGAAGACTCTGGGCGGGCCAAAAAAGCTTGGCAGGCTGCGATGAAGAAGGGAAGAAGAGGCTGCGTACGACGCGTTTGGCGTAGAGAAGGGGTCAAGGCATGTACTTTACTGTACTGGCTTTAGGGGGGATAGGAGGAGGGAGGGGCTGGAAGCGGCAAGGCGAGGGAATTAATCGGAATTTGGAGGCTGCGCGCGGGCAGAGAGAGAGTATCGAGTTATTTGGGCACAGTAAGCATGTCTTGATGCCCGGTACTGTGTGCCTTTTTCCTTGTTCCTCCCTCTCTTCCCCTTTTTCTCAGTTTGACGTGCCACGCGTGTGCGTAGGCGGATCGACGCCCTCCGAGGTTGGATGGTTGCAATCGGCGCTGTCACCTTTGAGTGGCCACCTGTCCCCGGGCTTTCTGCAGTCTGCCAATGCAAGTACACGATTGCAACACGTGACGGGCAAGGCAGTCCACTTTCTGAGCCGTCGGCTGTGTATCTGTTACAGTACTGTACATACTTACGTATTACGCGTCGAGGCGGAGAAGCACATGTCGGTACTTCGTACTGTACCTCCTTTTACCCATTCCCCCCAAGGTGCCCGCGGCACTGTGCTTGCACGGAAGGTACGCACATAGGTAGGAGATGCCACTTTGCACTACCTTACCTACCCAGGTAGGTAGGTAGTTCGGAGTACCTACCTAGGTACTAAAAACAGATTGTGGATTCAGACATACTGAGTATACGTACTGTACATACGTACGTACTTCAGTGCCGGGGTGCGCAACAGTGCATGCAGGCAACCCGCCTCCTAGGTCAGGTATCGAGCCAGGGTACGCGGGTGTGCGCGTTCACCTCGCCGTCGTGACGTGCAAATACGGCCCGGGTGTAATTAATACAGTACCTAAGTAGTGGGGTTGGGGGCCATCAGGTCCTACGGATACAAGTCGTAGGCAGGACGATTACGGTAGGCAGAGGCTGCCGCGATCGGCAACGCTTCCTGTCGAACCATTTAGCCCGCCCATATTGATTAACCCGGCCAAGCACCTGTGTTGCACTGTACAGTACGCCGCAGACAACTCGCTGGCAAGGAAAATGGCAAACGTCAAGTCAGCAGGCATGTTGCAATGGAGTCGGGAAAAGACCGCGGCATCCCAGCAATCCAAGGCAGAAAGCACTTTGCCCCCATTCCATCAGGCCCGACTGCAGCGCACCCGAAACGCGCATACTGCGTAATTAGCAAGTGTCTGTTTGGACATCGAGGGCCTAGGCCATCGAGTTTCCAGTGGTCACTGGCAATAGAGGCTGTGCAGCGTACTATTTCTTGAACTGCCTTGGAGACGACCCTGTCTTATTGGTGCCTTCTAGATCCAAGGTCAGCCCCTTGTCCTATGGCACTACTTACCCGCCCTCTTTTTGGGTCAGACATTCAGGCTAATGGGCGACAATGCGCCGCAAGCAATGGTTTAGATTGTCATCCTCGGGACTCACCTTCTTGGCCAGATTTGTCTGCAACTGATTTACCGCCCAAATGCAGAGGCGTTTCGTGCTTTTCGGAAACTCGCGGCCAGCACGCGCGCCGTGATATGTATGGCCCGTGCTACCTGTCCAGGAGGATTACTTTCCTTTCATCACCAATTCTGCCTGAATCGAGGACAGGTAAGCCCGAGATTCCCTCGCTGCCTGATTCAAGTCAGGTACTCCGTACATACCTACAGGGAGTACAGGGAGGGCTACACAAGCCATGCTGCGGAGCACCCTGCTAATTACAGCACGGGACGAGAGGAGGGCCTGTGCAAGCGCTCAACGTCACGTCTCTTGGCCATCTTCGGTCGATTGCTTCAGGACCGTGTCTGTTCGCTCGCATGGCAGGCCGATCGTCGGTCCAAGTGACATCGGTCTTCCGCAGCTGACGACGCCCCCAACCTTGGCCTCTGGCCTGTCCCTTACAGGACATGCGGTAACTTAGAAGTCTCCCCGTGATCTGCGCTTGCGATCAGATGGACGTGCCCCGCTAGCCTCGACCAATTCGCAAACGGCCACACTGCCCCAAGATCGCTTCCGTCCCCGGGAGGCAAGTCGGAGGAACCGAAATGACGGAAAAGACGCGCAGGGTGACACACAAACGGCCGGTCAGGCTCTTTTCGGGAGGGGAGCAGCTCCCGTCGACGGAAACAAACATGACCGTGTTTTTACTGTAGTCCTTGTGCCATGCCCGCCCTGTGGTAGTGCAAGGACCGTCATCCGTTCCCTTAGATTTTTTTGATGGGAGTGGAGGTTGCAAGGTACTGGTTGAAAAGGAAGGTGCCTGAGGGCGGTGAGATGAGGCAACGTTCAGCGTTGCGAGCAACGACAGACTCCCCGAGAGTGGGCGCCTTTCAGATACAACCATGTGGCCCAAGGGAGAGTGTTGGTTGTAGCTCGAGAATGCGATGTTTCCCGGTGGCGGTCCCACGAGGCTTGCCCCTGATCAAAATGCTATGGCAGTGACAGTGCCGACGAACACCTCGTCTACAATCGACTGGACGCCTCGCGCGTGGTCTTTCTGTCATGTCACCCTACTGGCTTGATTGCACGGCAGCTTCGAGGTATTGCTTTCCGATGCCATCCCCTGAGATGCATGTCCCTACTGTAAATGGATGGGTGGGTGCCAACAGCCGCGCCGGCTGCAGGTTGATATTACACACCCGTCAACCGCCTTATCTTGGGCCGTTGCCAACGACTGGCGATGAGTGGTGATTAATGATCTTCATCTTGTAAGATTGCGTCCAGGTCAAGGGGCTTGGCCCTACAGTGCGTGGTTCAACACCGTCAACGCATCGAGTAGCGCAACCTGATGCCTTGCATGGAGCGTAACGGCTCTGCAAAGCACCAAGACTGGCGGGGGATTATGCTTTTCCATGGCCTTTAGCGGTCCCATGACGCGATCGTCGAATGCCGAGCACACGCATCGTCTTGGCCTGGACGGTAGACGGATGCATCAGTTTTGGTGACGACGAGGAGTTGCCCGGCTGTCCGTAGGCAAGCGACCCATTGTCGGGCTTCGAGCACGACGTCAGCAAAAGACTCGAACTGGTATGCCGGCCCGATAGATTCATGATACACACGCGTTTGCCGTGCAAGATACCCTGAATGGCCATTTCCACCCTGATTGTCTAAAATCCAATCTTGTAAGCGTCTCAGGAGGACTGCCACACCAAGAGGAGGCGCCCCTGAATAGCTGCTCCAGGCACATGGAGATCTTCGGGATGTTTCAGCGAGTGCCTTTGAAGAAGAGCAGGAGAACCTACACACACCCCCATCGGCCCGAACGTCGAGAACCTGAAAGGAATTGCACCGCATCACCGGCCGCCGCTTTTGCCCTAGCATTCTCGGCTACCTCTTCATCCCAAACCAATGGAATAATGAAAGATTGAATATGCTAGGTCACGCAAGCAACGAGGCCCCTGAAGCACAGTGCCCGTTGGCCATTGTACTGTACACGGGCCGCAATCTCCAAGCATCCACGAATTCCATGGACGGCCCTTGGGTTGCTAGCAGAAGATGCCTCGTTACGCATGCACTCACGGCTGCGCCATTGGACGCTGGCCAGAGCTGCGGTTGCGGCTTGAGCATCCGCCACAGGAGGGTTGACAGCCACTGAGCTCGCTGAAACGGGCCTGGCGTAGCCGCTGCCGCTTGCCCTGACTTGTGGGTAGCATCCAATCTAAAGGAGCCCGCCCCCCACGAGGGGGACTCCTTTTTGGTGAATGTACATTTGCATGTACCCTGGCTCTCACCTCTTGCTCTCGGCTTCGCCCAACCTTGCCCTGCCTGATCTCAACAACCGCCGCATCTCCTCCTACAGCAGCTCTTGGCACCGCCTTTTGCCCTGCGCGCTTGTTCTCCAAAGCATCAATCCGCCTTGCTCACATTGCTATCATCTTCTTGTGCGGTCACGTCGTCCCGACATTGACTTGCGTACCCAATTCTCCCTCGAAGCCCTCGACCTCCCCCCTGCCTCTCCCCCACCATGGGCGCCGACATGTGAGTGCCCACGCCCAGCTTGAGCCTCTCCGCGGACGTCGCCCCAAAACTGACTTGAGCGGCGCAGTAACGTTGATGTCCTCATCATTGGTATGGGACCTACGGGTCTCGGGGCCGCCAAGCGCCTGAACCAGATCGTCAGTGCTCACCGCCACGCCCCGAGCCGCAGTCGTCCGCGAGGACGACCAATTCGACGGAGACGACTAACAAGCTTCGCAGAATGGTCCGTCATGGCTAATTGTGGACTCGGCCGACAAGGCCGGCGGTCTTGCCAGCACCGACATCACGCCCGAGGGCTTTGTATGTCCTCTAGTTGCTCCAACAGCGACAATCGAAGCTGTGCGCTGACTCGTTCTCTTCACACAAGCTGTACGATGTCGGCGGCCACGTCATCTTCTCCCACTACAAATACTTCGATGACTGCATCGACGAGGCCCTCCCCAAGGAGGACGACTGGTTCACCCACCAGCGCATCTCCTATGTCCGCTACAAGGGCCTTTGGGTCCCCTACCCCTTCCAGAACAACATCTCCATGCTGCCCAAAGACGACCAGGTCAAGGCCATTGATGGCCTCATCGACTCCGCCATGGAGTGCCGGGTCGCCAACACCAAGCCCAAGAACTTTGACGAGTGGATTCTGCGAATGACTGGTGAGGGCATCGCCGACATGTTTATGCGCCCCTACAACTACAAGGTTTGGGCCGTTCCCACCACAAAGGTACTTCATTTCCACGGCCCCAGTGACGCCGTACGGCGGGCCTTTATTCTGATGCCCTTGTCCAGATGCAATGCCAGTGGCTCGGCGAGCGTGTTGCCGCACCCGATGTCAAGAATGTGACCAAGAATGTCATCCTGAACAAGGTTGCTGGCAACTGGGGCCCCAATGCCACCTTCCGCTTCCCTGCTCGCGACGGAACCGGCGGTATCTGGATCGCCGTGGGCGAGACTCTGCCCAAGAGCAAGAAGCGATTCGGCAAGCAAGGCGAGGTCACCAAGGTGGACGCCGAGAAGAGGATTGTCACTTTCGCCGACGGCAAGACTGTCGGCTACGGCAAGCTCATCAACACCATGGCTGTCGACCACTTGGTTGAAAAGATGGGCAACCAGGAGCTCATTGGCTTGTCCAAGGGCCTCTTTTACTCCACTACCCATGTCATTGGCGTGGGCATTCGAGGAGAGCGCCCCGAGCGCATTGGTGACAAGTGCTGGGTAAGCCGTGTCACGTCTGCCCTTCCAGGTCGCTCGAACTAACGGCGACAGCTGTACTTCCCCGAGGACAACTGCCCCTTCTACCGCGCCACCATCTTCTCCAACTACTCGCCTTACAACCAGCCCCAGGCCGACGCCAAGCTCCCAACCCTCTACCTCGCCGACGGTACCAAGGGCTCCTCCGAGGCCAAGCAGGGCCCCTACTGGTCCATCATGCTCGAGGTATCTCAGTCGTCCATGAAGCCCGTGGACGAGAAGAACCTGCTCAAAGACTGCATCCAAGGCTTGGTCAACACGGAGATGCTCAAGCCCGGGGACGAGGTTGTCTCCACTTACCACCGCCGCTTCGACCACGGGTACCCCACCCCGTCTCTGGAGCGCGAGGGCGTGCTCAAGGAGCTCCTGCCCAAGCTCCAAGACATGGGAATTTACTCTCGTGGCCGGTTCGGCAGCTGGCGATACGAGGTTGGCAACCAGGACCACTCGTTCATGCTGGGCGTTGAGGCCGCGGATCATATTGTCAACGGTGCCGTGGAGCTGACTCTCAACTACCCTGACTTTGTCAACTCTCGGCCGAACAATGAGCGACGCCTGGCCCAGGCTTTCACCTACTCTTAGAGAACCGAGACGGATGACGTGGCCGAGTTGGGGACTCGGGGGTGCGCGCCTCTCCAGGGCGGCGAAAATTAGTGGATAAATGGGACTGGACATGCTTTTAGAGCTGGTTATCTACGGATCTACGGCTGGGCGACAACATTAGAAGCGAAAACGGGTGAAGTTGGTTTGAGAGCAGGACGTGTCGGACTGCCATGTTTCATGGAAGCTCACGCGGTCTTGATATTGGCAGGAGGGCCGAGTTTTCCTGTCGGGCACATCAGCCGTTGGTTCAGATTTGCCGTACAAGGGGCCAAAAGAGGCCATGATAGAACATAGAGCCCGCAGGACCTCTGGAGGCGAGGTTGGAAATTTAGTAGGGAATAAATCTGACTGGTTTGAGCAAGCCGCGGACCGCACGAGGTACCGTGGTACTACATACGTCAGTATTGTCTAGAGGAATGCAAGCCGGCTTAAGTGTAGCGGGCGTTAGGCGGGCGAGAGGGCGGCTCTGCCAGTGACATGACGTCGTACCGAGGCGGCAGAGACAGGGACAGGAACCTCTGGTGTTCGGCTCGGTCTGGTAGATGTGGGCTTTGCGAGGGCATAGCAAAGATGGTTTGCCTCGGTGACAGATGACGATGCTACGCGCATGGCATGGCTACCCGTGAGCTCATTTAGGGGAGTCGGGGTTGTGTGCATGAAGGTGCATCGCTTCCGGTGGGGATGTTTCCTCTTGAACCCCGGCAATCTTGAAATGTGTGCCAGGACGGGAAGCGAGAGCACAGTCCAAGCAGCGTATAGTACGTAGACACGTATACAGTAAGTTAGGCTTGGCCAAGGTAGAGTCAAGACATGGTCGGCGTTTGAACCGGGCTTGTTGCATTCCGCAGGCGATACTCCCGCAGGCGACCATCGGTGCGCGGGGCGTGATTACCTAACACGATACCGGTAAATGCTGTGCAGAGGCGTGCTTGGGGGATTAGCTAAGGCAGGACTACCAGACCTCTTTGGGCCTGGTCTTATTAGCGGCGGAGGGTGCACGCGCCAAGTCGATCCCTCGCGCAGGGCTGCCGGTACTGTACTCAAGCCTCCCCCCGGTTGCAGAAAGGCAGGGCCAAGACGGACAAGTCCTGTCTGTCGCACAAGACGACGCCTCCAAACGCAACGCTGGCGACAACGCGAATCGCCCCTCACCGCGCCTCTCTCTCGTCCCACGGCTCAGCTCGGCGCTGACCCGGCCTGCCCGTCTGCTTCACCAGCAAAGCCGCCACCCGCCGTCTCCCACCGCCGCCACCCGACGTCTCCTACCGCCGCCGGCCGATCGAGGATGGGCACTGCACAAGGACTGATATTGCCACCGTCGTCGACCGCATGAGCGTCTCCGCCTCGAAGCGCTACCCCAAGCGAGGCGTCCTCTCCGACCGCGCGTCATCATGGACGCCGTCGTCCTCGTCCCCGACCACGTGCTCGACCCTCCTCCTCCGCCCCCGCCGCGGCTCTACGAGCGGCTTCGCCAAATCGCCGGCTACACGTGGGATGAGTCCAAGCCACCCTTCCACTCCACCTATGACTTCTGGTGAGTTCTCTACAGTCCCCTCTGGCCCCAGGTTTCTCGAGGATTCATCTGCCGGATGCCTTGCTGTCGTGCCACCCTTTGCGAGGGGCAAGTCGAGACTGACTCGAGTCGACATACTCATTCGCGAATAGGCACGTTTTCGGGACAAGAATCGTCTCTCCCATGTGCCCGACGCCGAGTTCGCATCCCAATGAATCACTAGCCGGCTCACTGACGAGGCTGCAATCCGGACGACCGTCGCCATCCGAGAACGGGAATCATGCTCCGTTCGACGATCTTCCAGGCCGGACATCCGCGCCGCAACACCCCCCTACTCCCGCCCTTTCCATCATCTCGCCCGAGGCGTCGTGCGCCAGCGAAGAGCCAGTAGTAGCCCGGATCTCGTACCACGCTGTGCGAGAAGAGCGAGCCTTTCAGATCGCAAAGAGCGTGACCGCAACCGCCGATCCCAATGGGGACCACATCGTCAAACCTCTCGACCTCATCAGGCTGAGCCCCATCCCGGGTGACCGTGGCGTCATCGTCGTCGCTATTTATGCGCACCCTGGCCACAATCTCCTCTACGACGTTCTCGACATGGGCCCGGCGTTTTACACGGCGCGAAAGGAGCACGACGAATACGTTTCGTACCATAGCAAGGCTCTTGGGCTTCGACCGCCAATCAACCTGGAGTACTTTCTCGACTTTGCCATTGGTGCAGCTCAGTGCCTCGAGATTCTCCACCACGGCCAAGGCATGATCCACGGCGAGATCCGGGGCGACGCGTTCCACTTCAATGCCGAGGAGAACAAGGTCAGGATTGTCTCTTTCGGCTCTGGCGTTCGGTCATTCGAGCACGGCTTGACGAGCACGGGCTGGTCCACGCTTTCCAGGGAGGTTGGCGCCAAGAATAAGCTCCTCTACATCAGCCCCGAGCAGACTGGTCGAATGCCCGCCGAGCCGGACACGCGGACCGACATCTACTCGCTCGGAGTCCTGTTATGGACTCTCTTGGCGCAACAGCCCGTACACAGCGGAGACTCCCCGCTCGACATAGTCCAGGGAGTACTCGGTCGGCGCATCCCAAACGTGGCCACCGTGCGAATGGACATTCCCGACGTTATAGGACGCATAATCCAAAAGTGCACCGCCAAGAACGTCACTGAACGCTACCACTCGGCCAGCGGCCTTCGCTATGACTTGGCCAGAGTCCAACAGCTTCTCAGCGACGGCGATTCGTCCGCCCTCAGAGACATGATGATTGGAACAAAGGACGTGTCTTCCTTTTTCATGCTGCCGTCCTCCATGATTGGGCGGCACGGAGAGATGGACAGTCTCATTCAGGTCATCGATCGCGCCTCCAGGTCGCACGCAGTGCACACCAAAGGTGCTGCGAGTCGATTTCCCGACGGCTCATCTCTGGCCAACGAAGCCGCCACGGCCGATGATATGTCCAGCGGAGCAAGCTCAGTAGACGGCACCAATCGCAGAAGCGGATCCTTTGCCCACACGACATCTTCAGAGCCCAAGCTGCCGCGAAACAGCATCCATCCGTCTCTCTTCTCCGACACAAAGACCCTTTCCAACGAAACCATATCTTCCTGCCACTCCGGTGCCTACTCCCGACTGCCGCGACCTTGGGAGCGCCACCAGTCCATGTCTGCAGAAACCGTCAGTGCCGCTGATAGCACGGGCTATGAATCTGCGCGCCCCGGCCCGGCCGAGTCGTCCGTTGGGTCCAGTCTGCCGCGACAGCTGGGATCTGCCAAGTTTCGACGCCGAGGGCACTGCGAGATCGTGACCCTTGAGGGCGCAGGCGGCCTCGGAAAGAGCAGCTTGGTTCAGAGTGTGCTCCCGGAGGCGCGACGGCGCGGATATTGCGCGACGGCCAAGTTTGATACTGCTAGAAGAACAGCATTCGGACCATTGCTTAAGCTGCTGTCGTCTCTGTTCAAGCAGGTCTGGGGAGAGAGAAACACGGAGACGGCGTTCCACCAGGGCCTGAAGCAGTACGTCCGCCCGGTATGGCCCATGCTCCACCGAGCACTTGGGCTTCCCGAGTTTCTACTGGGCCCCCCCGAACCGGGGTCTTCCAAGTCCACGTCCGCGCAAAGCTCTGGAGCCCGGTGCAATGGCCGATCAGCGACGAAGCGCCGAGGGTCCTCGTCCCCAGGATGCTCCCCCGCGCCCTCGGCGCCCAACCCAAATATGCCGCAACAAAGCTCGCAAGACTACCTCTGTGCTGGCACAGCGACCAAAACCACCCGTCTCATGAACACTTGCCTCGATATCCTTCGCGTCTTCACGACGCACAAGTTCATAACCTTTTGTCTCGACGACGTCCACTTTGCCGATGATGAGTCCTTGGAGCTCATCAGTCAGATCATTGGTGCCAAGATGAAGATGGTCATCATCATGACCTACCGCCCGGAAGAGCTCTCGCGGGAAAGGATGGAGAGGATAATCTATTCCTCGGATGCAGACGGTACTGGCGCCGCAGGAACAGCTTATTTCGTAGTATGCTGACAGCAATGCAGAAATCCATCGGAACAATCGTCCTGCAGTAACCAGGATCACACTCTCCCCGTTGAGCGAGGACGACATACTCGAATATGTCTCGACTCTCCTGTCACGGCCAAAAGAAGAAGTGTTGCCTTTGGCGCTTGTCATTCAGTCCAAGACGGCCGGGAACCCTTTCTACATGCGGGAGATGCTGAGTGCGTGCCACCGCAAGAAATGCATCTGGTACGACTACCGAGATAGCCAGTGGCACTATGACCTGGACCGGCTGTTTGCCCAGTTTCAAGGCGAGAAGGACTATGACGTTCTCGACACAGGATTCATCACGCAACGCCTGAGCGAATTGCCTCCTGCGGCTCGAGCAGTCTTGGCCTGGGGGGCTCTCTTGGGCAACTCGTTTTCCTTTGAGCTCATAGCGCGGCTGATGGGAGGGGAGTTCGAGTACGACGACGACCTCGAGAACTGCTGCGAGGATATTCCGCGATGTCCGTTCTCCGAGAGAGAGGCCATCGCTGGCCTGCAGGCCGCGATCCAAGCCTACATCGTTGTGCCAAGCGAGACCGACGACCGCTTCCGCTTTGCGCATGATCGCTACATTCACGCCTCGGCGGCCTTGAAGGAGTGCAACGCTCGACGGATGCACTTCATCATTTCGCAGACACTCCTCAAGTACTACGGCGTGGAGTCGAGGCAACGTGACAGTACCGCCTCGCACATATGCGAGGCTGTCAGCATCATCAGACGCCGCGTGCCCGTCCGCCGAGAATTTCGCAAGCTGCTGACGGAGTGCGCCCAAGCTGCGACGGAGAACGGCGCCCGACCAACGGCCGCAAAGTACTACAGTGCAGCGATAGACCTGCTGCAGGTTACGCCCTGGGTCGATGGCGCCGAGGACGTGACGTACGAAGAAACGATGCAGCTTCACCTTCGGTCGGCGGAATGCTACTTGTTTATGGGCCAGCTCCCGGCTGCCAACGATCTCTTGTCCATCATCTTCGCCAACGCGAGGACCCCGATTGACAAGGCGCCGGCGTACGTGCTGCAGTCGCGGATATTCGCACAGAATGGCAATGCCTTGGCCGCCTTCATCTCTCTCAAGGAGTGTCTGGCTGCTCTTGGCGTTTCCCTAGGTGACGAGCCAACGTATGAGAAGTGCGACGAGTGGTTTGAGAGACTCACGACGCAAATCCGGCAAATGGATCGTTCGGCGCTCTCAAAGCCCACCAAGTCGAGCGAAGCCATCATCGCGTCCATCGGTGCCGTGTTATCGGAGACGGCAAGCGCCGCGTGGTGGAGCGACTGCCTGCACTTTTACCACCTGACGCTGGTGATGCTCGAAGTGCACCTTAGCCGGGGCGCGTTTCCGCAGTCTGGCATGGCCTTTTTGAACCTGGGCGTCGTCGCCTTGTCTAGGTTCAACATGACTCAGTTCGCCGTGGAGCTGGGGTCCATTTGCCAAGACATGCTCTACCAGCCTGGAGACGCCTTCACAATCGCGCGGGGTCAGATGATGCACGCCTGCTGCATCGGCCACGTCCAATACTCCGTGGCCCTAACCGTAACCCAGTTGGAAGACGTCATTGAGATGGCGTCGGTAGGCGGAGACCGCATGTCAACCATACTGAGTTACGGGCTCTGCGCACAGGCGAAGTTTTTCGCGAGCGAGAACTGTGCGGACCTCGAAGGCTTCTGCCATTACGGCTGCGAAGACATTCCCAACTGGTCCTTTGACACTCGAGGCGGCGCCCTCCTTGTCGCAATCAGGCAGACGTGTCGAGCGCTACAAGGCAAGACACAGGTCCACGATGCCGTTGGCGTGCTGAGCGATGAGCAGCACGACGGGCTTGCGTACAAGAGCTGGCTCACGAGCCAGACCCAGGAGAGCAACCGGTCATCGCTCTTTTACGAGGGCATGGAGCTCGTTGCCTTGTTCTTGTTTGGTCATTACGAGCGCGCTGTCGAGATTGGAAGGAAATGCTGCGAGCTGCTTTCCATGCTCTGGTCGGCGCGGAACAGCAGACTCATACTGCTGTTTCATGGCTTGGCTCGGACCGGCCAGCTGTTGAGGCGAATGCAGGACCCCCGCTATCAGTCAGAAGATTTCTCTGCCCAGACAGACGAGATGGTGGCAGAGTTGCACCGCTTTGTCAAGATGATGGTGGACTGGTCAGCCGTTTCCGACGTCAATTACCGCTCGTGGTCACGGCTGCTCGAGGCGCAGATAGCGGAACTGTCGGGGGAGCACGGCCAGGCCATCCAGCACTACGAGGAGGCCCTGGACCACGCAGCCGAGCAGGACTTTGTGTTCGAGGAGGCGCTTGGGAATTACCTCATGGCGGGATTCTTCATTCGGAGAAAAGCCAGGAGGTCCGCTCGCGCCGCACTGCAGGACGCTGTCGGCCTCTACCGGCAGATAGCAGCGACCGGCGTGGCCGAGGCTATTGAGAACGAACACAGCTTGCTGCTGCACGGCCCGACGCGGAACCATCGGACAGTTGAAGTCGGCATCCAGACCGACTTCGTTGGCGATGCCTCCTCTGTCCAATACCGACCCGTCAACGGAGAAGACGCCGACGAGTTGAGACAGTTTCCGACAAACGCCATGTCTGACCTGAAGGGTGATCGCATCGGGGCTTGGAGAGGCTCCATGAACATGCAGACCGAGGACGGCGCTGGGCTGCCTGCTCTCGATATGATCGATCTGCATGCCATTCTGGTGTCCTCGCAAGTCATCTCGTCAGTCTTGCAGGTGGAGGAGCTGCTCAAGACCATGTGCGATGTGATCCTGCAGACGTGCGGGGGCTCCGCGACGCGGGCTGCCATTGTCGTCCAGGAAACAGACGCGGACTCGTGGTGTGTTGCCGCGAGTGGCAACCCGGAGAGGGGGGCATCGGCGCACAAGCCGGGCCTGCCGCTCGCCGGCACGTCGTTGATTGCGGAGAACGTGGTGCTGTACTGCACGCGCTTTCTCGAATCCGTGTTCATCCCGGACCTGCTCGCCGACGAGAGGTTCGGCAACGTCAACGAGGCATGGCTGCAGAGAAACCCCGTGGGCAAGGCCATCATTGCCATCCCAATCTGTCACGGCACGAAACCGCTGCTCGGCGTCTTGTACCTCGAGGGCGAGCCGGGCTCTTTCACGGACCGCAACGTCACTGTCCTACAGCTCCTTGTGAACCAGATTGGTATCAGCTACTCCAACGCCTTGTCGATGAAAAACGTGGAGAAGATATCGGCCGAGAATCGATCCATGGTGTCGGTGCAGAAACGGGCTCTCGCCAAGGCCCTGGAAGCCGAGATGAAGGCCAAGAATGCCGAGGCCGAAGCCAAGCGAAACGTCAAGCTGGCGGAAGAGGCAGCCAAGGCCAAGTCCATCTTTCTCGCCAACGTCTCTCACGAGCTGCGGACCCCTCTCAACGGCGTCATCGGCAATTCGGAGCTGCTCCGGGACAGCAACCTCAACAAGGAGCAGCTGGAGATGGCCGACTCGATTCGTGTGTCGGCCGATTTGCTGCTGACTGTCATCAACGACATATTGGACTTTTCCAAGATGGAAGCCGACAAGATGAAGCTGTACATCATCGCGTTCAATCCGGAGGAGATGGTTCGCGAGGTCGTGCGGGCCGTTTCCTACAGCAACCGGGAGAAGACGTCGAAGAAGAACGTCAAGATTGTACAGGACATCAATCTGCCCCCCATGCTCATCTTCGGGGATCCCATTCGCCTCCATCAAGTGCTGGGCAACCTCATAGGCAACAGCCTCAAGTTCACCGAGGATGGATCCATCACGATCGGCGCTCGGCTTGACTCGGAGACGAGTGAGAAGGCTACACTGACGTTTTGGGTGCGGGACACGGGCATCGGCATCCCGCCACAGCAGCTGGCGAAGCTCTTCCAGCCATTCAGTCAGGCGGACGCTAGCACGGCGAGGAAGTACGGGGGAAGCGGCCTTGGACTGAGCATTTGCAAGTCACTCATTGAGATCATGATGAAGGGAAAGATCCAGCTGGAGAGCGAGGAGACGGTGGGGACAACGGCCTGGTTCACTGTTGCGTTTGACAAGGCCAAGCCCGACGTCTCGGCGGGCGATGCACAGTCAAAGTCGTCGCCACCCATCGATCGATACTCGGCGACGACCTCGGCCTCGGAGCGGGCCGCGTCGCCGAACCCGTTCCTCGACCTAACGCGGATGTGCAAGGAGGACGTCCGCATCTGCGTCGCCGAAGACAATCCGATCAACCAAAAGATTGCCATACAGTATGTCCAGCGGCTGGGCTACACATCCGTCAGCGCATACGAGAACGGGATAAAGGCGGTCGAGGGGCTGCGACAGAAGGCCAAGGAGGGCAAACCCTACCACATCGTCCTCATGGACGTTCAGATGCCCGTGCTGGACGGGTACGAGGCCACCAAGCTGCTCCGGAAGGACTCGATCGAGGCGGTTCGCAAGGTGCTGGTGATTGCAATGACGGCCTCGGCCATTCAGGGTGACAGGGAGAAGTGCTTGGCGGCCGGCATGAACGACTATCTTGCCAAACCCGTGCGCTCCGAGGTGCTCAAGCGGAAGCTAGATGCATACGTCAACAACGCGGTATGGTGGTTTCCCTCGACACGTGAAGAGCGCGTTGGATGCTGACTACACGTAGAGGCCCAGCTTGCCTGAGGTGGCTCGAGAGCCCCCGAGCCCCTTGACTATACCCGGGCCAGTCACCAATGGACCCCTGATCCCGTCTCCGAAAGCATCCCCGCCGGCGAAGGTTAGCATAACAGTCTCGGACTCCATTTCGGGCGACGCCAACTACAACGTGCCCCTGGACTCGCCCCCTCTTGCCGACAATGGCCCCGCCTCCAGCGCGCAGCAGTCGGCGCCAATGGCGATGCCCATTCGTGGAGAATTGGCTCACGACGGCAGGTTGTCGTGCACGAACCAGGCACCCAACGGGAGCCACGCCATGGCGAAGCCTCAGAAGAGGCAGGCCTTCAAAGGGAGCAAGGGTCGGGGCAACAGCGAGACGACGACTGAGAAGCCTCCCGTCGATGACGGATCCCCGGGCATGCTGACCAAGAAGGTGCCTCAGCAAGCTCCGCAAACTCCAAGCAAAACAAAGCCGGGGCAACGTCAAGACGCCGTGACGGCCACGCAGAAATCGCCGACCCGGTGATGAGAGCACACCGCAGGGCGGCCTGGCGAGGGTTGCTCTGAGCTCCTACGACTTGATGAAAGCAAGCATGGCAGTTGTTTTTCCACTTCTTCCCACCTCACTTTCTCGGGAGACTAGACCTCCTGGCCACGGCCTTGTACGACTCGCACACCGTACCCGGTAACTAGACATTTGATGATATACGACCAACAAGCAGGGAGCGCACAAGGCTGGGAAAAGTTGCGTTTTCAGCTCACCCCTTTTCCTCCCCACTTGTTGCCCTTGACTGTGCTCCGATTTGCGTCTTTACTGTATATTTATCTATTTATCCAAGCGTCATGATAGAGGGGTAGAAGTTATTATCCAGGGAGAGTTGCATCATTTCACCCTCTTCCCCACATGTTCACGCATTACTTTTACTGGCTCCACGGGGACGTCTCCTTTTTTTCCAGTTAGGAGCGGCTTACGACCAGAGCCTTTGGTTGGCCCCCAATCAACAGATCTTGGCTGGTGTCGTACGAATCGAACCCGCCCTCGCGTCCCTTTTGTAAGGGCCGTGGCACCTTGCGGTCCTCGGGCAGTTTGGTCGCCGAGTAGTGAGATGCGTGTCCATGGGGCACGATGGAGACTGAGGACACTTCGGGTAGGCCGTGGAATACCCCCTCTTCGTTGCCGCTTTGGCCTGGCGGGCGGACGGGCGTGGTTATAAGTCCGGTAGATAGATGGGGACCCGTCAATAGTGACGCATGATTGGACGGCTTTTCTTGTCGACTTGGCTTGGTACTGTCCGCTGCTTCCGGCAGTCTGTATAGGAGATGCATCGGCAGCGCGTGTGCATTCTTTCAGCATGAGGGGGGTGCCGACCGGGCATGTGAAAGCGTCCTCTGTGTGGTTGCAACCAGAGTTGTGCCGTGTTTACTCGGCAGATGGAGACGATGCGGAACGGGGCTGCGCCTCTGCTTTCTTTTCTCTTTTCTCTCCTCTTCCTCCTTCGTTGGTCTGTTTCGCTTCGTCTCCCTTTTTCCAAGTGGAAGAAGGAAGGGTCCTGTCTTGACCGGTCCCCCTGAGCTTGGCACCAGGGAGGGGGATGCGGAAACGACCCGTATATGAGGGGGATGAATCGATGCCTCCATTTTCCTGTATGTTTTATGTATATGACCAAGCGTAGACTCGGTTATATGCATGCCTGTGAGCGTGAGTGTGTCCACGAGACATGAACCTTCGTGTGGTGGTGGTGTCTGGTATGGTTTGGAGTGAGGGGATATGCATCTCACGATTACGCACGGGAAGGATGGGGCATGATATAGGCAGGGAGGGGCATTATAGAGCTGCCGCACGGATTACGCAACAATGCCGTCCTTTGAATCTGCCCCTCTCTCTTCTCTTGCTCTCGTGGTCCTGGAGATAAGAGCTGTCATGGTGGTGGTATGAAATGGACCGGGACGTGGCATCTTCAGAATCGGGAGAGAGGAGGGGAAGGAGGGGAAGAATGAGATGGAGAGGTTTGAAGAGCCGAATACATACGGCAGACAAAGGGAAGGCTTTGGCTGCTTCCCGAAACCGATGCGGGACGTGGAGGAGGGACGTGGAGGAGGGACGTGGTGGTGGATCTCGGTGTCGAGCAGAGACGGGAAGCGGATGGCACCCTGCGAGGACCGCCTGATCCATCAAGCCATCTGTGTTTGTGTGAGTGTGAGTGTAATGGAGTGATGAGGGTGTCAGCTGGATTTATACATATATGCTCTCCATCTGCATACAGAAGCTTGTCTGCCTGTGTGGCATATATATGTGTGTGTAGATATATATATATATATCTCACACACACATATAGAATAGAACTATTTACTATCCAATACGTCACAGGCCCAAGGACGGCACGTCGCCATGACACTTCGATGGCCGAGCCTCGTGCTCATCTGAAAGGGAGCACAATGGCCGCGCGTGAGACGACGTGGGCGTCAACAGGTCCGGACGCTTTGGCTACGGGGAGCAAGCCGGCAATGACGGGGGAAGGACCAAAGTGAGGTGGAACAGACGAGGCCTCGTGACCGCTCATACGCCCCGACTCCCTTGGTCTAGCCGTTGTGCGTTCTCGGGCTTCTCTTTTGGCGATGGCAAGATAGATGAACAAGGGGAGGAGGGAGGCTATAAGTAGCAGCCATCGGAGGAGTCCAGCGCATGCGCACAGGGGTATGCATGTCACCTCTTGGGATGCGCATCATCCGCTCTCGGGGCATCATGCCCAGACGGACCATTCTTTTCAGGACCTGGAGGGGGGGAGGGGGATAGGGTTGCAAGCGTTGAAGGGATTGCCCGCTACTGTATGTGGATGCAGGCCTCGATGCAGGCCGTTGTAAGCAGGTGTGTGGGAGTGGCATATTCAAGGGATGTGTGGGAGCCATATAACTGCCTGATACTTGGCACCGTTAGGCAGAATCTAGAGACGCGCATGTATACCGCTATTATGCTGCATCTAGGTATATATATGTGTGTGAGAGAGAGTGGGTGTACGATGGTATGGTGTGTGTGTGTCCATGCAGACAGTTGAGGATGCTGCACCGACTCGGAGCCAAGCTGAAAGACGGTAGACGAGCGGCCGAGTATTCGTAGCCTGTAGGAAGCGTCAGAAGACGAAGATCGAGACTGGAGGCTTGTAAAAGCCGCGATCCTAACAACATCCCAAGCCTGAACTGGAATCCTAGAGGCTGCTGCAAGACCAACGACACATGTAGGCCACCCTCCCCTACCAAGGAACCCAAAGCCCTCACCCTCCATCTTGCAAGCTCCGCCAGCCATTCATTCGTGTTTCTTTGCCATTGCCGTTCCCGCCTGCAGCCAGCCTCCAATGCTTCCCTCCGCTTCGCGCTCGGGGGGCCAGTCCGGCCGCCCGTCCGCCTCTCCCCACCCCCCTTGCCTTGCCAGGACCATGGGAGAGACAGGAAAGGAGGGAAAATTACCCGATGCCCATGCTCTATGCATCCGACACGACGCACACAAGCTTTCGGGGCGCGGCAGGGAAGGCTTGGCAGAAGGGCTTGCTTGCATGTTTGGGGCAGGGGCGGGATGCCAGAAAGGGGGGAGTGCTCTAAAGAGAGGGAGAAGGAGGAAGAGAGAGAGTTACAAAGAAGGGGGCCAGGTGGCGGGAAAGGTGGACCAAGAAGAGGAAGAGACGACAGAGTGGAAACCGGCATGCAAAAGTCCCGGCTCGACTCATCGTTCCCATCGGCAAGCCCCTTGGCCGTCCTGCTTAGCCCCAACCAAGAATGGACTCTCAGCCTTTTTACTCTGCCCTGCCCTCCACGTACCAACACATGTAAGCAACGACGCGTATGGACATGGGCACCTATATAGGCGAAAAGCTCAGCCGTGCCACAGCATTGGTCCGTGGACACACGGCAGATGGAGGATGCGACGGAAACTTGGCAAAGGGACGACACGACAGGGCGAGGGGGAGACGACCGCCCGCGTGGCCGGAGGCTCCGAGCCCGGACCGGTCCAGACCCTCCGGACGCTTCGGGAGGCCAAGCACACGTCCGACGGCTCTCTCTCCATGGTAGTTGGCGTTGGAGGTTGCCCAGGAAGCCCTGACGCGGAGAGCATGTCCCGGAGCTTGTTTCCAGTGACGCAAGGGGGGGAGGGCGGGGGGAGTGCTGTCCCTTGTTGGTATACAAAGAGTCACGAGAGAGAGAATTGTGCTAGAGTGAGCAAGAAAGCCATGTGGGCACGACAGCGTCTGCCCGACGGATGCCTGCCTGTACGCACTGCCGTGTCCGCGCGGGTGCTGGCGATGGGACGAGGCGTCTCGGGAAGGAAGCGTTGGCAACGAATCAAACGGCAAGGTTCAAGGGGGCGATGCGAGGTGAGAGCAAGATAGGAACAGGCTAGCAGAGCGAGAGGGCGAGACGGAGAGAGAGATGTGAGGTGGGTTGACCGAGGGTCCGAATCCCCGGCCCCGGGGCCTTTGGGCACGGGCCGATGGGTCGGAGGGAACGATGGATACACGCACGCCTATAGACCAGACCGGAGAAAAAAGAAGGATAGGAAGAGATGGAAGGTGAGGGGCGTGGATCGGGAAGAGGACTGACGGGACGTGGATCCTCCCCGGCTTCTGCCTCCTGTCCTTCGGCCTCGACCTTGCTGTCCTCTCGACGCCTTCTGGTCGGGGGTTGGCACAGCCCTCGCACGGCATGAACAAGACGCAACCCGCAAAACACACGATACGAGCAACTCACGTGGTGTATCCCTCGTGACAAGCAAAAGGGGGATCCTCTTCCTCCTCTCCCGCCCCGTCTCCGGCCTCGCCAGCGAGTCGATGGGAAAACAGGCGAAAAGCTGCCAAGTTGCAAGCCGAGGCCTCTGCACATTGGACGTATATACGTATATATATATCAACGTTTATGTCTACCTACTTTCGACATCATGGTTTGGGTTTCAGCATAGTTTTGCTCCTCTCCCTTTTGAGCCCTCTTTTCCCGGTTTGGCTCGGAAATTTCCCGTGGGGGTTTTTCTGCACGTGTGTGCGCGCGTTGCATGACGGGTGGTGAGTGGTGCACGCGTGCCAAAAGCGGGAAATGCATGGGGGCGAGGGATTACCCGCTCGGGCAACTCGGCAGAATCGTGCCCGAGGCCGCGGCGGAGGAAGGGAAATGGGCGTTGCAAAGAGGCAGTTTTCAAGTTTTCGACGCCATGAAGGGGGGGGGGGATGTCGAGGAGGGAAAGGAGGTGTTTTGCTGCTGCTGCTGCTGCTGCTGCTGCTTGGTGTTGAGCTCGAATTTGCGGGTTGGGAGAGACTTGGTTGTGAGGGTGAAGAGAAGAGGCCTCGGAGAGGGATAGAGGGCGGAGAGAGGAACCAGAGAGGTTAGGGTGTTGTACGCATACTCACATGCAGATGTGCGCACATGTCAGACGGACACGTCAAAGCTGTGTTATCAATCTGCCGACTAGCTTTTCCGGGCTGATTATCGAGAGGCAGAGGCAGAGTGGGATGGAGATGGCGAAGCCGCAAGGGGGGACTGGAGTGACCAAGTTGGACTATATCTGTACATACCTAACATGTACACGCTGTAACTTGACGTACAAGTGTAAACGGCTGCTTCATTAGACAAACTGCAATATTCAACGGACAGACCAGCTCCGTCTCCGTCTCTCTACCCTCCTGACCGGCTCTCCTCCTGTTGCTAGGAATCCTTCCCTTGTATCCGTACGCTTATAGGCTGGCCCCGTGTGGGACAAGTACATGTCGGTAGCACGCTGGTGTCGCCGTTGATTCTTGGCTGCCCTCGTTTCGGATAATAAGCCACGGTTCCACCGTCCCGCCGTTGGACACATGGGTCTCTCTTGGCTCGGTGCCAGGCCAGGTCTGGGCCTAGCGTGGGGGTACCCTGTCTGTATACAAGCAAGGTAGAGATGCCGAGCCCCAGCATAGCCGTCCTCGGTGTTGGTATATTTTGGAGGGTACTATGCATACTGGCAGGCACAGCACACCGCAGAGGAAGAAGGAGAAGAAGAAGAAGAAGAAGAAGATGATGATGATGAAACAGATGAGATGAGGGTCAGAGCGAGAAAATGAAGTGCTTTGCAGAAGCTCGACCTTGGTTGTGGCGGCTCTGCAGCCTCCATCTGGGTAGCAGCCAAGTGGCCAAACAACAAGGAAACAACAAGACCTCTCCGTCTGTATGAAGCATGCATGTGCATGTATAGGTAAAAGTACACGCGCACACACACACACACGCCACAGCAGCAGGTGGGCGAGCTCAAGCTTTCCCAGCCCTCCCTCCCCCTTCAGCCCACGTGCTGCCCATTCCTCGCAATGCGGAGCAAATAGACGGTTGCATGTACATCGACGAGGTTTTACTTTGCCCTTGGCACAGTCCTGCGCGCTGATCCAAGAGAGACTGGCGCCAGCGTAGCTCGCAGCGTCGAAAGCGCAATATTTCCGTCACCGCCTCAGGCTAGATGTGCATGCACTTGCATACATGGCCAGGCATCTTCTTCTCGAAGCAGACAAGGTACCTCGCTGGCCAACGCCTCGATACATAAAAACTCCGTAGTCTTTGCCCCTTTGAGCCAAAGGTGCCGCCTCGTCCATTCGACTGGCACCCCCCTTGCTCACCGAGCCGCCACAGTGGACGAGAACCTGACTAAGAGATAAAGGAGGCCTCTTTAGTGCAGCGCTAGCCCACTCTCGCCTTCAGCTTCAGCTTCCTTGATGGCATGCACCAGCCCAAGATTGGATGCCGCCCGCCCTATCCCGCCTGTGCCGAGCCCTCCTTGTCGCTCGACACTATGCCATTGCATTCGTAAACGGCCACTCTTGTCCTCCCTCGTCATGGCACAAGGGTCCGGGAAAGAGGGCGGGGCCAAAGGAAATTCAAAAAAAGGAACCGCCATGGACCGACCGTGGGCGGCGTGTTTCAGATGGAGCCCGCCGCCGCCGATGCCGTTAGTTGAGCCGGCGCCGGCCCCGTCTAGACCACCCCAGCTCGGCACAAGCAAGCTACTGCGCCGGTGGCGGGTCCGGCGGCAAACCCCTCCCCATGATTCCCAGCAAGCCGGGTTGGCTGTCCGCGCCACGGCCCTGCCGCTCGTTTTGTTTCCCATGTCATCCAGCATGCTTCTGGGCACTGTGTACTGACCATGCTCTTGGGGGCCCATCCGTGATATCGAGCACCGACAATGCGCTGTCTGCATGGCCCGGACATTCCGCGTGCAACTCCCAAAATGGGAGCAAAGGGAAGGGAAAAAAGAAAGGGCACGGCAAAGGGCACGTACAGACAGACTGCATGCGTCGTGGGCGTCTGCACGTAATAAAGGCGCCGAGGGCAAGGGGGAGAGTCAGACCGGAGCACAAGATTTGGTTAATGTCGTGTAACCAGATAATGGTGAGGATAAGCGTCGGCCTAGCATGGATGGCCATATGCCAATTTGGGCAAGTAATTAAGCTTGCCGGGCCGCTTCTTCACCGCGTGTTTCGGCTAGTCGTAGATCAGCCGTTTGGTCACCAGAGTCAAAAACGTGCGCCCGTCTCAGATGGGCTGTCTTGGCCACGCGACGCTGCTGATGCAAACGCCGTCCAAGGGCCTCGCAAGTGCCGCCGCTCCCCCGACGTGGAAAAAGCGGTGGCCACGGGAGGGCTCTCTGGATGCAACGGTGGATGGGTCGGTTGGTCCGCCACAGCCGACGCTGTTGATACAGAGCAGTCGACTCCGTATGCAGTAAGCCGCCCCGGTGGCAAGACGGCCCACGGGGGCTGATTCATCATCAAACCTGTCTCTGCCCCTTTTCCCCCATGTCGTCGGCCAGGTGAGGCCCTCGCCGCGGCCTCAGCGCCTGGGGGCGACGGTTGATTGAGGCAGGGTTGGCGGCCAGGACGAACCGGTCGGTCAGGCCTGTAGCTGGGGTTAATGAATGGATGGCCAAGCCACGGTGCAACGGTGCACTCCCACCTCGCCTGGCCTGGCTGCTGGTCAAGAGCTCTCGCGTGGCCTGTGCAGCCGGGCGCGATGGCTGCAAATTGCTTGGTTCTGGTGGCGAGTCACGATGGAGTGGTGAAGACGAGAAAACTTGGCCAAGCCGGTCGAGGTTGTCGGCCAGTACCTGGTACGCGGTGGAGCCGTTGTGCGCTGGGAGCTTCGCACCCGCTCTAGACTTGCAGGCATGTATTCACTACCCGGGCATACGGTACCTAGTAAGGTAGGTAGGGCACACGATGTTGAGCGAGCGTCCACTCACCGTGCAGCTAAATGCTTTGTACTTTACCGGGTACTGGATACCCACACACACCAATCCTTCCTTCCCTGGCTCAGATCCCCAGGTATGTACCTGCTGATTTAGACTCAGCAACCAGGCAGGCTCCATGGAAGAAACAGGGCAAGCCTTGCCGGGGGGTTGCTCTTGACTCTTTCTTTTGTCCTTGTCCCTTGTCCACGTCAGTCATCAGCAGCCAGCCTCTGCCTCTCTCTCTCTCTCTCTCTCTCCTCTCCCGTCGTCTCTCCGTCGACTCTCCCCTCTCCGTCGCCTCTCTCTCCTCCCCTCGCGTCTCGTCCCGTTTCCCTCGGCCCGTTGGCCGCCGCCGCCGCCGCCCAACTACCTAACGTCGAGTTTGCTCGTCTCGTTCCTCCGCGCCCGACGTACTCCGTACACCCATGGCCTACTAGGTATTCATGCCCAGGGAGGGGGCCGTGGTTGGCTCAACCTGGTCTGCGGGTCCCTCGCTAGCAAGGGAATGAATGCCCTTCGAGACGCTTCTCTAGCCGCGCTTTTCTCTCTCATTAGGCGCGCGCGCTTCGTCGTCGCTCTCTTGCTTTTCAACAGCCACCTGCCGCCGCCCCTCCTACTTATACATGCGCCATCCCCTCCCCTCACGCGTCGTCCTGCTTCGTATTCGTTCGTACGCACATAGCGTACAGTACACGCCTTTGCCCATCCGCATCTCGTACCTGGATCTTCCCCTCCCAGGCCAGCTGCCGCCGCGCCTCTGCCGCCTCACCTCTGGTCCCGTCCATGCCCAGATGCAACACACCCACCCCCCTTCCCTCGACTCCCTAATCAGGCCATTCCTTCTGATACACCCCCGGGGCAACTAGTCAATTCAGCCGGGCTCGGCCGCTGCTCCACCGTGTCCCGCTCCGGCTGCCGGCCATTGTTGCGACGCACCCCCCCCTCGTCTCCTCACCCCCCGTCCTCCGCCTCGCTTCGTCCTTCGCCCTTCAGCCTGATCGAGCCAGCGCCCGAGTAGACAGACGGCACCTGATACCGAATCTGGCTACCTCGATGCCAACCTTCTCTGCCTTTGTCGTGTCCCAATGAGGGCTGGCCCGGCCCTGCCCCCAGCTCCCCTTTGCCCGCTCTCCTCAAGCTGGCCGTCACCTCCAGCTTATTATTAGCTCTCTCGTTTCGTCCCATGACACGCCCGCCACTGTCACTATATATCCACTCTGTATGCCTCCGTCCCCCGTTTCCACTTTTCTCCGTCGCCTTGTTCTCATCGACCCTCGCCAACCACAGACCCCAACCACATGTGCTCACGATAGCAGTATAAGCGATGATGCTTACCCTGACGCAGCCGCCAGCACCCTACGGCTACAAGTCCGTTCATGATTTGCCAACGCCGCCCTCCTCCTTCCGCCCTTCTCCTCCCCCGACTCACCCAGAGGCCTCGCACAAGCCGTCGCCGTCCCTCTCCCGCGGCCAGAGCCCCGCGAGCCTGCTCATGTCGACTCCTCACCGAGGGCTGCCTCCGCCGGCGGCCATGGCCCTGCCTCCCCAGCCGCCGCCGCCCTCGGCCGTCGCCCCGGCCTCGCACCACCCCCAGCCGTGGGCTAGCCTGCCGCCGCCGCCGCAGCAATGGCAGGGCGCCGAGGAGTCGATGAGAAACTGGCTCGTGGCCAAGGCCGAGGAGGAGAAGACGAGGCAAGAGAGCCTCCGCCTGGAGCAGCGACGAGTCGAAATGGACATACTGCGAGCCTCGCTCACCGGCGGCATCCCTCCCCCCATGATACCGCTCGTCTTCGCCGGCATGGGCGCCGGCGGCACCCTCCCCCAGGCCGCCCTGGACTGGGCCCAGCACTTTATGCAGTCTGCGCAGGGCCAGCACGCCCACCTGCCTCCCCCGCAAAGGCCGCACTCACCCGAACTCCACCATCGGAGGGGGCCGTCCCCGGCCCAGGGTCACTTTCCCGGTCCCCCCGCGAACCCGGCGCCGACCCAGGGGCCCGCCGCATACAGCCAGTACCCGGCCTCCCCGACCAGACCCCGCGGCCAGACGGTGACGGGCGCGCTGGGGAGACACGCGCCGAGCGTGCCCAGCCTCGGCCCGAATCCCGCGCAGCCGGCGCCGGCAGGGGGCGGAGCCCCGATGGCGCCGTACCAGCAGCAGCCTCACGTCCAGGCGCCTTCGGTCCAGCAGGACGCAAGCCCCTCCATTTACTTTCATCATTGGCAGCCACCAGCGTCACAGGCAGGAAGCGGCGGCCCGAACAGACCAGGAACCCCGTCTGGTTCGTCCAAGACCAAGAGAAAGCGGGATTCGCTCTAGGCTGACTTGGGCTACGGGGGTTAACAGGGGAAACGCATAGGAAGCGCAAGACGACGGCGTCACAGCAACATCACCAACAGCAACAGCAACAGCAGCCCATGCAAGCAGCCGGCGAACAGCGGCTTCGTTCCCCGCCGTCCTTTGTCCCGAGCAGTCAGTCAAACCCACCCACTGGCAGGAGAACACACAAGCGCCAAAGAAGCGACGTTGCGTGGTACCGGCCGCCCGGTCAGGGGCAGGCCGAAGAGCCGGAACGCGCGGGGCGAACGAGGACGCCTAGCCGCGAGGCCGACACGGGCTCGCCGCGAGAGGCGTACGGCGCCGAGGGCAAGATGCACCCCGTGTCGGCGTTACTGTCGCGGGAGCCGGCCGAGGGCCCACGGTCACACTTTTACCTGGGGTACGGCCCTCAAGCGCCGGTCGCGGAGCGACGCGACGAAGAGGGGGCGGCGCGAGATAGAGGCCGTTCTCCAGGCAGGGGAGAGGCCAAGCCGGGCGGAGGCGCTGCAGGCTCAGCTGAACCATTCCGATGATTGAGACAAGGCGGCATCCTGGAAATCGAGCTACGAGCCCCACGAACGAAACAAAGATGCCTTAGACCTCTTTTTGCTTTCTTTTTCCCTTTGTCCTTGACCTTTACGACGGGCCAGGCCCGTCTGCTCATGTCTGACGAGATACAATGTAACTTTTTTTCCCTTTCTTTTGCTTGTTTGGTCCACGTCGCCGTCTTGCCCCTGGGCGCTTTTTTCCTTCTTCTTGGTCGGACATGTTGGTGGGCACGACTGGAGTTGAACAGAGATTGGGCGACGCGTCGGTCCGGGCCCGAGGCTCACACCCTCCGCGCAACTGGTGGGGTTTTCTTTTTGCTCTTTTCTCTTTCCATTTCGGGCTGCCCTGTCGAAAAGAAAGGCTGTGCCTGGGATCAACAGGACCAGGCGTCGAGCGCACACTATCCCGGGGCGGGTTAGGGAGCAAGGGGCATAGCGGGCGGGCGGGAGCAGAGTGGTTGGTTGTCGGATGAACAGGATAGACATTTCCAGCGTCGACGTGAGCAAGGGTGTCATTTTGCAGGCGTGGAGAGCGAAGGGGGAAATTCAAGGAGTCGCGACGGGACGAAAGGTGAGGCTGGCATGGAGCTGAGGAGTCAGGAGGCGCCGAGACGGACGGGGGAGTCGGTGCGGCGCGAGCGCGAGGGTGCTTGTGGGAGGGCAGGGATGAGGAGGGACGAGGAGGGATGAGGAGGGATGAAACGAAATGGCTTGTGGGGGAGCAGGGAAGGCGGCAGCTGGGCGGCCGAAGGTGCATACTGTACCTAGATGCGGGAGGGGAGCAGAGCAAACAAGGCGTTGGGCGCACGACGTTGTTGATGTCGACATGGCCCAGCACGTGGCACGTTGGGTCGGTGAAGAGAGCGAGCGCCAGTCTGAGCTGAGAGGGGCGTGATGTGCTTGCTGGCACGACTTGGATCCAGCTGCTCTGGTGTCAATGTTCCTTTTGCATGTGCTTGAGAGGACATGCGAGGCCCCGGGATGTCGTCGGGCGGTGGCGGTGCGTGGCCGCTTTGGTCGAGGGAAGAGGCTGACGGGGCGAGGTCCTGCAATATCGAGGTGCATCGACAGCGGCCCCCCTTGTCGTGTCTTTGATCTGTGATTGTGCTTTCTTTTTGGTTTCACCCGACTGTCTCTGCTGGGGGACGAGCAGATTGATGGACTTGTGGCGCCAACCGGGGTATCCGAGACTCGACGACGACGACGCTTGTCCAGCACTAATAGCACTAATTAACCCTGATGCCTGAATGCCCGAGTCCAGAACAGCCGTCTCGAGGCTCGAGGCACCGAGGGCGGGCTGTTCCCGCTCCCGGCCGGCCTGTGTGTGCCTGCTCGACTCTTCCTCCTGGTCTTCATTCCGGGGGGGGAGGCGTCTCGTTTGGGCTTTGCTTTGCTTGTCTCCCCCCTCCCCCCTCCCTTCCCCTCCTCGATTGGCGCGGGGCCGTCCGAGATGATGCGGCGCAGATGGGCCTGGGATTTCCGCATGCGACGACGACCGGTGAGCCGGGGGCGGGGGTGGCGCGGTTGGGAAGGCCTGGCAGTTTGGTGTTCGGAGGGAAACCCCCCCCCAACCCCCCCGGAGCTGGAGGCTTTGTTTTTCGGTTCTCAATAAAAGACGGGGGGGGCGTTGGAGCTGTTATCCCAGTCGGTGGGGCCTGGTGGCGGTGCCTGTGTTAGTGTGCCTAAACCTCCCACGAGCACAGGCCGAGGGAGAGACGATGTCCCTACCCGCTGCCCTACGCCCCTCGGTCGAAACACATCTCTCCTCCCCGACCCTGCCCCTCCGCGGTGACTTCCTTTCCCCCGACTCTTCCCCCCCCCCCGACCAAGCCAGAGGCCGCATTGGCTCGTCGGACAAACAGGCCGCGACGGCACGGATGCTGCTTCGGGCAAAAGCCCAGCGCGGTACGTCCCCCGCCGTGTGGGGAAAGAGCGAGGCCCCCCACGTGGTTCAAGGACCCTGGCCTGGCCCTGATAATACGGAGGTAAAAAAAAAAAGAAGACAGCGTCAGACATGCGCGGCCCCGGCACGCAAACACCACATGACATGCCCGGCACTCGCCCGTCGCGCGACTCGCCCCCTCCAAGCCGCCCAACCGTCCGCACCGAGCAAGGAAGTAATATCTGGATTTATGCCCGTCCCAGGAGCAACGCCCCGTGTACGGATAGCTTTGCGCATTGTTGGTTCGTGCATCGACGAGACAATGACATCATCCACTGAGAGCTCGCCGCCAGCAGAGGCAGAGCATTGCACGGTCGGCTTGTAGAGAGCGTGCTTCGTATACTTGACTTCGACAGGGACAGCAGAAACCGTAACTCGGGCTGCCTCACTCCCTCCGTGCCCTTTGTTGCGCTGGCCCTGCTCTGCCCTCCTGCTTGCCTCCACGCCGTCAAACTCCTCGGCCCGCCGCTTCCACGCCCGCCGCCTCGTCCAAACCCTCGACTAGCCACGGCCGGCAAGCCCGCGTCGGACCCTCTCCAGCCCCTCACCCTCGCGCCCCTTCACTTGACTTCCACGACTCGGCTTGACAACATATTACTGCTCCTGTATTACTCTACTTGCCCGTGCCTCTCTCCGCCCTCGCACACTCGCCGCCCGCAGCCGTCCCAGCCGCACACCACCCCAACACAGAAAAGGGGGGGAAACAGGAAAACAAACAACAGGGATTACCGTGCGTCAACCAGAAACAAAGGGGGGCAAAGAAGAAAAAGGTCGCCCAACAACTACGCTGTGTCATGCCGACGAGCTCCGTCAGAGAGACAAATGAAAAACCGGAAAAGGCCCTGGTCGTGTCCCCCCGCCTCCTGTCGTCGCCTTTGCCCACAAACACTTGCTCGACAAAGGAAAAGCAGCGAGCCCTGCTCCGGGGCACAGACGCCAGGAACCGGGTCCAACGTCGAAAAGGGGAAATGGGTATCAATGTGTTCGTGCCGCTCCGTACAGAGGCCAGCAAACAGCGGGGCCAAGGAAAAGGGTCAAGACGAGAAAACCAATCAGGGCGGAAAAGGTCGCCCGCGTGCCGTGCTGGGACGCCGCCCCCCCTCCGCACATACAACGTGCAAGCGAGAATCCAGACGGGCACGGGCAAGAGGGCCGAGGCATCCTCAGCCGGGCCAGAGCGGCGAGCAAGCCTGCTAGGGCTTCTTCTTGCCCTGGCGCGTCTTCCACTCGGCCTTCATCACCTTCATCAGCAGGTCCTCGTCCTTGATGGGTATCCACGACGTCAGCGCCTTCATGGCGTTTTCGAAATCAGAGTCCAGCAGCACCTCCCGCAGCGCCTGGATGAGCGCCGCCCCCGTCGCGTGCAGCACCTCGAGCCCGCTCACCAGGCCCGGCCCCGCGCCCTCTGCGCTTGGCCCCGCGCCCTCGCTGCCGCCCGCGCCGAGCAGCAGAAACACGTCCCAGACCCGGAGCTGGGCGGGAAAGGGGATCGACAGGTTGAACAGCGTCAGGTACCACCGTGTGCCGTACGCCGTCGCGTCGATGCAGAGCTCCGACTGCTTTCCTCGTTAGTCTCGTCGACGGGCCACTCGGTCAAGGCACTCTTGCTCACCAGCTTGTCCGACACGTCCTTGTTGAGCCAACCCGTCTCGAACTCGCGCAGCGCCGCCATGAGCCCGTCAAAGCCCGGGCGGTAGAGCCGGCTGAGCCCGCGCAGCTGCCACATGCGCACCAGCATGACGAAGCACTTCTCCTCGTCAAAGTAGCACAGCAGCGTGGCCGCGAGCGACGCCATGCCCTGCACGTATCCCACGTCGGGGAAGTAGATGGACAGCGCGTGGAGCACGCGGAACAGCAGTCGCTGGCCGCCGCGATATCTCCGCCGGAACATGATGTGGCGGCTGATGGTCCGGGGCACGTCCAGGTCGATCTGCACGTCGTCGGGCGAGCTCTTTTCCTGCAGGGCGTGGAAGGCCGCCGCCACGTCGTCAGCGGCGGCCGAGCCGTCGTGCTCCTCGGCGGCCGAGGCCATAAAGGACCACCAGGCGGCCGCGCGCCACCGGTCGGGGATGCCCTTCCAGGTCCGCTCAATCAGCTTGGGGTTACACGCGTCAAACTCAAACTCCATGCCCTGGCCCTGGTCGGCGCCCTTGAGGAGCTTGGCCATCCTACGCCACTTCTCGGAGCGCTCCCACTCCTTGCGCTTGAGGGCCTCGGAAATCTTGTCCACCTGGGCGCCCTCGGCCGAGTCCTGCAGGCTCGGGGGCACCGTCAGCATGTCGCCGGCCTCGTCCATCCAGCGCCGGTTGCGGTTGTGGGGCAGCAGGTTGCCGGCCTGGCGGAGGAGGGAGCGCGACGACCGCACCGAGACGAGCGACAGCTCCGAGTTGAGCGTGTTGAGCGAGCGGGCCGACACCTTCCTGCTGGGCACGCGGGCGCCGCCGAGCTGCGACGAGAAGCCCATCGGGTCCCTCTTCTGCAGCACGTTCCTCCTCCTGGGAGACAACTGGGCCGACCGGAGCTCGGCGGGCGGGGTGCTGATCCTCGACGACGGGCGCGGCACGCTGATGAAGCCGTAGCGGTCGACGTCGGCGCCGTCGACGTCCTCCCAGTCCTCGAGGCCCCCGGCCAGCTCGGTTTCGCGGCGCGAGCTATCTTGATGCTGGGAGTAGAAACTTGTAGATCTTGGAGTGGCGAAATGCGAAGCGAGATGGGCGGCGGACGCGCTGCGACGAGGCGGCACACGGGTCAGCACGAATCTCGACGGGGCGCGAGGCCGACAAGTGGCCAGGAAATCCATACGGGTCATTCGCAGCCTCCTCTGCCGGGACCTCGGGGGTGGGCTCCAAGCGCTCGCAAAAGGAGTGTCTGGCGCCGTCTTCCCAATTGATGCCATCGCCAGTTTCATAGAGCGATCTCACCTTTTGAGACTCCTTCTCGACGTCGGGCGAAAGGACGCGGATGTCGGGCGTCGTCAGCAGGCTGCGCGCCACCGTCTCGGCGGTGCTGACCTCGGAGACGGGCCTCGCGACATGGGCCGGGGGCGACAGGCGCGGGGCCCACGAGTCGGGCGATTGCTGGGCGTCGTCGTCGTCGTCGAGGGCGCCGTCGAGGGCGAGGGGATCCTGGGACCCTCCAAACATGATGCTGCCGCGCTTGGAAAAGGAGAAGCCGGCCATGAAGTCATCGTCAATAAGGCTGGCGGTGGGGATGCGGACGGCCAGCGGCGAGTAGCGGCAGTCCGCTGAAGAAGGCGACGTGTCCGGGGTCGCGGGCATGGAGCGCGTTGGCCGAGGAGACTTTGTGCCCGCGTGGCTGTTGTTGTTATTGGCCGGGGCTGGGGTGGTGGCTGAGCCCCGCATCGGTGACGGCGGGTGCATCGGCGCCGCCCGTCCCGAAGAATCCTCGTCGCTCGACTTCCGCCCGTGCGACGACGAGAGCGACGACGACGAACGCCTGGACGCCAACGACCAGCGCAACGTAGACGACGGGCCGTCCAATGGCCTCGACGCGGCCGCACACGCGATGCCCAGGCCAGCGACGGCCGTCTTGTTCCTGTCGCCGAGGTCCAGTGACCTGTCCCACGATGCACGAACGGCGTTGGCCTGTCGCACGGCAGGAGACGCGGGGCCGGGGTCTGCCAGCGTCTTTAACCGGGCGCGCAGGGCCTGGTCCTCGTCGTCCTCGCACTCCTCCTCCTCCTCGTGGATCGTGGCCGACGACGTGGCCGTGGGCGCGTGCCCCGAGTCACGCTTCCAGTCGTCAAAGGCCCTCGCGGCTGCCGGTGCCGGGTCACGCAGGGCGGGATGCTGCTCCGTGGGCGGCGCAAGGCCCGGTAGGTAGCCGTGCGGCGGGGCGACGACGACGGGACTGTGCGAGGGACCGGACAAGGACGACGAGGCGCTCTGCGTCGACGCCGAGCTGCTCAACCTCGACGTGCTAGCCACGCTCGCCACGCGGAGCAGGCTGCGAGGCGGAGGCAGAGGAACGGGCGGCTCGGCGGGCTTCGTTTTCTCGTAGCGCAGGGCCACGAGAGTGGTGTCGTCGCGGAAAGGGCGACTTTTGTGACGGGAAGGCGGGGATTTCGTCGACGCCATGGTGACGGCGGAGACGGCGGATGGAGGAGAGTGTCTGCGAGTCTGCACTGATGGTGTCTTGCTGTTGTCCTGGGGTAGGCTGGTCCAGACGACTTGTTTGCTGCAAGGCAGGAGCGGATGATGTTTCGGCTGGTCGCTAGCGAGTGTGGGAGGAAGCGAGAGGCAGACGAAGAAGACGACGAGAAGAAGCAGAAGCAGAAGATAAAGGTGACGCCGGCAGGAAGGCGAACCGGAGCAAGGGGGGTTGGCGGTGGTGGAGGATAGACTGTCTACCAATGGTGGTGGCTTGAGCTTGCCGGGCTCCAAGGATGGTGTAAGTGAGGTGCAAGTGGCAAAACCCGCGAGGATGCCTGGTGGCAAGACGGCTTTAGCTCGCCGGATGGTCGTCAATGGCACAGCGCCAGAGGGGACCGGGGGGGGGTAAAAGGTGGAAGTGGAGGCGGAGGTGGTGGTGGTGGTGAAGGAGGAGGATGAGGAGGGGGGGGGAGGCTGAATCAAGGTGGGATGAATGGGGTCGAGGTCAGGGTCTCCGATCAGGGCGGGCAGGCGTGTGTTTGGATCGAGGGGAGGAGGAGCTGCTGGCTTGCTTTATCATCATCCAGAGCTGGCTCGTGCCTTTTCTGTCGTCGTCGTTTTCCCGTCGAGGCTATTCTCCCCCATGCCTACCCCATGCACGCAAGGTTCGGCTCGGTCGGTACCAGGTATCTGTTTGAACCTTTTTTCTTTTCCTTTCCTTTTCCCTTTCCCCAAGGTTTATCTCTGGTCTTTCTTTTCAGGGGTTTTTTGGGACAGGGCAATCTTGGCTGATGCACGGAAACCGGCTGGCCGTTTATGCGATGACGGGCCTCTTTGGCGAAGAGGAAACGCCTGACGTGTGAGGTGAGGGAGGAGGAGGCAGGGGAGGAGGAGGCGGAGGAGGAGGAAGAAGAAGGGGATAGGGATAGATAAAAAGGCCCCCTCCGTCTGGAAAATGGCGAACAACGGACAAGGTTTTGCTGAGGACCAGGTAGGGTCGGTGTGAGAGTTTGGGAGACGGAGGCAGATGGAGGCGGATGGGCAGATGAAGGCTTGCAGCTGCGAATGATGTGCTTTGCCCGCTATGGGGGAGAGCTTTAATTCAAGGACGCATGGAGCGAAAAAGCAAGGCGAGGGGAGGGGAGAAGAGGGAAAATTGGACGCCGGATTGTCTGTAGGTGACCAGAAGCAACGAAGACGATGGACGCATCGGGGCCTGCAAGTACTGTGTACCCAGAATTCTCTCTGTGCGAACGTAGTAGTAGTAGTAGTAGTAGTATTGATTACCGTCTGGGACATCCCTATAAGGGCAAAAGACGTGCTAGGCTAGAGAAGACTAGATACATAGAATATCCCGAGTACCTGGACTAAGGACCGTGTGTAGCACCTAACCACTCCATCTAGCAATTCTGAGGCTCTGAGGCCGGTCGGAAATTCGGGCCCTTCCCCGGCAGCGGGTTCCAGGCACGGCAGTGAAGCCGTAATAGTAGTCAGTCTTTGGCCGAGGCCGGGTGACTGAGAAAGCCCACGAAGTCATGGGCCGGCCGCAAGCCCCTCGAGGAGGGCCTACGGGCAGAAAGAAAAGAAAAGAAAAAGGAAGCAGAGAGTGTAGCAATGTTAGTCGGGGATTCGCCCCGATGGCGATTGTCTTCGCAGGAGCGTTCGATCCGGGCCACTTCGTGGTTATGACAGTCGGCGAAGTCCCCGTGCCTGCTCCTCGTAGCAAGCAGGTGGTGGAGGTGTTGTCGATTGGTGTGCAGCTCCGGGGACACCCGGGTGAGGCCTTGAGCTCTAGGCTCTTGTAGCTCTCGGGGCCCCGCGGCCCACCAGTCCAGAGGAAGTCGTGGCCGCTGGGCGGCAGAAAGGCCGCAAGGCGGCAAGTTCGGAGCCGCGAGACGGCAGAAGGAGGCAGAGCCGCAAGGCGGCAGAAGGCGAGGCCAGCCAGTAAAGGCGGCAGAGGGTGCGAGGCAGCGCGAGGCGTGCCAGGAAGGGCGAGAAGAAGGCGATGCCGCGAGGCGGCAGAAGAGGTCGGGGCCGCGAGGCGGCAGAAGTCGAGGCCAGCCAGTAAAGGCGGCAGAAGAAGGCGATGCCGCGAGGCGGCAGAAGGCGAGGCAGCGCGAGGCATGCCGTTATTCGAGACCAGCTTCCCAAGAGGAGACGAACTCTCCAAAGTCTGCCTTTTGGTGCTTGCTAGAGCCCCGTTAGGGCTAGAGAGGCAGAAGCATGGTCGGGTGACCTGAAAATAATTATCCACTAACAGGCTGCTAACAGCCCGCAGAAGAGAAGAATTTTTACAGGGGAGAGTTGCTCTCTGTGCGAACGGAACCTGTGCAAGTGACAGAAAGGATGGGACCCCCAGAGAGCCACCACCCACCGCCCGCCACATCACTCGACCCGCTGGCAGTCGTCGTCGCCCAACAGGGAGAGAGAGAGAGAGAGAGAGAGAGAGAAGCGTCGGGCGGTCTACCGGCGGCAGAGCAGTACAGTACCTCCTGTACTTGCTACTAGTACTGTAGGTGCAGGCAGTGGCCCGCATGCATACGACGGTGCACGCTGCAGGCTTTTCGGCTTACAGTAGAGTAGGTACCACCTCTTGCGCCACGTTTCCCTCTCTGCCTCTCTCGCTCCATCCATGTACTGTACAGTATACCTAATACTCTTTATTGCATTTTATTATTCTCTGTTTCTCTGCGATCCCCCATCATCGACTCTACCACTGACACGCACCACGTCCACCACGTCCTTGCCTTTTCCATCCTCCCTCCCTCCCTCCACAAGCGTCTCGACACGCGCGCGTGGTGGGGGGAGGAGGAGAGAGAGAGAGAGAGAGAGAGCAGCAAAGCAACCGGATCCAGCAAAAAGAGACGCAAGCGTACCCAACCTGGCACGTGTGTTCATACATTGATACCGTACTGTGCCTCGGAGCTGCTACCACTGCCGCCTCGGAGCCTGTCTCTTGTCTCGTCCGGTGTTACGTGAGAGCGCACGCATAAAGTTTGTGGCTGGATCATGCGTTGGACGAGCCCGCCACCCTCAAAAGGAAACAGTCAGCACCAAAAACGCCTCATCGGCAGCTGTCACTCGAGGCAGGTTTGAAAAGGGGGGGCAAAAAATATTTGCCATGGCCTCGAGAACGGCCCTCGGGGTTCCTTCTTTCCTGGTCTGTCCGCGGCCAGCGGTGAGACAAGGTGGGTGTGGTGAGTGAGGGTGGGTGAGTGAGGGTAGGTGGTGAGTGAGGGTAGGTGGTGAGTGAGGGTAGGTGGTGAGTGAGGATTGGGTGAGTGGGTGTACGGGCTACCTCGGTCTGCGCACAATCCTCCATGTGCCACGGGGTGCAGTGCTGTACAGTACAGTACATGTCGAGCCCTGCAAGCGTCGCCACCACCGCTCTCGTCGACTTTTTTTTGCATGCAAGGGAGACGCTGGTGATGATTGCTGCTTTTGCTTGCTGGATCCCTACCTACTTACTTAGGTACTGTACAGGGTACACGCAGCTGCTGTAGGCACCTACCTTAGGTACCTAGGTACCGTAGGCAGTGGGTAGCGCAGCTGCAAGGTACCCGCCGGCGCCGGAGAGACAGGCGGCCTGCCCCACACATGCGAGTCCTTTTTAGGCCGGCGATGGCGCCATGCCCAAGCGGGAAGTCCGGTAACTTACAAACGACCTTGTCTCGCACGCATTCATGCCTGCCGTTTGCTTTCAGACAACAAGAGCATTGTGTGTGTGTGTGTGTGTGTGTGTCTCGAGGCCGTGGCCGTCCGTGCCCCGTCGTGCAAACAGACCGACGGGCGGGGCCAAGAATCTTCACCGAGGCCAACGCGTACCGTACGCACACAGAGGGGCCGGCACAACCACCATTCATCATCTGTACACGCATGCATGCATGCATGCTACTCGATGCCCTAGGTACAGTACAGAGTACCTACATACAGGACAGTAAATAAGTTAACGTACTCCGTACTACCTGTCTGTAGACGCATCATCCTGCAATGCATCTTGTATACCAGAGAGAAGCCACTGCTCGGCCGTCGACGGCAGCCACCAACCAATCCCTCTCGGCACAATGGATTCGGCAAAATGAGCCTGGACTGAATGGGGCAGATCAGCGCTCACAGCACATGGCAGTCGATCGATGCTGGAAACGTGACAATACCCGAGGCAGCGCATTCCTCAGACCGCTGGATTGAGCACGGCCGGCCCCGTCTTGGAGGACGAGGGCCAATCATCGAAAGGAAAGAAAGAGGTGCCGTTGACTGGCTGAGAAAGGGTCGCGAAAAAAAAGGGAAAGAAAAGAACCGGCTGGGGCCATGCACTTACTGTAGTGACACATTGGCCCATCTACTCCGTACGGGGGGGCCTTTTTCTGTGCCCAACGGCGTGTTGGTCGAAAGGGGTGCTCATTTAGCCAAGGGATCAAGGGATATTGCACTGTATATCCACCTACCTAGGTATGCAACAAGTATGCCTGTGCCGGGAGGGTCGAGGGTGGGCATCTCTCTCTCTCTCTCTGTCTCTCTCTCTCTCCACACACAGCAACAACGACAACCAGACAGACAGAAAAAAAAAACCGCTGCCGGAAATCCTCTATAGAATCAAGGAAAACAAAGTCCCCTGGCTTGAGCCCGATGCATCCGCGCCACACCACCGCATCCTCGTCCTCCCACACCACCACTGCCGCACCTACGCGTGTCCTCCGGCCCGGCCCTATCCCACTCGTCTCTTCACCGGGACCAATGGGGCCCCCATGTCTCTCTCTGCTCTCTGCTCTTTGCTTCTTCCAATATTCCCGGAGTGCTGTACTGTACATATACAGACAGACATAGCAGAGCTGTTGGCGCTGCACCTGCAATTCAAAGTACTGTAAAGCACCGGAGCGGGCAGACTGGCTGGAATTCCCCCCACCCAATAATGGAAGCAATGGAAGCCAAGATGCGGGTAGTGCGAATGTCTAATGCCCCCGACCCATACTCTCCCACGCCTTGTCGATCCGCAAAGTCTGGTCGCCGGGCAGAGCAGAGCACGAGGCAGCACAGGGATGAGGCCGACATGCGACCCAGCAGTCGCCGGCACGCGGTCCAAGAAAAGAAAAGAAAAGACCCAAAAAAGAGACAGCGGCATCAAATAATGAGACCGAAAAGGAGCGGTGCTCAGAGTGCAGCAGGTAATGAGGACCAAAGAAAAAAGAAAGGTCCGGCATGGGCGGCTTTGGGGGCCGACGAACCCGGCTCGGCGGTTAGAGCATCGGCCCCAATTTCGGCCACGGCCTACCGGGCACACGCTCAGATCCAACACGTTTGTTTCTTCCCCCATGCTTGGCGACAGGGCTCCCGGATACGGCCAGAATCTTGCGACTCCAATCTACTGTACGTACATACAATGTTACAATATTATATCAGGTCCCCGACTTGGCCGAAAATGGCCTCACTTTGCCCCCTGCTTGCTGTATGCAGGTAAGCAAGTGCAATGTATGGTATACGGGCGGATGCTCAAGCGCTGCATCTCTCCTACAGTCCTCCTGCACTCGCACCAAGCTGCTCATCGGGTGCTAGAGAGCATCCATGTAAGAGAAGAGGAGAAAGGGTGTGAACTATCGCCATCAAAAGGCAACCACTAACCATCATCCCGTCTCCTTCACCTCCACCTCGCATCTTCCATGACGCGCACCCATCCATCTACTGTACGCTACCATAACTCGATCCAAGGCACGCAAGGAGGCTGGGAGGAAGGGGAAGGGGGACAAGAAACTCTGCAAGTAAGCAAGCAAGCACGCACGCACGCACGCACGCACGTGTGTGCCACGAACCAAACCCAAGGCAACCAAGGACCACGGATAATGCCGGCAGCTCCAAGGCTGTGGGTTGGTAAAGTTGGCGGCTCCTTCGTCATCGACCCGCCCGGCCAAAAAAAAGGGTTTTGCAGAGTACGTCATGCATGGATCATGGACCGCCATGAGGCTGTGCGCTGAAGGGAAACGAAGACAAGATGGCAAGCTACGGATGGGAAAAAGAAAAATTTGGAAAAGAGAAAAATGACACAGGCAGCAGAGACACGGCTGCAAGGGGTAAATGCCAAGGATCCCGGAAAACGAAGCCCTGCAAATTAGGAAGAGGAAAAAGAAAGCACATCTCCACGTCTCGGCGACAAGCTCCCCAACGCTGCGGCTCCGTCGCCTCGTGTCCCATTCATCCATCCATCCATCCATCTATCCACCCACCGTCATCATTCCCGTACAGTATCCGTACTGTACAGTACATGCCGGTAGGCCGCCATGTCGGCTCCGACCGGCAGACGGGCGGGCTTCCCGCTCCCGAGCAAACAGGGCCGCCGTCATGTCACGAGTCACGAGCATGTCAAGAGTGAGAAAAAGAAAGCAAGAACCCAGCATCCCTTCCCATCAATCCACGTTCCCGTCGCCCCATGGCCATCGGTGCTCAAGACGTACGCTGGCAGACATGAACATAAAACAGACAACGGAAAGACAAAGAATCACGCCATGCTCATTTTCTCGCGGACCGGCCGACAGGCGGTGCCGTATCCTCATCCCCAATTTTGCCGAGGCTTGACCTCACTTCGTCCATTCCTTGTCCGTGCAACGCGTGCTTCTCGCCTGTCATGTACACACAAACAATGGCCTCTCATGGTAGCCGGATGGATCCCTTCAGCTTCGCTTCCCCTGCAGGCAGCGAGCCACCCAAAGGCGTAATGAGAAACAGGGGCAAAAGGAGACAGTCGCTCGCTGCCTCCCATCTCAGCCCAACGCGCTCCCTCACACTTCCTCGTTTTCCCAGTCCTTCTCCTCAAACATGGGCTCCTTGCGCACCCCGCTCACCTCGAGCTTCTCCAGGAACTCGGCCGGCACCGTCGGTATGTACTTGAGCTCCCGCTCGCGGTTCATGCCCCCGAAGCCCGCCCCGTACGACACCAGCATGTCCGTCACCGACGGCAGCGTAAACGGCAGCATCAGCGCCGGGTCCAGCAACAGGTGCTCCGGCGCGTCCTCCCCCTCTCCGTCCGATGCGTCCGCCCCGTTCGCCTTGGGCGGACTCGGGCCGCCGCCGGGCGCCTCGAGTCCGTTGCCGTTCGCCTTGCCCCTGACAGGCGTGGCCGGCGCGTAGTCCCCGCCCGTGGGCGACAGCGGCGAGGCCGCCCGGCTGCGGCGCCGGTCTCGCTTGAGCGCCGCCTCCCGCTGCACCGCCAAGAGGTACTTCGTCGCGCTCTTGGGTAGCCCCTTCTCCCCAACCTCGGGCCGGTAGTGCGACGCTGCGTGGATAAGTTGCTGGGGCGTAAGCCTCTTGAGCTGTTGCAGCGTGCCCACCAGCGCCTCGAGGTCGTCGGGCCCCAGGGACGAGAAGCACTGTAGCCACTGCAGGAGCTGGATGCAGGGGGCCAGGTGTCGCCGAGCCGCGTCCGCCGTCATTTCCCCCGTCGACCGCGTCTCCCCTCCCTCGTAATGCTCGGCCTGTCTGTTGTTGGTCCGCGCCCAGTCCTCCAGGGTGGACATGTTCATGCGGATCTGCATGGCCTTTGTCCGCGCCAGGTATTTCCTGTTGGACATGATCCTGTTGAACAGCTCGGCACCGATCCAGTAGAGCAGCTGCGTCACGATCTGCGCCGTAATCACCGAGTGCACGTCGTAGAGGTCCAGGACGAAGAGCGTCGAGGACAGGAGCGACGTCACGTTCCTCGGGGCCGGCTTGGCCCGCCGCTTCGGCGACGGGGGCCGGAAGCGCTTCTCGGGCGGCTCTTGCTTGACCGTCGTCTTTCGCTTAAAGAGCTTCCACTCGTTCTGAAAGGTAATATCCTCGAAGCCGGGAATGGTTTCGTGGTCCAGCATGGCCGCGTCCAGGACCTTGTCGAGGCGTCGCTCGGCGTCGCGGACGATGAGGATGAAGATTTCGTTGATGAGTTCGGCGAGGTGGGCCTGGAACTCGGACGTCGCCTCGACCAGGCCGGCATCCTTCTTCAAGTAGTGCAGCAGCAGCGTCGCGTTGGAGAGCCAAAAGGCCAGGATGGTCATGTCCCACTGCGACCTCTCGACCACGTCGTTGATGAGGTCCATGGCGCTCACGAGAAGCCTCTCGAGCAGCTCGGGGCTCGAGTGGTAGTGGGCGTATCGGGCGCTGAGGAAGATCATGTTGGCGGGCACCGGCTTTTGCGACGGCGACCTCTGCGGCGTCATTTTGGTGATGATGATGTCGAGGATCCGATCGAGCTCGCTTTCCTGAAAGACAAACATTTGGTCGTGGAGGCAGCGGCTCCAGTCAAACTCCTGCTGCTCCTCCTCAAAGTCGTCGGCGGGCTTGGCAAGGCGTGTCGCGTCAGCACGGGGTGCGGGGCGCGTCAAGGCGTTGCAGACCTACCTCTGGCTGGTCGTCCATGCCGACGTTGCCCAGGTCGACCTCGAGGTCCCTGGCGCTCTCCATCATGAGGCGCCTCCGCATCTCGTTTTCGGCCATTTCCTCCTCGAAGCGCTCCTGGGAGAAGCCCGGGCTGTAGTAGTCGTCACCGACGCCCGCGTTTCCGAGGTTGTAGCCATTGTCATGCAGGTAGTACGACATTTCGCTGTCGGGCGGGACAAAGTCAAAGGCGGTGCGCCCCGACGACGTCTTCTGGTCCGAGGATGCGTTGTTGTCGAGGAGCAGCTTGGCGATGCCCTTGTGGCGGTTCGTCATGGCCCACATGAGGGGACTCCACTGATTCCGGTCCTGCTTGTCCACGTCGGCGCCGGCCTCGATCAGAGCCTGCACAACGCTTTCATGGCCCTGCCAAGACGGATGAGCTTTGGGGGGAAGGGGAGGAGATGGTGGAAGGGGGGGAGGGAGAGGAGAGGGAAACCAAATGTCCGAGACACTCGAGGCGGCCGACTTACAAAGCAGCTGGCATAGATGAGAGGCGGGGTGCCGTCCTCGTCAGAGGCGTTGACGTCGGTAAAGGGCTTTGCCTTTCCCGTGACCAGGCGCTTGACCTTTGCGACGTCGCCGTTGCTGGCGGCCATGGCCAGGGCCTTCTGGAGCATGGCCTTCTTGTCCGCCTCGGTCAGCTTCTCGTCGTCGGCGACTGCCTGCTCATCCTCGAGGCCTTGACCGGACTGGTTGGCAGCGGCCTGGGCTTGCAGCATCTGCATCAGCCTGGCGTCGCTGCTCTTGGGGCCGTTGGCGGCGGAGCCCTGGGCGTAGTCGGCGTCGTTGAGCGACAGGTTTCCGAAATTGAGGGGCTTGGCGAGCGCGGGCGTCGTGAGGAACTGGGACTGGCCTGGGAGGGAGGGATCCGGGTCAGCGGCCCAGTGGCGGCGTGACGGGCATGGGAGGGGACGAACCTTGCCATCCGTCATACATTTCCGTCTCGGCGACGAAGCCCTCGGTGGGCGCGTGTCTGCGGTCGTCGAGCGAGGTTGGCAGATCTGAAGGGATGACGCGCGGCCTGTGATCGCCATCGCTGCCGGTCGAATCCCCCAGGTCCATGATGGGAGAAGGGGTGCAGCCAGGCCGGCTGGCTCATGGAAGTCGGGCAGCGCTTTTGGATGAAGCCGAGGCTGTGCGCCGTGGTGGGGGAAAGACGAGCAACAAGGCGGCTCGAAGCCGTGGGACAACGCTCTCGAAGCGGGGGAAGGGGGGTCCGGGGGCGAACGGGCGGCAGAGGGAGAGGCGGAGAGGCGGGGGAGGATGCTGGCGATGCAAGAATGACCAGACAGGCGGGCCGGCGCTGTTTGTGCGGGAGAAGGGCTTCGTCGTGTCTTGTCTGTCAAGGGTATTGGGACAACAATCGTAAGGCAACAGGAAATGGCCAGTACTGCAAGTTGCAAATGGTGAGGTAATCAGGCTTCCTTGGCTTGGGTACCTGAGCTGAGGTACTGATGAATCTCCCAAGGTGGGGGGGAAGGGGGAGGGGCCAATACCTCGAACCCCCCCCCCCCTTTTTGGAGGACGACCATCTGAACATTTCTCGACTTTCACGAAACTATGCGTCTGGGCCATTGGCTGGATACTACTCTTGTTTGAATCATCGGGGTCTGTACTCGCATGTACCTCTGACGAACTGCCCGGGCGCTCCACCCGGCGCATTGGAGTCGCGCGAGATTGTTCATGCCCGTCGTTGCCACCCAAAACTACTAATGGCTGCTGTCGAGACAAAGGTCTCGCAGGGCAGTGCCACTCTTCTTCCTTTCCTACCCTTTGCTCTCTGGCTTGCGCTATTCCTTTTTGCTTGTCCTCCCTGGACATGAAGCGTTCCTGTCAGATCAGCGGCTCGGCAGAGAGACAGGCCGCGACACGAGTCGCCATGCTTGGCTACCCAAGGAAACGAGACCCTTAGCATTTAAATACGTGCAAGGTTAATAATGGCGTGCAGATTTAACCAAGGGTCGCTCCGGCTGCTGACAGACTCAGATCCCCTCACCACTAATACCCATGAGGGTTCGACAAAGAATAACCCGCGCGAATATTTCTGGGTCGCACAGACGTGCTCGTGGCTGCGTAAAGTTGACATCGACCTCTCTCTCACTGCCCTTGTCCAGCCAAACGCTTGCCGTATACCCTCAGCCGCTTGACGCCGCCGTCGGGAATCATGACGAGCTTCACGTGCGTAAAGGCCGTCGCCCTCTCGGCGCAGGGTAGCTCGTGCTCCTGGTCAGGCCCCATCCTGCTGGGGGCGACGACCTCGCGCCATCCCTCGGCCGCCGCGTCGGGGTCTCCACCTCCCTCCCAGGCCAGCGCGTAGATGGCCACCTTTTGCGGGTAGTTACCCCTGAAGTGGGCCGTGTCGGCGACGAAGCTCTGGATGCAGCCCCGGGCGCCGAGCTTGACGATTGTCCAGTCGACGTGCTCCCTGCCGCGGGACCGCGCCGTTTCCCACCCGTCGCCCATGTCCTTGCCTCGCCCGGGCAGCAGCAGGTTGTCCTTTGTGCCAAAGTGCTGGTCGCTGCACGAGATGGCCACGCCGCCGTTTTGCGCCGCCGCCAGGTCCAGAATGGCCTCGGTGTCCTGCGGGAAGACGGGCACGGCGTGGCCAAAGAGGCGGAAGCGCGCAATGCCGCCGTCCGGGTACATGTTGAGCCTGACGTGCGTGTACTGCTTGCCCGAGGGGGCGTCGAGCTTCCACCCGAAGCGGCGCGACGGCCCGCACTCGCGGACCCCGAGGATGGTTTCCCACTTGCCGCGGCCGCCGCGCCACGAGACGACCTCGTCGTCGTCGTCGGTGCTGAAGCAGCCCTCGACGGAGATAGCGGGCGCGTAGTTGCCGGTAAAAAAGGCCGTGTCGACCTCGACGCCCTCGACGGTGCCCGAGGCGACGCCGAGGCGGATGACGACCCAGTCAAAGGGCTCCGGGTTGTGCCGCCTCGTCTCCCACCCGTCGTACCACGCCCCTGTGAAGACCATCTTGCCGGGCTGGCAGACGGGCGTCGTCGGCGTCAGCAGGTTGGCCGCCTCGGCAAACCACTGGTCCGAGAAGGCAAGAATCTTGCCGCCCAATGCCGCCGAAACCAGGTCTACAAAGGCGAAGGGGGAAGAGGTCAGTTGCCCATGTCAACAAGTCGTCTATTGCTTTCATTGGGGGAGGGGGGGGTCTACCAATGCAGCTCGAGCGGAACGTCTTGTCAATCTCTTGGGGGCTTATCGACGTCGCCTTGACGTCGTCGAGCTTATACTCGACCTCGTCTGCGAAAGATGGCATGACGTGTGCGTGTCGTGGGTTGGCCTCGGTTGAAAGCGACGGTGAAGGGTCCTCTTGCTATGGGAGTTCGCTGTAAAGACTGAGCGAGGGAGCGTGTATGCCTGGTGTGGGATAGCGACGAGACGGGATGGCGATACAAGCCACGATGCGGGGAATCGTAACAAGTGGTCGATGCCGGCCACCTCCGACGGCTTCCATGAGTCAGTGTCGTAGTGATGCTCCGGCTACCTTGCAGCTGTAGACACGACCACCATCACGTGAGGCATTTTCGGCTGCCGACTCTTAGTGCCGCGATGTCCGGACGAGGACGGCGGTGCAACCAGCCTACCCTACACCGAGAGCCCGAATAAGGTCTGCTGCTTGCCCGACCGTGTCTGAATTGGGACAGGTGATGGAATTCTGGTCCGACCATCAAATTCTTTCTCTATACTGCGGATGGTAGCGGTCAATGCGCCTCTTGGCAATATCATACCTGGGTGCGGCGGCACGAGCATCCAGGTCCAAGAACCGACGCCGTTGATTGCCCGCTCCTGACGCGATCCCCAGCTCGGGTGGTGATAACGAACCTCGCAGTGGGGCTGGCTAGGCCCCCGATGGGCTGACAGGGGGTGGCCTGTCATGGCCCGTGGGACCCCGACGGGAGGCGGGTTGGGGTGGCGGGTTGGGTGGCGGGGTAGGGCCCACTCCACTGTAGGTATTTCTGGGAGCTGCTGTTGCTGCAGCTTGATGACACCTGTAGATTCCATCGGATGCCGCATGTGGCACAGGGAAGTTCGACCAGTCGCTGGTCTCGCAATCGGGCACTCGTAATCAGCGCGTAAGCTCTGCTGAAGCTGAAGGTCTCAATGATGTGGGACTTGTGCCCTATTCCTAGCGACCTGCCGTTATCAGCCTCCCGCCATCCTCCCTCTTTCTCCCCGTCTCACTCTCCGTCTCCCTCTCCTACTATCCATCTGCTTGTCATTACATGTCCAATCCGATACGCAAAAACACACCACTCTGTCTCTCGAGGGCACCCTGCGACTCTTCTCCACGCCTGAAGCGTGACCATCGACAGCTTCCATCCAGCTACCGAGCAACATCTTGCCTTCTTTCTACATACACCAACCATGGCGAGCACCACGGGCATGCCGGAGCATCCGTCAGCAGCCGAACAAGACGAGACGCTGCACCCAGAAGGCTCAGAGAATGAGCCGCTCCTCGGACGGCCCGGGGATGTGGTCCAGCGCCGAGGCACCTCCTTTGCCAAGAACCTCATCATGGGTATGCTGACCGGTTGACCACCCCAGTCCCTCAACGCGGTCGAGCCGTCGTACAACAGCCGTCTTCTCTGCTAACTCGCCCCCTTTCATCCCTGCAGGAACCGGCTCTCTCGCCCAGCTCGGGGCCATCCTCCTCCTCGTCCTCGTCTGGGCCTCGGTCCTCACCAAGCCCCTAATCCTCTTCTCCGCCCATCCGCTGCTCCAGTCTCTCGCCGTCTTCGTCCTGATCCAGTCAGTCCTGGCGCTGCAGCCCACCAGCACCACCGAGCAGAAGCGCCTCGGCCAGCGCGTGCACGCCACCCTCAACCTTGTCGCCCTGCTTCATCTCATCGCCGGCGTCACAATCATCGAGTACAACAAGCTGGCGAGCCATGGCCCGCACTTCCACTCGGTCCACGGCTACCTCGGCGTCATCGTCAGCCTCCTCCTCGTGCTGCAGTACCTCGTCGGCTTCACCATGTGGGCCACCCCCCGGCTGTATGGTGGCGACCAAAAGGCCCGCGCCGTGTGGAAATATCACCGATACTCGGGCTACCTCGTTCTCCTCCTCTTGCTCGCCACCATCTGCAGCGCCGCAAAGACCGACTATGGTGCCAAGGTCCTGGACCTCAAGCTCTGGGCCACCATACTTGCCTCCATCCTCATCGTCGCCGGCGTCTTTCCGCGCATCCGGAAGCAAAAGCTCGGCCTAGGCTCTTCCTCGTCGGCGCAAGAGGCCCAGAGACCCCGATTCGCCGCTCATTAGGCTGAGCCCTGACCTCCCTTCCCCCTCCTGGTGGCCGTTAACTAACCAGCAGAGACGATGACTCGTCTCCGGTTCAGGGGCTGGGTAATAAGCTTCCTGTATGTAGCCCACGGCGGCGTTTTTTCCTGGTTTTGTGGCACCAGGCGGGCTGTCTAGGAGAAAGCTGCAAACTTTCGCCGTCAAGTTGCTCCCACTCCCCCGCCTTTCTCACGAAACTCAAGAGATGGTGGCGTTGGCTCGGAATTTTTTTCGCCAAGCTCTGTTCTGAGCATCTTTCTGCACTACAGAGGGCATTGTCTACTGGCGGGAGGGACTGTCAGCAGTTTACCACTACCTAGCACAGAAGCACGCGATACATAGACAGGCAGCTGAGTTTAAGCCTCGTACACGCGGCGCTCGTGGGGAAGCCCCAGCTGAGCCGTGCTGGAGAATCTCTTGGTGGAGAAATTCATGGCGTATAAGAAACAGTATACCGACCATGTCCTCTTGGCTGGCCACACCCCCAGCGCATCGTTCCGCCGTCGGGGACTACCTCACGGCCCATCGTTTTCTTCCAGGTACACGTATCGGCTGCGGCTCTCTCCCCTGGCCCGATGCACGAGAGCACCATGTTCCCCCTGGCGTGCCAGTCGACGGCGTGTTGGAACACGTCCAACTACCTGCAGGAAACCATGTCTCCGCGGTTCCGCGTCCTGAACCGATGCAAAGACTTTCCCGAGTGTGAGTCTTCCTGTCCCTCCCCTTTCACTCGTGGTCTTAGACGACCTCTGAAGAGAAGGTCGGCTGACCGAGTTGTTCTGCTTGGAATTCAGGGGCTTGCGACGGCTTCAGCCGCTCTTACAAGGACAAGGTGCCCTCGCACAGGCACAAGCTCAACACCATGACTATGATCAGAGACGAGGTGGACAATATCCTCCGCGGCTTCCTCGACCGGCCCTACGCCGAGGTCTCCGAGTCGCTGGCCGACGCCAAGCTGCAGATTGACGGCTCCAAGCAGGTCGACGCCGAGAACTTGGCCAAGGTGGCTGATTACTACCGCACGTGCATGGGCAGCGACATGAAAGACAATGCGGCTGCCTTTGTGGAGCTGATGAACGAGGTCAACAGGCCGTTTGCTGCGCTTGACGCGGTCCAAGCCTCGCAAAAGGACAGCAATGTCACCACGTACAAGCCCGTCGTCGACACGGGGAGGAGAATGGCGTTGGAGGACTGGGACATGCTCTGCGAGGCACAGGTCAACCTCGTCCAGCTGGGCATCTACCCCTTTGTCAAGATTGAAGCCCAGCAGTCGCTCGTCAACCCCGTGAGTGGACCCCTTTTGGTCACACGTCTTGCTTGAAGGGGCTGGCTGCTACCGTCCTCACTGCCACATGTTGAACCGGGCGGACTGCTGACCTCGTCGCCGCGCAACATGACAGAACAAGACGGCCATCGTGATCACCCCGGAATACCGGGGCGCCATGCCCGACAACTGGATCTTCCGGTTCAAGGCTTTCAGGGATCCGTACTCGGCTGTGCTGGTCGAGTTCCTCGAGAGTGCCCACGGGCAGAATCTGCCGCGGGTCCAGAACCTGAAGGACATTCCCGAATCCGTCATACAATTTGAGAAGGACATTTTGAGGAAGCAACCTAGGTGGCGCAGGCGTGAAATGAAGTTTACAAAGGTAAGGCCCCCCTGGGGGGGGGGGGGGGGAGATGAGTGGATGGCCGAGCTGGAGGAGAAGCTGACACGGGGCATTTCGAATGCACGCAGAACCACGTCGAGGAGCTCAGCCTGGACGACCTTGAGCACCTCGCGCCGGAGCTGCGCCTCAAGGACACGGTTCTGTCGTTTGCGCGGCGGTACAACGCCACCGTCGAGGGCGTCGAGGTGATTCGCCCGGAAATCGTCCGCCGCGTGAACCGCGTCGTCAGGCGCCAGACGCGCGAGACGATCCGCTCGTTCCTCATGTGGCAGGCCTTTCTCCAGACCGTCGAGGTGTGGGACTTGAGCTGGACCCAGAGGTGGACAAACTTCACCGCGAGCCAGATTGGCATGGTGCGTTGAGCCCCCCTATTTTCTCCCTGCCCCCTTTTCCCCGTACACACGCCCACACACACACACACACACACACACACACACACACACACGACTCCGAGAAAGCAGACGGTGAGCTGACCGTCCTTGTTCTGGGCAGGCACATAACCAGACGCTGGAGGAAAAGTGCATCTCGAGGGCGCAGAGGCACTTTGGCCACATCCTCGACTCCTTCTTCATCCGCAAGGAGTACTCGTCGGCCATTGCGTCGGGCGTCAAAGGCATGGCCGAGGGCATCCGCGCGGAGTGGAGGAACATGGCGTCCACCACGGACTGGATGTCGGAGCAGGGCAGGAACCTGACGGTCGAAAAGATGGACCGTTTGGATATTTCCATTGGCCATCCGCTGGTGAGTTGACGAGCTCGTCGCCCCCTCTGCGAGCTGTGTGCAAGAGAAACAAGGCTGCTATTACTCCCCCGCTGTCCTTGAGCGACTGACAAGAAACTCGGTAGACGCCTCATCCCCTCAAACCAGAGTCCATTGCCGAGTTCTACGCCGGGGCCAACGTCCGCGCCGGCGGGCCAGCGCACGAGGGGGTGAACAACTCGACGATGGCAACGGCGTCGTTGCGGCGCCCGGACCGGTGGACACACCACCACGACTACTTCCACCTGGAACTGTGGCACGGCAACAGGCGCTGGTCGCGGCTCGGCAGGGCGCCGCAGGGTGCCGACGAGTGGCCCGACAACGCGCACTCACTCGAGGTGCAGTACTCGCCGCTGCGGAACCAGCTCGTCATCCCCGCCGGGCTGATGCGCCAGCCGCTCTACCACGCGGACCTGCCGAGCTGGTACCAGTACGGCGCGCTCGGCACGGCCATCGGGACGGCCATGGCAAAGGTCATTGACGGCGTCGGGCAGCAGTACCAGGTCAACGGGTCCATCCGCGGCGAGACGTGGACGGGCCGCGACTGGCGCAAGTACACCAAGCAGCTGCGTTGCTTCAGAAAGCGCTGGCGCCGCGTATACCGCATCGGCACATTCAAGTTCATGCTCGAGATGGACAACGTCTACGAGTCCGTTGTGGGCGATCACGAGGGCATGGAGGCCTCGTACCGCGCCTGGGTCACCGCCAAGAGCAACTCGACGAACCTGCCGCTGCCGGGCCTCGAGGTCTTTAGCAACCTCGAGCTGTACTGGATGGCGCGGGCGACGCGCTTCTGCACCGTGCGGCCCCCGACGGCCAACAAGTTCTTCGAGGCCGAGGTCGCGCGCTCCGATATGCCGCCCGACCACGCGCGGCTCGTGGAGCCTACCCTCGACTTTGGCCCCTTTCACGCCTCCATGCACTGCAGGTGTGGGAGATGCCTGGCCAAGAAGTGTAGGGTTTTTGGGCGATATCTCGAGCCCTGGGGTTACGGAGTGGAAGACTAGGCGTAGGAAAGCGCAGGCATGGGCGTCGGTTGAGTCTTGCCTCGCCTCAATCTTGATCAGTGTACTTGAAGCGTCGCGAGGAGGTCGAGGAACGCGTGTGCTTCGTAGTGATGCCAGAATTTCCGTTGGCGCCTCTCCCCTTGATCTGGGACGTCGAGACCCAGCATTGTCTTGTGCGTTCTGCTGGCACCTGCGACTTGGTGACCCGTAACAGAGCCTGGCCATCACGCTGCAGTCTCCCTGCCACGGCAAAAAAAGCCATAGGACCGATGGCTCGTGTTGGTGCGTTGCGGAGATGGTGCGACAGAGCCAACGCCCGCAGCGTCGTTCCCGCCGCCGCCGCCGATGCCGTGCTTCCACAATGAACAGCCGCTGTTGGCCGTCATTGTTATTTGTAGAAGAAGAAAAGGGGCACAACAAGGAGGCTTGTCCTTGAAGATGAGGCTGAAAGACGAAGGAAGAAGAAAGGCGAGTTGCTATTTCCAAGGCGCACGTGTTCGAGGCGACCCACTTTTCCCCGTCTGGCGTGCATAACAAGCCGCCGCGCCGAAGACGCAATGGATGCCTCTGACCACGTCACGTGCCCGGAAGCACGAGACTCGACGGAGTCAGGCCTCTCCCTCAATGACCCAGCAGAGCGGCTCGGCAGGACGGGCGGATGGGAGGCTGGTCGTGGACACGGGATATGTGTCTCTTGGTCGGGAGCGACTTGTCAACGCAAACGTCGTCGGGTGTCTTACCGCCCCCCGTCCCCTTGGAGCGGTGAGGCTGGCCGGTTGGCTGAGAGCGTGTCTTGCGCCGTTGCGGCCTCGAGCAGTTGCCCGAGCCATGATTGGCCCTCGCCGTGAGATGGTGCATGGCCTGCGCGGATGACGATGATGACGATGAAGACGAGGGCCCCGCTTATGCTCTATTATTGTTGTTGTGTTTTATCGTCATGAGGGCCGGAGTCAAGGTCACCCCGGCTTCGAACCCGGGGCAGGGATGGGCAAAGAAAGCAGGCTGTCAAGAGACAAAGACTAATCTGCAGTGCTGTTGCCGCCGCATAACCTAGATTTGCGGCCGTAAACCTCGAAGAAACGGATCGGCGATGCGGCGTTGTCTGTCTATGCTGCAGCGCACCGTACGTATGTACTGACGTACAGTAGTCGGCGCGTATGGCTCGTGTGTGCGCAGAGGGTGGGGAGAAAGCAGAGGGCTGGCTGCCGTGCGAGGTGAGGTGCAGAATCCTAATTACATGGCATCACCGGATAATGTGGCGCGATGGAGGAGCGCAGAAAAGATGGTGGTGGGTAAGCAGTCATGATGATGGCATCCTCGCCGACGATTTTTGTCTGAGACATTGGCCTCGGACACGTCTGAATCGGAGGCCGTAAGAACATTTGGTAAGGACGGTAATTACTGCAAGTCTGGTCACCGATTGGAACCACGGCCGTTTTGTGTGCTGGTTCGTCCCACAGACGACCCTTGCAATGGCACTTGGCGCTGGACAGTTGCAATGAGGATCTCGTCGACTCCGCCTCTTGCCTGTGAGAGGCAGCCCTAAAGCCGGAGGACGGACAGCATCTCGGCTGCATCCGCAGCGGTTGGCGGCATTTGGGAAGTTTGTGACTCGTCCCGACGGGCGCTTTGTGTGCATGATGGAGCCGGAAACTTTTGTTGTTCTGATGCTTTTTGCGTGCGCGAACGGATGCGATGGCGGTGGAGACTGTACAGTGTGAATGGGGACAAGACGCACGGCCGTAAATGGCATCCATCCCTTTGCCTTTGTGCCTTGACGCACAGAGGTAATTACAGTCAGTACCGCCAAAGGACTCGCAAGCGAGCTCGCGGTGCGTCGACGATCGGTGCCGGCGTCTTCTGCAACGGCGAAGTGCCGCGCCATGTTTTTTTGCCGTCTCCAAAGAGTATGTACCCGCACACCTAGAGGCTTCTGGCCGGGCACCCTGTGGACGGTCAAAAACATGACTCACGGCAAATACGGATTCTTCAGGTCTGCAACTGGCATCGGGTGTTTTACGCGTCCCTGAACGTGCGCCTTTGTCCACGAGATAGCCGCTCTGACCAGCAGCAGCAGGGACAGGAGGACAGCACAGTCGGTACAGTGCTGACCAGGACAGTAAGACGAATGAAAATCCCCATTTTAATACAAGCCGAGAAAAATGATGGATGGGGTTGAAAATGAGTGAGGGTGGGCTGGCAGGCCCTGTCGGCTACGTCATAGGGCCCCCATTCTGCTCTCCTCACATCCGCTCCTCCCCTGGCCCTCTCCCCCCCACCTCTCTCTTTTCACCCATAGCAGCCTTTTGTTATTATTGTTATTATTATCGTCATCATCCGCAGCTGGCCGGGGCCTCACTCAACTCGCTTCTAGTCGCCTGCCTATTGATAACGGACAGAGAGGCAGGCGGAAGAGGGTCGTGAGAGCGTCAGGAAAAGATCCGAGCGGATGCTGTATGTAGGTATGTACGTACCTTTAGTACCAGGCCCAGCCATAGGTTAATGGGGGACTCGAAACAGCGAGAGCGAAATGACGTTGTTGCATTAAGAATCAACCATCCCCCTGGCCTCGCAGCCGAAGTACTCGCCTTCAAGCCCTCTCCCTTCTTATTCGGTGATGCTGCACATGGATGCATGCCAAACAGTACCCACAGATACCCATCTGCTGCTAGGCACATTTTCTTTTCTCCCGACTTCTGGGGCACCCCATCCACCGAGGCCGTCGCTACCGACACTGTACGGGGGCGGGTACCTGAGCAAGCAGTCCTCGCCATCTCTGGCGCGCCTATTGCCTGTCGCCGCCATTCTTCTCCCACACTGACTCGCACCGGCATCCGCAGCCTCGAGCCTTCCTCACTCTACTCCTCTTCTGCCGTGCCCGCGTCGCATCACCTTGCCTCGCGACTGTGGCCGACCTGCATCTGCCCTGCGTCTGTCGGGACCTCGCAAGGTAGGTGGTGGCTATTCCTACCCACCTTGCCCCCCCTCCCGTTTCCCCTTGCCGGCTATATACAGCGACATGCAACATCATCCCTTGATCGCTTTGCAACCCGCGACCACCTCTGATGCTGACAGGCTGCTCAAGGCTTCGTCGTCCTGCCTTGGAGCAGATGACCTAATCCGACCCCGACCTGCCAGCCAGCCGAACTCGACATCGACCGCCCCCGTCCGCATGTCTGAGGCATGCAAAGGCCGGTCTCCCAAGTCGACGACGGCACTCCATCGTCGCCTCGCCCGCCGCCCCGACCAACTCCGAATCTGACGGCCTCGCCCTCTTCCTCCTCATTCCCGGCGCGTCGGCCCAGCCGATCCTCCGCCTCCGAATCCCCGGCGACGCGCACCCTCGTTTCGAGCCCCCCCCGTCCGAGAAATGGACGTCTAACGCTCGAGGCCGGAGCAGCAGCAGCGTCAACGGGGGATGCGCGCGACAGCATGGCCCAACGCCGTCCCATCTACTCGTCCTCCTCGCCGCTCGAATCCTCAGCCAGCTCGCCTCCGGCCCGTCAGCCTGCCCAAGCTGCCGACGACGACACCCTGCTCCGCACTGCCAATGCCGACCATGTCAGGGGCCCGACAGGCCCCGTCACGTCGCAGAAGCAGCTCAATGACTACCGTGAGAAGCTGGCCCGAGACCTCGAAATCCGAGAGCTCTCCGCCAGGGGCCTGCTCATGAACCCCCCGGACAAGGCGCGCGTCTCGCCGATCCCCGAAGAGGCCTTGTCGGGCTCGCCCGTGCTCACTGCCGCCCTCACGACCGCCTCGACCGAGTCCAACAACACGGTACGCGACAGCTTCACCCCCGGCCCCGTCGCCTGCACCCCGTCCTATCCCTTCCCTCGAATGGCCAACACCGGCTTTGCCCCCTTGTACCTCAACAAGTCGATTCCGCCCCAACCGCCCCCGGCCGGCATCCGGATGCCATATCCCACCGGCTTCGAATTCCGCGGCATACTTGACAAGGTCCTCTCCGAGAACTCGACTCCAGCTTCCAACTACACCTTCAACCCCTCGGCCGCGACTCCCCATCAGGATGCCGGCTTCGACTTCCCCAACCCAAACCTCTACGACTTGTCGCTCATGCTCAGCGCCGAGCCGGGCCTGGACGCCTGGTGGAGCACCGTCGTCCACATCATGAAGGACGTGTACAAGGCTGAGCGCGTGACTCTTGCCGTCCCTGCAGACTCGACCGACCTCGAAAACGTACCCTGGGGCCAAAAGGCTACTTATAGCGAGCATGATGGGAACGAACTCAGCATGGGATACATGGCCCGGAGCAGCAGTGTCATGCAGAGCAGCGAGCGTGGGGCTTCCGACGTTGCCTTCAACACAGACGACGTGGCCGAGCTGGGTACACCAGCTCGCCCCGGTCTTCCCAGCCGTCATTCCTTCACCTCGTACGAGGACAACAAGCAGAAGTCGCTCGACAGAGCCCCCAGCGCGGCCCGACGTCCCACCCACCTGATGCGAAGCAAGTCGCATTTCCAATCAGCCCGGCGCTCCGGCGAGGCCTCCCACGGCTACACAGAACTGAACAAGGACGCTCTCGACGAGCACGATGCCGTCGAAGGACAACAAGCCATCCCTAGCTGGGAGGCGCCCTTCATGGCTCGATTCGACGGCCAGGGACGGGTTTTGCCCGTTCTCCAGGCCTTGGACTACGAAGCCGACCCGCTCATCGACCATGCCGGCGTCATGCGGGTGCTCCAACGAGGCCGACCGGTTGCACTGACCAGGAGCTACCCCTATCTTGCGGCCAATGCTAACCAGTCCACGGACCAGCCGATCGAGCAGAAACCTGGGTCCAAGACTCCCTCCTCGGATTTCGCGAAACGACCCAAGAGGCCGCGCGCAGAGTCCACCTCGAAGCTGTCGTCCATATTTCCAGGCACGACACGAAGCAAGTCCAACGCCAGCGACAAGGCAAAGTCGATCGTCTCCCGCCTGGATGACGACGAACCGAGACCTCCAACGCCCAAGTACGAGGAGTACGAGCAAGCGCCGCCGTCACCTTGGTCGCAATCGCCCGCTCCGTCGCCAGCAGTCCGCGCCGAGCCCAAGGAGAATCCCTTCTTCACCGATGCCATGGTCGACGAAGGCTCCTTTAATCCCGATTCAGGCCCGACCAGCTACTCCGGAATGCCCCCGCCCGAGGCCATTGGGGTCGATAATTCATGGACCGTGCTGCACATACCCCTGACACATGTGCTACTTTCTAGGCCGTTGCGCCCCTTCAAGCTGAACGCGTCGGCCATGGAGCAACGGTCTCAAACTCGGCACAAGGACGAAGCAGGGGAAAATCGCAAGGAATCTATAGAGGCTGAGCGACTCACGCCCGAGCTTCCGGGAAAGAACGAGACGGCTCCGATTGCGATCCTGTCCATCCTGAGCCCAATCATACCCTACCCGTCCAAGCTCCGACGCTCTCTGGAGCACCTTGCGCCTCACATGGCTACATCCTTCTCACTATGTCGACACTATTCCAACCTGGAAACCGAACTGGCTGGTATCCAGCGCAGAAGGCCACCGACTGCAGGATTCGGCGCCGTCACACCCTACCCGCGGCACGGTGATAACGGACCGTTTACGGTGCCGGCCGGCATTGCCCAGCAAGCGTTCCTGGGCGGCAGCATGACGAGCCCGAGCGACTACTCTGCAGTTTCGAAAAGTACCACCGGCTCTCCGCTGGGAACCCCTAGTTGGGAACAAGGATCTCTCAACTACCTCGTTGACAAGCGCCAGCCAGCGGCCAGCCCGGCGGCCATGTCCCAGAGCGGCGAGGGCTATTTCAGCAGTAAACAGAAGCCGGGCTTGACAAGGCCAGAGACGTTGGCCCCTCAGCGATCAAGGCCGGGATCGAAGGATGTTTCTCCAGCTGACAAGAAGTCTTCCCTGTTGTCGGCCCCGAGGGCTGGGCAAGATGCTTCGGGTCTGGAGGCAGTCGTCGACAGAATAGTCTTCGATATCGACGAAGCGAACATGCAACCGCGCCAAGAGGCGGCTTCCAAGGACGCTCAAGAGGCGGGCGCAGATACGTCAGACGAAGCTGCTACGGCCAAAACAACGGAGAGGCAAAGCGAGCCCCTCAAGTTTGACGCCTCCCGCTCCCATCACGGCCATTCCGTCCTTCATAGTTACGGAGCGGACTTCGCTTCGACATTCCAATCTCTTCCCCCAAGCTCCACTCTTAGCAGGCCGCCGCCGACCTCGTCCGCGCTGCCGCGCAGCACTTCCCTGACGACATTGGGGGCGGATATGCCACCACCTTCTGACAGACTCAAGGGTCTCATTCTGGATTCCCTGCCGGCCCATGTCTTTGTGTCTCTGCCCCAGACCGGTGAGACTGTATGGGTCAACAGCCGGTTCCTGTCTTATCGCGGGCAGACTGTCGCAGACCTCGCCGCAGACCCCTGGGGAAGCATCCACTCAGACGACCGTGACGGCTATCTCAAGGCCTGGGGGCACTCGCTACGAACCGGCGAGCAGTTTTCCAGAACCGTGCGCATCAAGCGCTTCGACGGTGCATACCGCTGGTTCTACGCCAGAGCCGTGGCGTCAAAGGACAAGAGAGGCGTCATCATGCAGTTTCTGGGCTCGTACATGGACATTCACGATCAACACATTGCCGAGCTCCGGGCAGCCAGGCAGGAGGAGGTCGAGGCATCGGAGGCCAAGCACCGACTACTGGCAAACTTGATTCCACAGATCATCTTCACCGCCACCGAGGACGAGGGCATAACTTTTGCCAATGAGCAGTGGCTGTCGTACACGGGCCAAAGCTTCGAAGACTCGTTGAACCTGGGCTTCATGGACCACGTACACCCGGACGACTTGGCAAGATGCCGCATCCCCATCGACCATCGCAGGACGTCGAAGCAGAAAAGCGAGTCGGGATCGAACAAGGTCGAGGGATCGGACTCTTCCGAAGCAACGTCGACGTCCGGCACCGTGCAGGGACAAAAGTCGCCGATGACACATGAATCCAAATCGCAGAGCGATCGCTTGCAGCTGTCTAGGAGCAGCAGCTCGGGGACCGAGTCGACCCGTGACCTACCGTGTGCGGACTTGACAGAGCTAGCAAGGAAAGGCATCTTCAAAGTGACCACGGACACCAGCGGCAGACTCTCCTACACGACCGAAGTCCGGCTGCGCTCCAAGACGGGAGAGTACCGTTGGCACCTCATTCGCTGCGTGGAGATCGATACCATCGACTTCGGCCGAGGCGCCAGTTCATACTTTGGCTCGGCCACGGATATCAACGACCACAAGATTCTGGAGACGAAGCTCAAGGAAGCAATGGAGTCGAAGAGCCGATTCCTGAGCAATATGTCCCATGAAATCAGAACGCCTCTCATCGGCATCTCGGGCATGGTCAGTTTCCTCCAGGATACGACGCTGGACGAAGAGCAACGCGATTACACGAACACGATCCAGACGAGCGCGAACAGCCTCATCATGATCATCAACGACATTCTGGACCTGTCCAAGGTTGATGCGGGGATGATGAAGCTCAAGTACGAATGGTTCCACACCCGGTCCTTGATCGAGGACGTCAATGAGCTCGTCTCGACCATGGCTATCGCGAAACGGCTCGAGCTCAATTATCTCGTCGACGCCGATGTGCCCGCCTGGGTCAAAGGCGACAAGGTCCGCATCCGACAAGTGCTGCTCAACGTCATTGGCAACGCCATCAAATTCACCACAGAGGGAGAAGTGTTTAGCCGATGCCGAGTCTACGCCGACTCTGACTCGAAGCGGGACGAGACGGAAATTCGACTTCAATTCGCCATCACCGACACCGGGCGGGGGTTCTCTAAGGAGGAGGCCGACTTGATATTCAAACCCTTTAGCCAAATCGACGGCAGCAGCACTCGGCAGCACGGGGGCAGCGGATTGGGTCTCGTGATTTCAAGGCAGCTCGTCGAATTACATGGCGGCAAGATGGAGGGTACGGCGGAACTCGGAAAGGGGTCCACATTCACCTTTACAGCCTGTTTCGGCCTCCCAACGCCCGAGGACCATCCAACGCTCGTCGTCAGTCCCGCGTCGACAATCTCTGCTGGATCCCGCCGCGACTCCGCCGACTGCGTCCCCCGGACCGGGAAACCGTTGCCAGCGCCATTGAGCCACACCCGCCACGTCAATGGCGTCAAGCATCCGGACAGCGTCCACACCTCGCCCAGCGTGGCTTCCGCCGGCAGCTCGATCCCATCCATGCACTCAGGCAGATCCCACAACACGGACAGGTCGTCTGCCACGTCTGTGAATGCGGGACTGGCCCGCTTCAGCGAGGCTGCCAAGGCCAGCGGGCAGGACCTTTCCCAAATGAAGCTGGAAATGCCCGCCGAGAGAGGCTCTCCACGGAGAACAGCGGTGTCGGACAACGAGGGCCGGCTAAATCCTGACTTCCGCCCCCCCATGTATTCGATCCTCATAATATGCCCACAGTACCACAGCCGTGAGGCGACGACACAGCACATCGAGATGACGCTGCCCAAGGACGTTCCACATCAGATCACGGCCCTCGCCGCGGTCGAGGAGGCTCAGCAGTATATTGGAGGCGAGGACCCGATCAAGTTTACGCACATTGTCCTCAATCTGGCCTCGGCCGAAGCCATCATCCATGTCATGGACCAAATCACAAAGTCTCAGAAGATGGATAGGACCACGATTGTCATTCTCTCCGACTCGGTGCAGCGCCAGGTCGTCATGAAGCAGGCAACGGACACCAAGTATGAGCGCCTACTCACAGACAACCTGGTGACGTTCATCTACAAACCTGTCAAGCCATCACGCTTTGCGGTTATTTTCGACCCGGAGAAAGTACGGGACCTGAGCACGGATCGGAACCGGTCCACGGCGCAGCAGATGGTCGAGAATCAGAAGGCGAGCTACCAGGAGATTGAGCGGCGCATGGGGAACAAGGGATACAAAGTGCTCCTGGTGGAAGACAACCCGGTCAATCAAAAGGTGCTGGTCAAGTACCTGAAGAAGATTGGCGTCGACGTGGACATTGCGGTGGATGGCGTCGAGTGCATCGACCAGGTGCTCTCGAAGCCGCACAAGCACTACTCTCTCATCTTGGTGAGTCCACCGTCGGACCGCACACCACACTGACTGGGCTGTTTGCTGACCATGGCGCAGTGTGACCTTCACATGCCGCGCAAGGACGGCTATCAAGCGTGCCGTGAGATACGGCAATGGGAAGCAGCCAGAAGCTTCCCCAAGATGCCCATCATCGCGCTGTCGGCCAACGTCATGTCGGATGTGCAGGACAAGTGCATCGACGCGGGGTTCAGCGACTATGTGACGAAACCGGTGGACTTTATAGACCTCAGCAGGGCCATGGCCAAGTTTTTCTGACGGGTGGCGATTTGCGCTCCAGCCTGGCACAGCCAGACGTTGATACCACGATTTGTTTTCTTGACGAACTGCATGATTCTAGAGCCTTGGTTGGCGTGGCGAGTGTGGAGGCCCTTTGCTGGAACGACTGGCCTTTTTCTTGTTACCCATTAGAGCCGAGGACAAAGGACTATGGAGGCGGGATGCATAATGTCTGATCTATTCACCGACTCGCTCCCTTTCCTCGCCGTTTCCCCCGATGCAGGATGCGCAGCTGCCGTCCACGTCATGGCTCCCTGCGCGGTTTGTCTTTGCAGCCTCTGCGCTTGGGTGGTTGTCTGGAAGCTACTCCACCACCTCCTCGCGGGAATCGTCACGGAGGCGGTTTTTTATTGTCTGTTGTTTGGCCTTGGGCTGCTGATACAGCCGGCCTCGGCCACGAAGGAGGCCGGGTCTGTAGTTGCGTGCATGCATTGCGCGGGATGGATTCCCCCCCCCCCCCCCCTGCACCACGAAGCATATCTTTGCTATTCCGGTGTTTGTTTTAGGCTCGTTGCTTTCGTCTTGGTCGTCCTGGGTGGCTTCGAGCTCGTTGCTCTTGCGTCTTTTTGCTTGGTGCGTTTGCATGGCCTGTTTACGGGTGGGCTTGGGGAGGACGACGGGGCTGCTGGAGCGCACAGTCGCCGTTGTGGGGGAGTCGTGATGGAGAGAGAGTGGGGTCGAGGGGACGGAAACTGTGATTTTCATTCTACGCTGCGCGCGTCAGGTGCTCTGACGCCGAAAGGTATATATATTTCTCCCTAGACCAAGACGTGATGTGATGCAGGACTGTCGATGGACAATCCCGATGAGTCCTGGCAAGAAGGCCCCCGACCCAAGTACAAACAAACCCCGAGTCCCCGTGACACCGGAAAAAAAAACCCGCTCATGATGCACGACAAGAGAATGGAAAGGAAGGCCCGTGGGGGATGGAAAGACAACAGAAGGCAAGAACGGAAGAAGAAGAGGACGAGGAGGGCGCCGTTGTCAGTAGAGGCTCCCCTGGACGCTGCGGTCCTCGCGCTCGGCCTTGTCCAAGTCGTCGAGGGCGGCGGAGCGCGGGTCGTCGCCTAGGCGGTTGGCCAGGGCGCAGCTGCCGTCGGCGCATTCTCCATTCTCGTCGTCGTCGTCGTCGACGTCGCCGCCGCCGCCGCCGTCGGTGTCGGCATCCGCGTCGTGGCCGTCGGTGCAGGGGCCGTTGTGGCAGGCGGGCGGGCGGCGCGAGGGCGCGTCATTGGCGTCGTCGACAGACGAAGGGTCCGAGTCGCTGCCGGCCATGGAATTGTGGCCCGAGTAGGAGCCACCAAAGTCGCGGCCGACGTGCAGGTGGTGGTGGGCGTGCGGCTTGAAGCCGCGGAGGCGGTGCGAGGCGGTGATGAAGGAGGGCGTGCCGTCGGGGGAGGACAGGACGTCCTCGAGGGTGCGGGTGCGGGCGCGGGGGGCCGGCGCGGGATTTGGGACCGCGTGATCGTCGTCGTCGCCGCCGCCGCCGCCGTCGCCGTTGTCGACGGTGGCGGTAGCGGTTGTGGTAGCGGCTGCTGCACCTGGGTCGTCGGCGTCGGCGTCTTGGGGGCGGTTAGCGCGGTGGTGGTGATGGCGCTGCCTGCGACTGGCAATGGTCATGGCGGCGCCGGAGCCGTTGGTGGGCTTTCCGCTGCGCTCAATGTCCCGCTGGCGCAGGGCGTCGAGATCGTGGCGCTTGTTGAAGTGGTTGGTGTGGTTGCAGCCGTTGGGACAACCGCCCCAGCGGCGGTTGACGACGACGGTGCGGGGGCTCGCGTTGTCGTCCTTGCCGTTGACGACAGCGCGCTCGCGGCGCAGCTCGGACCAGGTGCGCAGCTTGTTCTCGAGGAGATACTTGCCGCCGTCGGGCTGCTTGCGCATGGTGAGGAACTCGCAGTGGTCGATGTTGCGGAGGTCCTCGAAGTACTCGACGGTGAAGTGATACCACTTCATGAGGAAGACGCGCGACATGAGGCCGTGGGTGACTGTTTGAAAAGACGACATGGATCAGCAGCAAGCTCGGCGAACAAGCAGGGGGGGAGAGGGCAAGTACCCAAGACGCAGACGCTGGGGAAGTCGTCGTCGCCAAACTGGCGCCACAGGCTCTCGTTGAAGCCGCTGATGCGGTCGTAGGCGTCGGCGGCGCTCTCGCCGTTTGGGATGCGGTAGAAGAAGTGGCCGTAGTCGGCCCGCTCCTGCCACATGCGCTCCATCTCGACGCTGCAGGGCTGAAAGTTGCCAAAGTCCTGCTCGCGCAGACGCGGCTCCTCGTAGACCTTGATGGCGGGGCGGCGAAAGGGCGAGGGCTCGGGGTCGTCCGAGGTGAGGGTGGCGAGGATGCCCTCTGTGGTCTCGCGGGTGCGGCGGTAGGGCGAGGTGAAAAATTGGAGGGAGTCGTCGGGGCGGAGGAGGGCGCGCAGGCGGCGGCCGGCGTCGTTTGCCTGGGCCCAGCCCTCGGGAGTGAGGCGGACGCGGTGGTCGGGGATGGTCTGGTGGATGTCGCGGTTCTCTGGAGGGAGGGAGGGCTTGCATCAGCCACGGAAACGGCTTACTCGGCGGGGGGGGGGACTCACTGTTGCCCTCCGACTGGGCATGGCGAATGACGATGATGAGGCGTGGCCTGGCCATGGCTGAGTGGCTGGCTGGCTGGCGATGCACAGAGGGTGCTGTGGTGGCGTCGGCAGCAAAGCCTGTGGGATGCAACGGGCGAGGTTCCGGTGCGTTGCTTCTGCAGGGACACCGAGAACGAGGCAGCCTGGAGGCAGAGAGACGTGGACCAAAGGGAGAGGTGGAAAGTGACGGATATCGAGGACGAGGGTATCAAGAGAAGAGAAATGAGACGGAGAAATGGAAAAAGAAGGAACGAAATAGGCGGACAAGAAAACCGTATCTATTCCCTCTGATTAGACCGTCTGCCAACATCAAACCATGAATGCAGAGAAAGAGAGAGAGAGAATGAGCGAGGAGGAGAATCAACGAGGTTGTCCCCAAGCGCTGGTGCGTCATGCGGAGGCAAAAAGGGCACAGCGGGGCCCCCAAGAGGCTACAGTGGGTGTGCAGCAGCTTTACCTTCCTGGCTAGCAGGTCGAAGCAAGGTGTTTCGCAACTCAGGTACCGATGCCGCGACAGATACATGAGTCGCCAACTGGGGACCCTGCACACATCAGGTACTTGCAGGACAAGGAGGACCTCCGCTGTTCTGCATAGGCGCCTGTCGCTGGCGCCTGTCTCTGCCGTGGTTGCAGCCACGAAGCCAACAAGGGGGCAACATGCGACTCTGGTTGCTCGCTTTACCGCCGTCAGACCCATGACATGCAGAGCCTGGACATACTAGTGCTGTCTGTCGCACGGAAATATCGCCGAAATTAGAGTTGAGCGTTCTAGATTGGCTTTTGACTTTTCCTCTTGTTTTGTTTCTGAAACCACCCTGAAAAGACGAAACGCGGTCCTTGATGTCGTGCTCTACACACGCTAATCTTTGATTACCTCATGTACTTCCTACTAAGAATAGGCCGGGCTGGTGATGATCTTAAGAAGTGAACGAGTCCGGTATAAGCCAATACCCTTGTCCTCAGCCTCGCCCCGCCCCGCCTCGCTCCGCCTACGCCACACCCACCCAGCCCCAGCGTCACAAGGCCAATGCCGACGAGGAAAAACCGTAGCCTCGTGCCAACGTCACGCCAAATATCCACCATCGCCACCACCAATCATCCACTTCACCGACGACGACAACCACCCATCGACACCCGTCCCCGTGCAGCAACGCACTCTTCCTACCAAAAATCCAAACACCATCCCACCATCCCACCCTCCCCCAGCCCATCAGCCCCACCTACCAAGAGCACTCGACAAGAGGCAAAAAAAAAACACAAAAATGTCCGGCGAAGGCCCCGATTCCATCCCCACCTCCGCCGACCCTCGCTCCCATCGTCCCACAAAGAAGCGCGCTCTTTCCCCCGCCTCGGCCCAGGCCGCCTCCGTCGACGCCCTCTTCGCCAAGCCCGACCGCGAGATCCGCCTGCCCCCCTCAGCCTCGTCCGACCTCGCCCGCCCCCGCCGCCCTGGCCCCCCCGAGATCATCACAAACGTCCAGGGCTCCAGCGCCGGCGCCGGCTCCGGCGAGTTCCATGTCTACAAGGCCTCGCGCCGCCGCGAGTACGAGCGCCTGCGCGACATGGACGCCGACCTGCGTCGCCAGAAGCATCGGGAGCAGTTCGACTCGGAAAGGACCCAGAGGGAGCGCAGGGATGAGGAGAAGACGCGCAAGAATAGGGAGAAGAGGGAAAGGATCAAAGCCAGAAAGGCAAAGGCCAAGACCGACCCGGTCCCGAACCATCCTGCCACTCCGGCTCCGGCCGCATCCACCGAGGCTGCCACCGCCGAGAAGCCACGGGCCCAAGTCATCACCCGAGACGACGCAGACAACGACGACCAGCCATCCACTCCTGCGGCCCAGGCCCCCGGTCTTGTCATACACGACGATGACTGATCTTCCCAGCGCGCCCTCGGCGGCAACAAGCTCTCAGATCGGACCGCCAGGCTGTTGAGCAACACGCACGGCGTCGCATTTGTATTCACAACGATACCCCAAATCAATCACATTTTTTCTTCTCCTCCTTAATATTCCTGTCAGCACCGCGAGCCAGACCCCGCGCTCAACGGGCTGTCTTTTGCCTTCTCACTGGCCCTCGACCTCGTCTATTTTCGCCATCTCCTCGCCGTCTACGTCTTGCCTGCTCGTCGTAGTACAGGGGGTATGACCAGAGTAATCAAATGGCATCTTCCACCATGACATCCTCCCCAAAACTTGCTCTGTCGTACCGTGTGCCCAACCCAACCAAAGTGTAAAATCAGAGAGAAGAAAGGGAAGGGAAGAGACAGCCCCAACTCCCCTCAGTCATCACCGCCGCCCAGGCCGGCCCCTCCGGCTTGTTGCGCCTTCTTGGCGCTGCAGATATCATCTACCCGTAGCAACAAGCACGCCGCCTACCATGACATTCATGTCAGTTTCGTCTCGCAAAGGATAAAAGGAAGGAAACAGGGTCTCACCTCGACGGCAGTCTTGATGCTCTGCAGCTTAATGGCCTCGGGCTCCCACACTCCGTACTCCTTCATATCTACAATGGCGCCCGTGTCGCCGTTGACGCCCCATGTGCTCTTGCCCTCGGCCTGCTTGGCCCGGAGCTCCGTCAGCACGCGCACCGGGCTCTTGCCGGCGTTTTGCACCAACGTCCTCGGAATCACCTCCATGGCGTCGGCCACGGCCTTGTACGGCCACTGTTGCACGCCCTCGATGCTCTTGGCCAGCTGCCCTAGCCGCACCGACACAGCCATCTCGGTGGCGCCGCCGCCTGGGGAAAGGCGGGGGTGGAACATAACGTTGCGCGCCACGCCCATGGCGTCCTGCAGATTCCGCTCAATCTCGTTGAGCACGTCCTTGGATGGGCCGCGGAGGAGCACCGTGCAGGCCTTGGGGTCCTCGCACTTGGTGAGGAAGGTGAAGTACTCGTCGCCAATCTTCTCAATCTCAAACAGGCCGCACCGGGTGCCAACGTCCGAGTCCAGGAGGTCCTCGACCCGGTTGACAATGGTGGCGCCCGTGGCACGCGCTATCCTGTTGTTGTCCGTCTTGCGCACCCGGCGCAGGGCTGTGACGTTGTTCTTGACCAAGAAGTGCTGGGCGAGATCTGCAGGCGCTAGGTTAGCCAAGGAGAAAACGGGCCTGGGCCATGCGCGCGCTCCCGCACTTACCAGACACTCCCTTCTCCGTGATGACGAGATCGGGCTTGACGGCTAGGATGGCCTCGCACATGAGCTTGACCTGCTCCTCCTCAATCTGAAGGATGCGATTCCAGTCCTCCTCCTTTGAGATTTCAATGTTGGTCTGCGACTCGCCCTTTTTGTACTCGAGGGGGCAGTCGAGCAGGACGATGCGGGGGTTCTCGATGCGGCGGCGCATCTTGGGATGAGTAATGTCCTTGTTGAGCATGAGGCCGTCGAGGACCTTGCTGTCCTCGATCTCGCCGCCGGGCACCTTTTCGACTCGGGCGTAGCGCTTGATGTCGACCTCGGTCTTGCCGTTGCCCGCCTCCCAGGTGACGGTGCGGACCGCCTTGAGGGCCAGGTCGCACATCTGATCCATCCAGCGCGAGACAAACTTGGTGCCGATGGCCGAGGAGATGAGCTGATGCATGGCCTTGTCGTCGTCGACGTCGATGGGGAGCGAGACCTCGTCGATGATGTGGAGGGCGTCCTGGAGGGCGCGCTTGAAGGCGGAGATGATGACGACGGGGTGGATGTTGCGTTCGAGCTGGGGCAGCGCCTGGGCCAGGATTTCGCCGGCTGAGAGGTCAGGGGTCAGAAAGAACGGATTGACACGACCTTGGAAGCTCACCAAGTATGATGACTGTTGTGGTGCCGTCGCCGACCTCCTCGTCTTGGGTCCGGCTGAGCTCAATCATGCTCTTGGCGGCGGGGTGCGACACCTCGATCTCGCGCAGAATGGCGTGGCCGTCGTTTGTGAGGACGATGCCGCCCATGGGATCAAGAAGCATCTTGAGCATTGCCTTGGGGCCGAGGCATGATCGAATGATGTCGGCGACGCTAGGGGGCAGCTCGAGTCAGCGGATTGGCAGAGGCGGAAGCGGGCAGGGCGACGGAAACCAACGTCTTGGCAGCTGCAATGTTGGACAATTGGGCTTTCCTCCCAGTCTGTCGCTCACCGCTCTGGGTGTCTGTCGGGGGCTAGTCAGCTAGGGAGCTCTCCGGTTCGCGGTTCACGGTTCGCGGTACGCGAGGCTCGTGACACTCGAGGCGGCAGTGAGTAGGGAGAGGAACTCACTCATCACCAGCACCGGGGCCTGCATGATGGGCAACGCTGGACACTGGCCGCGGGGAGGACTCGAGCACCGCGAACAGCAGCGAGAGGGGAGTCGGGCAGATGAAGAGAGCTAGTCGACGGAGGGGCGAAGCTGGTGGACGAAGAAAGGAGGAGGGAAGGGGTAGTAGGGAGGACTCTTTCTTTGGAGGGGCAGTCACTAATAAAGAGATGGCAGAAAAAAGTTGAGCAGCTCCCCTAGAACGGTTGCTGACGAGATCGCAGGGCCCGGTCTCCACTCCAGGGTAGGCGGGCCCTTGTGGAGGAACCTGCATAATGAAGGCTACGTACCTAAGTTATCGCCTTGACTATTATCAAGCGCACGGCTCTGGCTGACGAGCGCACCAAAAGTGGGGCGGTGTGGCGCACTTGTCTAAAAGGAAGGCGACCTGCTATGCTAGGTGGCTTATACTATACTAGATACATAAAGTTCAAATTGCCTGGTTACCAATTGAGCTCCTTTAAGTCCGGCACGACAACATGCTCTATGCCGGATTGACAACTATGCCTTAAGCGTCGCAGGCCGAAGCAGAGGGTATGTTACTATATTTTACTGGGAAGCGAGGGTTTACCCTCGCGAACGTGGTCCTTCTTCTGCAAGTACTTTCTATCTAGGTAATGGCGCTGGCCTTCCCCTTTTAGGCGAGTGCGCCACACCGTGCGCCTTGATAGTCAAGGCGTAAGTTCATCGGTTTCTCCGAAAGCCGACCCGCCCTTCGGTGCTGGTGCAGTGATGGATGATGACCCGCCTCGGCGCTGGTGCGGGGAAGGGAAAAACAAAATGCCGACGACTCCAACGGCAGTTGCTGAAAACAGCTCTCCTTATCTCGACCTCGCCTTGTCGCACTCGCCCTCTATTGTTCCATCTTTTCCCTTTTCCCCTTTTTGTTTCGCTCCGGATCTGGTCCGCCCGGCGGCTTTCCTAAAGTCGCCCAGACGGAAATGCAGCCAAGGCCTTGCTCTCCGGGGTCACATGGCTGACTGCATGGAATCCTCAACGCCTTTCCCCAATGCTTTCTTCGGGGCTTTTCTTTGCTGACACGACTGGTCATCCCGGCCAAATCGATCCTCCGTCACGCTTGGCAGATGCCAAATCCTCCTGCAAATGACGGAATTTCGGCCCATGCGGCACGCGGACCATATATGAGATGCACTCTTCAGACCGCGCGCCTCATCTGCACTCGAATGCAGAGAACGCCGGTGGCTTCACCCTCGGCGTTGTCGCATGCAGGCTCCAGATCGGATACGTGTTACCAGTTGTCCCTCTTGCCCCCTTCTGACGTCCTCATTTGGTTTCTTTCCTGAACGCCTCCCGTCACTTGACCCGTCACTTGGCCAAGACAAGACGACTCAAACGACGCCGACCAAGCATGCCCCGCTTTCTCGGCCTCGACCCATCCCCGTCTCCAGTGTCGGTGCCGTGGGTGTGTGGCTCCCCATGCTTGAAATCCCGTTTCTTTCTCGAATTGTCCGAGCCGTAGGGTGCCATACACTCAAGCTCGTTGTCGCCCCCGTGTCCGAGGCAGTTCGGAATCCCCCGACTGTTCGGGGGTTTGGACAAAATAAGAAGGCTCAGCCAACAAGCAGGTTGACCTGCAGGAGTCACCGCACATCGCTAGAGGGGGTCGTGACCTCGATGGCTCAAAACTTCCGTACTCGCGTCAGCTTGAGATGTCAGCACTGCAGTCATCGCCGTTTGAAGGAGTCCGGTATGCATCTTCAGAAGATAAGGGAAGCTCTCTTACATCAGTTCTTCATGTCGCAGCTTTTAGACAGTGACAGCAAGATCCCAAGATGATGGTCCTCCTTTCGAATCCACTACCTCTGTCGTGATGATAGAATGTCCCTGATTCTTCCGTTACAATGCGCAAGGCTTGATGACGGCCAGCAAGCAGGTTCTCCGGGAGTTGAAAGTCAAGGCTTGTGGCAGAAGAGGCCGGTCAGTCCTTGAATTGAGACTTCGAGCACATGTGAAGTCTGGTAGATCCACGTTATCTCCTCGGAAGAGCTTCAAGCTTGGATTTCCTCTGATTTTTGGTTATTTCAGCGCCTCTGAGACCTCGTCGTTCCTCTCGCAAGCGCCGCAGAATTGCTTTAGTTGCACAGCTCCTCTCGCTGGCAACGCATCTGGTAGAGGAGCTGCGAGTTGGATGTGTGCCATCTTGTCAGGACGACGCCCTGGCTTCGATTAGCGACAACCTTGGGAGACTCGTTGCACCAATCTCTTGCTGGACTAGAGTTCGTCGGTTACCTCGCCAGCCAAATCTAGGGAATTGAAAGGGAAACCGCTTGAACTCTTGAAGTTTTGGTACATCTGTCTCGCCGCATCTTCGGTTCCTCCTCCAAGCCGTCATTCAGGCAAGTTCGCGCAGCCCTTTGCTGGGATTGACTTTCTTATGACAGACTGAGACCCAAGGGTTCTCCGACGAGCCCCTCTGCGGCTCGAGATGTCGACCGATCTCTCGTCTGGAGTTGGTCACGACTTATTCATCACTTCTATTATAAGCGTTTGGACTCGAGTCCCGCGCTTCAAGCTCTACAAGCTCCAAGTCAGCGTGTGTCGAAGCCAAATTCAAACGCAACAGGAGTCGTGGGAGCTTCTCTTGTCGACTCTGGAGATGAGGCTGTCGTATCTCTTCGGAATCATACCGTGTATGATGGAAAGCAGAGATGTTGTCCGGAAGCCGGCATAGGGCGAGGTGGTGGTATGCTTCCTTGAGGGCTGACTTTGTCTACAGGATTTGGTTCACGTTTCTAAACCGGGACACACATCTAGCACAAAGTCCAGGAAACACCGTTCAATAGCAGACTAGGACACCGCGTGTCCCGCCCCGTCTCGACTCCGTCTGTAGACAGCGCGGCGTTACATGGTGATTTCCGGAGGGCCTGGAGGGGTCCTCGGGGACTCGAGACATGACAACAATTGACGTAGGCGTAGGATAATACTCCTCGCTGCCAAGAAGGGCCGATGTCTGGCGCCAGGAAGGCCTCGAATGAAGGCGTCGAGCAATCTGACGGGCGACTGTTGGGCATCAGACATGTCCTGATTTCACGTTGATGCAGGTCTGTTTCCTTTTTCCATATTGCAGAAATGAGGCCGAGAATTCTCCTCACCATGGTATGACGAATTGATTCGACGTCCTGCCTTGCGCGGCCGCGTCAGGACGGCATGAACCAAGCTGAGTGAACCAAGCTGAGTATCCCCAATGGAGAAGAGAGAACCCCCTCCCTCATGTCCTTCGGCGCAGACGCTAGCAAGGACGCGATGCAGCGGTAGACATCCGGCGGCAGTCGCGAGGCCTTGAATCTCCAATCAAGGCCGACTGCGACGCTCGCCCAATGCATGTCTACCCGAGCCTTTTGACGACGGAGGGGGAGATCCCACCAAAGGGCTGCCCAACAACGACAAGGAAGACGGACCAAAAGAGGAGAAACGGGACTAGAAGAGGAAAGCGTCGGCTTATGGGGCCGGGGCGGATGCCATCCAGTCGAGGCCGGCCAAGTCGTTTCGACTGCCACGACCGAGTGCGGCTCTAGGCAGCAGGATCCCATGTCGCCGTGCCGGGAAGATGGGCCTCTCGTCTTGCGATACGTGCCATGCACATTCGCGTTGACGCGCCCCTGGCGGAAACACGGGCTCGTCATTGAAAAGAAAACATGGTCTCACGCAACAGCATGATGACGAGTTTCCCCCCCTCGAAACCGTACGTCAGACTCGCGATGCCGCGACAATCCGACCTTGCTGCCAATGGCGGAGCCCATGCCGCTCGAGGACTTTTGCAGAGTATGTCTGACGGTGCCACGGGGAGTAGCGCGCGTAGGGAGGGGGGCCTTGGCCAATGGCTTCGTGAGCCTGCCATTCTGACGGCGGTTATAACCACCCCGGCATGGCTGCCATACCAGTCCCCAATTGGGTCTGGAGGAGATTCTTGGCCAGGGCCGCACCGGCGACACGTGTTGGCAGCAGGTATGCAGGCCTGCGACTTTGCTAGGTATGAGCTCCCTGGGCAACAAGGCAGCAGCCCTCCATGAGGAAATCACGTTAGGCAAGGGGACAGGGACGGATCCGCGGAGGCGACCACCGCGTCGCGAATTACATGGAGGGACCAAGCCGGATCCTTGCGCTCGTCCAGTTGCTGGTCGGGGAATGCTCGGCGTCTCGCTGCGAGGCCAGGACACGGGGCACCGCTTGTTGGACGTCTGCTGTCGAGCTGGCGAGGAGGCTGGACCGAAGACCGGAGGAGCACGCAAGAGATGATGGGGCCCGGAGAAGCTGTGCGGGCCGGGGGGCGTGGATGTACGCACGTACGGCATCCAACATGGCGCCTCGCAAGAGGTTCCGCGGAGCGAACGGCTACCGGGGCTCACAGTCATCTGGCGGGGGCGTCATGACGGAACGATCAATGGCAGCCAGCAGGACCGTCCGGACGATGGGTGAAGGCTCCTTCTTGTGCCTCCGACTTCGGAGTCGGGAAAGGGTGGAGTCGAGCGATCCAACCGAGGCGGCCGGGGCGCCACTCGCTCGCCGGTTGTCGGCGGAGCGCACAATAGACAAGAGGGATCGCGGACGGGCCCGTGTGGCCAAAGGGGGCGTCTGCGAGGCGCTCCGGATGCAGCATGTCATCGGCGGATGACGGGTGGAATGACGGGTGGCTGGCTTTGGGGAGACAGAGATGGAGAGAGAATTCAGCCTCCATTCCGCAAGGCGGATGAAGAGGGCAGGGATTTACAATACGCGGCGTCTTCAGCCGCGTGGATCCAAGGGGGGGAACGGGCAAAGAGGCAGTAATTAGTTGGCATTTATTTCTATTATTTATTCTCGGGTTATTTTTATCATTGGAGATTCCTCTCCTGTCTCTGCCCTGCTGGGCTTGCCGTTAAGGGTTCAGGTGAAGGCCAGGACGGCTTAGACAGCGGGATAGGAATAGCCTCCAGCATACCTGTTCTGCACGTATTGGAGGATGACGGCTGACAACGGGCTGACGGACG